CCCCCCCCCCCCAAAGTAGTGCACTTTGAGATTCTGTAAATCAAGGTGAGATCGAATGACTACGCGTGCATTTTTATGTATTCCGAAGTTTCCTATCGATATTTATCGTTCCGTTTCACACACGTGAAATAAGACGAAACGAATCTTTCGGTTCATCCGCGAAGTGTAATTAATAGTTTCGGAAACACCGACTCGTGGGATGGCCCAATGCTTACGTGCTGTAAGGGAAATCAATATATCCGGCGCGGGTTTTCGATGTAATACGATTAATAGAAAATCTATTACGAGGTAACGTCGCGAATTACGGGTCATGCAAAACACTGTGCGTTCCATTGTCACGAACGACGCTCCGAAGCTTCGCTACTGTCGTGTCCTTTTCGAAAGCCGAATATGATTTCCGATTGAATATTAATGAATTTGACTTACAGTGGACAGGAAGTGGAGACGGCGGGGCGACGAGGTTGCCTCTCGGTGAACGACACCAGGGACCACGGAAACAGGTGTGTGTGATACGTCAAGTAGAACCGCGCGAGGGCAACAACGGCGTGTGCACTTTCAGAACAACTTAAGGGTCCCAATACCACGAATAACAACAGTGATACCGAGCACTTGAAAGCACGAGGAGAGCAAACAACTGTCTTCCTTCGACCGTGTTACGCACGCACAAACGAATGATCCCTCTCGTGTACATAGGTTTAAGAACCGATTACAGGTGACGCACACGCGGCCGGAGCATACACACCGCCGCCTGACTCTATGTACACCACGTACCGTGGTAACGAGCGTGAAACGATGACAGCCATCCGACACTACCTCACGCCAACTGGTGTTTACTACTGACGAAACGGTTCGCCGTCCCTCGAGCCCAAGGCTCGTTCGGGGCGAGGAACACACACCGGGAATCGCCGAAGGTCTTGCCGAAGTGCAACAGTTGCTCGACTGCAGCGCGCCACCGTGGTGACTCCCGGTACTAACACGCCGTGATCGATGCTCCCCTTTGTTAGTCGGTAAAAGGGAAATCGTCTGAAAACGGTATACAATCGGTGTAAAAAGTATTCGTATATCCTTTAACGCCTTTAACACTAGAACTAACAAGCAAGTCAAAGGCTGGGATACGTAGTCACTACTTATTCTTAAGCATTTGCTAAGTAATGATGCACCTACATTGAAAACTAGACGACTTGGAACGAAATCATTTTTACCACCGGAAAGAGATTGACCCTGGGGTCCAGATATGTAATTCGTGGATTAAGAGAAGTTTTATTTTTTATTTTAACAAGAGAACGAAAACTTCGTTGACCATTATTAATGTTTTCATTTCACGGAGCGTTTTGAGTATGCAAACTACGTACTAAGTACCAATATTTTATTATAGAGATCTGTTGAAACAATGATCGTTCCATATGGTAAATTTATATTGTATCTATACCTACATCGTCAATAGGAAGTTTACATTACCGTTGTAGCAATATAGTCAACGCCACAAAAACAGCGACTTTTTTTTACCATTTACTTAGAATTAAATTCATTTCACTTTTTGATACAGAATCCGTATCATTGTACTTGTCACTGGAATGTATAGACTTGAAAATATACGCGTGGTATTTTTCTATTAAACATACTTCTTCATAAAGATCCTCCACAGTCATTTCTACGGTAAGTGCGCACTGTTTTAATAACCAACGGAAACTTCTTGGCAAAGACCTTTCGAATGTGGCGAAATTTTTTGCTTTCACGCGACTGAAAATGCAATGATACATCCAGTAGTCTTTAAAAGGCCTAAAAAACTGATGCCTATTGTTGTTTGTATTTATTGTTTTACTTGTTTGCGGCGTGGAAATGGTATTGTTGTCACGGAATAAAGAGATCTCGCTCAAATTTATGGGATCGTCCAAATCCAGGAAACCGGAATTAATATCTATGTCTTCGATGTCAAAATTATTAATATCTATACCGTTCGACATGAATAAATTCTCGTCAGTGACCTTTGTAGTATCGATAAACATATCTTCCGCAATACTTTGTTGCGTACTAGTCTGAAAAAGTGGGTTCTTCGTTTCCAGAAAAGAATTCTCGAATTCTTCTTCTTCTTCTCTTTGAATGAACTGTCCTTTAGCGTTTCGCGCAAGCAAAATCTTTTGTCCCTTGCTAATAGACTCGTTCTCTGGTATCGATAAGCGTAAATTGTATTGACTACAAAACTTGTTTCCTAGTAGTATACTCTCCCCATTAATACTATCCATTGGATTTGCATCTTTTTCCTCGTCCTCGTTGTCACTATCGCCAGGAATTGCTAATTTACCATTTGACAGTGTTTCCGTGAATGTGAAGTCGTTCCCTAAATCATTATTTAAATTTCCCACAGAGGTTCGAATGCTGTTATAGTACAGTTCTTTGGGAACATCAAGTTTCACTAGACACGGTATCTTTCTGTGTATATAATCGTTCAGATCTTCGCTTTGTTCCTTGCACTCAGGATTCGAGTCATCCTGCACGTCGATAAGCTGTTTCAATTCATCTATACTTGGCATCCTATGTTGCTCGAAAGGAGGTACCACCTTTTCAAGAAAGTGTAAACTCGAATCTATAATATCTAACTTGATACCGCATTTCGTTGCTAATTCTATCAGACTGAAAGTTCAACAAACCGTTTTAATTTAATTTGCTCCTTTGAAACTCTGACGAAATTTTGAACTACAGTAATGTCTCGATGAGTGCGACGTGCTCGGGGCCGCTTCGAAGCATTGGCATTCATCGAAGGATTACTGTAATAACTTTTGATCACTTACATGTGTGGTTTCGTCATGTATCCAACTTTAGTGAGAAAAAAATCCTTCCTCGCGACACTCGGGATATCGGAGAGTGGGTTATCCAGTAGATGTTGCAAATATGAATGGAGAGGTGTCAAAGACGGGGGAAATATGTCTCCTGTTTCTGGCGGAACATCGTTCGATCTTAAGCTAGTAATGTATTTTGTCATGGCGTCGACGATCTCTTCCGGAAAACGGTACTTAGTGTTCTTTGGGTCTGGCTCCTTGTTATCCGTTTTAGACGTTATAAATTCCAAAAATTTCATATACAGATCATCTATGCCGTGCGTATTTGGACTATATCTGATTTTAGTTGGAAAATGCGAATGAATTAATATCGTTTTTCTGCATTCAATGTACTTCTGCCATTCTTGAAAACTGAACAGTTTTTCATTCAACACGCCTCGTTCAATAGCGACGCTGCAACGAGAAAATTTTATACAATTTGTAAAACACGCAAAAAAATATTCTTCGCAGTTTTATGGAATTGGGATACAGTATTATAGATATAATTACAACGGGGCATTCGCATCCACAACTTTTGCCAGCAGGAGGGCCACACATTTCTCTTCTTTCTTCGTGTATTCTAGCCCCAAACGTGATTACATCGTTCTCAATCACCGCGTACGGCATTTTATCAGAAGTGAAATATGTTGCCCAATGACCATTCGATTGCAATACAATTGCTCCCCCTGGTTTCTCGTATTTATTTAACATGGAAGACAAATGTTTGTACAGCGCTTCCTCCCCAGTGAAACCGTTTTCAATGTCTTCCACAATTGTACGGGCTAATCCCAATTTTATTATAGATTCTCCGTGACCGGTTAGAGAACAACCTATATTTCTAGTAGCATAAGTTCCGCAACCCAATAATGGAGTATCACCTACTCTTCCTACTAATTTTTTGTTTAAACCACCTGTTGTGGTCCCAGCAGCAATACTGTGTCCATCGTACGCTACGCAACCAACGGTACCAAAACTGTCTACAAATCGTAGTTAAATAAGTGTACCGTATATTATTGCTTTATCATATGTGCAACAATTAATTTACTTGTTAACATATCACGACCCAATAAACTTAGATTGTCGACGTGTGTTTCAGATTCTTCCTCGTTTGCTGTACTTAGGGCCATACTTGCCAGGGGAGCTACCATGTTTCCCTCGGATATCCAATTTAAACCTGCATATTTTGCTAAATTCTTGGCGCCATCGCCCACAAATATTGTATTCGGAAAATTATGTAACACGTATTTTGCAAGCGTTATAGGATGCTCTATGTCTGAGACCGCCGCTACTGATCCACATTTGAACGATAAACCGTCCATCAAGCTTGCGTCCATTTGTACTTTTCCTGCATCAAGTGCACTGATATGTATAAGAAACGTTGTGCAATTTAATTCTCCGACCATGGCTACAATATGCAGAAGTAATCGTTTTATAAGAAAAATACCTATTTCGTTCAATACAGATCCATAACTGCAATTGTAAAATTCATCACATTCTAGCCACCACAGTGCAGCCTCTACAGCGTCTACCGAATTCTCCCCATTTATTAATTTTTTATACCCATTAAAGGCAGCTTTTTTACAACCTGTCATTTTCTCCATGATTATCTCATCGCTAAAATTTCCGGCACCCCCATGTACAATTATACACGGGAAATTGTTTTCAAAACGTTTGCATTCGCCAGCTCCTAACCATTTACTTAGTTTACTTGATACGCTATCGTATGAATTGTATCGTTGTGGATGAGAACAATATTTATGTGGTTGCATTTTTCTTACAAAATATACAGAAAGCACTCAAATATTTTCAACAGAAGTATCGACAGTACGATCACGGATTTTGAGGTTCAAAAATGAAATCGAATTTGACATACAAATGAGTCGTGTATAACAGATATTCATCTGTTTGTACCTACCTGCTGATTTTCTCTGCTATTCTACTAATTTGATACTCTGTTATGTCGTCCAAAGCAAGTAGAGTCTTTAGTACAACAATAATAAATGCTATTGCACGACCTTCATAATTTGGAATATATGACTTCTTTACATTAAATACCATTTTCGGAGTAGATAAAGCTATCAGCCTTTCAGTATATTGTTGAATACCTCCTAAAAATATAATACCATTGAATGTGAGCAAGAGACTAAGAAATATAAGATGTGAGAGGAGTTTACTTACTTGGCAATCCCAATTCTTGACAATACCGATTGACTAGAGGCAAGAAATCAGGACAAACTATCTCCCAAACACCAAGAAACTTAGCCAAACTTGCAGTAATTCGTCGCATTCCCTTATGCGTAATTGCAACGTTCTGCATTAAGAAATTTCTTTCACCCCTTGTTAAACTGACTTCTGGGGGTAATAAATGATCTAGCTTATAGTAAGATAAATGTCCTTCTCTGGCATATCTAAAAAGGCACGTTTTTACGAATAAAATTGCAAACTAGAATTAACAGTGATAATAATATCAATTTGTTTATGATCTACCTTAACATATCTCCCAATTGTATAGGTTGATTATGAATCCTGAGAGCTAGATATAAGATGGCCCATAATCTCATCGGGGTAATCACATAAGGTCCCATTTTGTACTTAGTACTTATATGCTTTGCTCTATATTTAGCCCTTTTATGTCTGGGTAGATTTTTAGATAGCTTTTTGATTTTTCTTGCTTCCTCTTTGGCATGAGAACTGAATTTTACTCTAAGAAAATGAAAGATTACAAAAATCGTCTCTGGAGACACATTAGCTATAGCTACAATGTATGAGGCAATACTTGCTTTCCCTCATTATTCGAGGAGTTTAATGAACCAGACTGACCACTATATACACTTTGACTAAATAAACTGAGGCCATCACCTTCGGAACTAGCTTGAGATTGAAGATATCTATCATAATCTGCAGTCGCTAAAAGTTTCTAAAAAAATTCGATGGATTTATCATATAAGCAAACATTATACTCATCCTTCTACAAATACTATAAAAACAAGTTACTTTGTTTTTACTTAATTCACGCATGGAACTCCCTTCACTTTGGTAATCAGAGACTGCAGATGTATTAGCACTGCTTCCAATTCGTTTACGTTTTCTAATCTTTTTCTGAGACTGTATTTTACCATAAATGATTTCTGCATCTCTGTTACAAGAAAAAGTTTTTCGTACAATACAATAAGAACAACATTTTACCTCCAGACAAACTCACTTTTTATTGTATCTTCTTGCCAATTTTGGCAAGCCTTTTTTCTTGGTTGAAATGAATGCAACTTCTAGCTTTCCCAAATAGGTTGCCCATAATTGTAATATTGTCATTTTTATGTCAGACGGGACTCCAAGTTCTATAAGTTCATTTGTTAGTCCAATCAAAACAAAATTATACAATTCCCATGAAGTCCAGCCAAGTTCCTCGCCTAAAATTCAAAATACATGCTAACTGATAGTAACGAACATTGGACATACAATGTTTAAGCGAGATAGAAAATAAAAGTAAAACCTGAACCGTGTGATCTTAGCTGTCTGATTTTCGTTTTCCGCAACCTAGTTGTATTGTCTACACGTAATTCGAAAACTTCCTCTCTAACATCCTGTAAAAAGGTATCAGACTCGTAATTGACTCCTTGAAGAAATAAAAATGTAATTGTCTTACCTCACTCTGCGTCTGACACGTTTGACAAAAAAAATATCCCACATCTTTGTAAAAATCTGCACCACCACAAACTCTGCACTTTTGCATTTTTATTAATACATACTCCCAAAGGGAGTCTCACACGTGCATGATTCTAGCTAAAAGGTTATGATTTGCAAGCACGTTGCCTAAGTTGTCAATTTATATATATAAACACTTACTACTCGTGGTTCCGGTTTCGCGGTCGCGAACGGAACACGTTTTCTGAACATCTCAAAACAAAGTTCGGAAAAACGTGGAAGAACGTCATTCAAAATGAATGCACCAGGGAAAATTCAAAAATTGGATGAAGTCGTCGTAAACAGAATCGCAGCAGGCGAAGTAATCCAAAGACCAGCAAACGCATTGAAAGAATTAATAGAGAACAGGTTAGACGTGTAAAACCATGTCCTGTTTTATTCTGTGTCTATTTATATTCTTCTGTTATAAACATTTCAGTCTCGACGCAAAAGCAACCAATATCCAAATTATTGCCAAAGAAGGTGGATTAAAGTTATTACAGGTAGTCTTTCATACAGATCGCATGGAAAGTAATTGTAAAAAATTGATTATTTGATATTTTTGTTAGATACAAGACAATGGGACAGGCATCAGGAAAGATGACATGGATATTGTTTGCGAACGGTTCACAACGAGTAAATTACAAACGTTTGAAGATCTTAAGACAATAGCAACGTTTGGATTTCGTGGTGAAGCTTTGGCCAGTATTAGCCACGTTGCTCTTTTGACAATCACAACAAAAACAACCAATGAAAAGTGCGCATATAAGTAAGTAAAGCTGATCTTAAAAATCAAACAGGCAAATTTCAATTGTTCTTTCACTAAATCTGCTTTATTTGTGTCAGGGCATCATATATTGATAGTAAACTAAAAGATCTACCAAAACCATGTGCTGGAAATCAGGGTACTATTATAACGATTGAGAATTTATTTTACAATGTTGCTACACGAAGAAAGGCCCTATCAAATGTAATAGAAGAGTTCAGCAAAATTACAGATGTGGTCACAAAATATGCAATACATAATCCTACTGTAGGATTTGTGTTGAAGAAACATGGTGATATAACACCTCAGGTATTCTGTTATTTGGATAATACTTCTAGTGTTCTAATTGCTTATATTAATGTACACTTTACACTTAGGTCCGTACTGCTCCTAATTCCACAAAGATGAACAATGTAAGAGTGCTTTATGGCAATCCAGTCTTCAGAGAATTATTGGAAGTTGAACTCACAGACGAAGCTTACAAATTCAAGATGCATGCTCTAATAACAAATCCAAATTACACAAACAAAAGGATGGTATTTCTATTGTTCATAAATAATCGATTGGTAGATTCATCCAGTAAGTCTAAAAATATTGTGTTTAGTCATTCTCCCGACTACAGAGCAAAATATATAAATATTTTGTTCCAGCAATTCGTAAAATGTTAGAAGAGCTTTATACGTTTTATCTTCCGAAAAAGACCCACCCATGGTGTTATATATCTTTGGAAATTGAACCACAAAATATTGACGTCAATGTACATCCAACAAAACACGAAGTGAGATTTCTTCACGAAAATTCTATAATTGAAAGAATCAAGTCTGCCCTGGATGAGAAGTTATCTGGAAACAGTGCTTCTAGAACATTTTACGTGCAAGCGCGATTGCCACAGGCAGATATTACTAAGGAAGTCTTAGAAGAAGTTTTGCCAGAGTACGAGCAGACACAGACAGATAAAACAAAGAAAATTCGTCCTAAAGAAATGATTAGAACCGATTCGTCCGATCAGAAATTGGGTAGATTTAATTTTACTATTCATACAGCAATGAAACATGCTAAAAACGATGATAGTTCACAATCTGATAAATCTATAAACAATTCTACACCTAGCCAATTAATATCAACGCAAAATGTATTACATGAAACATTAAATAGTAAAAGAGGAGACGAAGATACGAATAATAGTGATCAGCGGAAAATAGACGAAATACAATGTTTAACACCGGATCCGAATGTTGTAGATAAATTGTCACATGTTGAAATATCAAATACACCATGGAGTGATATGATAGATGAAACGAGTCCATCTACATCATCGCAATTAACAGTGAATAATACTTGTAATATAGTCTCATCTACACTTGATAACGATATGCAAGATATGAATATGCAATATGAAAATTTGCAAGATATCTTTGAAAATATAAATAATGAAAGTGCCGCAAATGATTCCGTAGAAGAAAGATGTATTGATGAAATTGCAGATAAAGCACGTAAACAGGTGTATCAACGCTTTGGCAGCAAAAGTAACACGATCGAGGAAAATAAATGCGTAGAAAAGTTTGACAATAAATCTAACGTAGATACGATAAATTTACATGAACCAATGCAGATTGATAGCAATAAGAACGATGACGCTAAGAGTACACAAGAGTTTAAATCTTATTCGATTAATAATTTTAGAAGGGAACTAAAACTAACGAGCATCTTGAAGTTACGAAAAGAAGTAGAAAACGAGTGCCACGAAGGATTAAGACAAATTTTATCGGACCTAACTTTTGTTGGTTGCATAGATGAATCTTCGGCCCTCGTTCAAAGTGGAGTGAATTTATATCTTTGCAACACAAAGAAATTAGCGTGAGGAAATTTTAAAATATTTCTGAAATATTTAAACACAACGAGCCATACAAATAATCATACTTCTTTAATTTAGGGAGGAGCTTTTTTATGAAATTATGCTTTATGACTTTGCAAACTATGGAGTCATTAGATTCTCCGTAAGTATTAAAAAAGTAACTAAGGCAACTAATACTTATCCCAATGTATTTATCTTACTTATTTCTAGGATGAAATCCCTTTATACGATTTAGCGCTTTTGGGATTAGATACTGAAGAGTCTGGATGGACAGAAAAAGATGGAGATAAGAAAGAACTGGCTACAAACGCTAAAGAACTGTTATTAGAAAAAGCAGACATGTTGAAAGAATATTTCTCTATTGTTATAGACAAGAAAGGAAACTTGAAATCTTTACCAGTATTAATAGGTATACAAATATGGCGATAAACTACTCGTGTTTGACATAATTACTCATTTATTTTTTTTTTTTTTCAGAAAAATATTTTCCATACGAAGCTGGCCTTCCATTGTATATATTACGTTTAGCTACCGAAGTCGAGTGGTCGGCAGAACAACCTTGTTTCAAAAATGTTTGCAGAGAAACTGCAAGATACTACAGTCAAATGAATCCTGTACACAATAATCACGACTGGAAGTACATTACAGAACATGTTTTATATCCCGTAATTAAAGAAAGTTTACTTCCCCCAAAACATTTTGTACATGATTCGACGATATTACAGATAGCCAATTTGCCTGACTTATACAAAGTTTTTGAAAGATGTTAGATGTGCCTGATAATTTAGATTTATTTTAAGTGTTTGAAACCTGACTTACCGGACTAAATTTTAGATGGTTGTTTTCTGTTTGTGTGCACATTAAACATGTAATTAATACTAAAGTCTGTATAACAATAATTTTTACCGTGACAAGTAAGATGGTAATATTAATTACATTATTTTTAATAGCATTTTTATTTAACGAATTAAATGGAAATTTCCTAATTGAACTTATGCATCATATTTTTTTTTCTATTTTTGTAATGAAATGTAATAGATACAAACAACATCATAATAAAAGGAATGATTTGTTTAAATATGTATATCGATGTGTATACGTCTATTTTCAGTAATAAGAAAAACATTGAGTTGAAATATATATATATATTACATTCTCTTAAACAATCAACTAAAAAACAAGTAAGTCGTTCTTGGTGAGAACAAATTAATTTCTCATGAAATCTGTATATTCTGCTTACTTTTGGTATTAATTTTTAGCATTCACACTCTGTAGTTTACATTTCACTTTCAATTATTACGGTCCAGTCAACATTTGAATCAATGATATAAAATCCTCTAAAGGATTGTATCCGTTTTTTTCTCAAATTAATTAACATAAAATCGTAAGTTATCCTTTAGCAACACCAACTAATGCTGGTCTTACTACTCGTTGATGAAGTTTGTATCCCAATTTCGATACAACTACAATCGTTCCCGCTTCTTTACCTTCAACTTCCTACAAAAAAGTATTTCTTCTTAATGCTTATCTATTAAAATTATAAACTAGAAACGAGAGGAAGCAAATACATTCTTACCTGTTGAAACAAAGCTTCGTGCTGATTGGGATCAAACTTTTCATTTATTGGATTTAATGAGACTAGACCGTGCTTCTTAAATACCTGGAAAGAAACGTTTCAAAGTAACGCACAGAATTGTTTTTTGGTTACTCTAATTATAAAGTGATCATAATCATTAATTTACTTTGTGCATTTGTGCTTCTGTCATCTTTAAACCCTCGTACAATGTCTTTAAATGTGGATTTTTGTCATTCAGTTCATCCTTCGGTACACTTTCCGTAGCTTTGCCTAAAACGTCTGCTACTTCTAAGAGATCTTTACAGAAGCCTTGAATGCCAAACAGTTTAGCGTCATCGATCTGTTTCATTAATCTAACTCTAAGATTTTCGCCATCTGCGAGTGCCCTTTTGTATTTGTCTTCCAACTCGTTCTTGTAACTTCTAAGGTCCGTCAGTTCTTTGTTGATGAGTTCAAGGTCGGATTTCAATTTCTTCTCGGTTTCCGTAAGCTCTGATAGCGGAGAGTGTGGATCACCATTATCGGACTTCTTTTCCTCTATAATTGTACTGTATTCTTGTCTTCGTCGTGAAATGTACGATCGTTGAGATAACCTACTGATCAATAAAAAAAGATGATAAAAATTACTTCGAATGTATTACCCATTGAATGAAGAAAAATAGATAATAGAGGATATGATCAACTTGAAATATAGTACTGTAAATCGACCATGACACGATTAGGGAAAAGCGAGTCGTACTTAACGATCTAACCTTAAAACGTTACTTACAAAACGTGTGCTTGGTTACACCATGCTTTGGCATCATAACAAATTAAGAAACACGAAGTCTTACCTGAATAAAATATTTTTATTGATATTGTGCAGACTGTCAATCGTGATGCGAGTGAATCTCAGTGCTACCGGTACCACGATCGATGCCATAGCCTCTTTGTAATTTCGCGAAAAAAAGTGATAGGTAAATGATGAAACTGTCGCGATCCTCGTGCTTTCTCAGTGGTTCTCAAACATTCTCTTGTAATGCAAAAACTGCTTTGATCCTGAGTCCATCGTTAAATTAAACGTATATAAGACGTAACGGTCTACTTATTACGTAAACGTAATTCAGTGTTTTAATTTTTCATTCGTAAGAATAAAAAATTGTTCTCAATCATGAATGTTTGTAAAAATAAATAAAATTTAACAGAAGTAGGTATACAAACTTTAGGAATGTACTCTATTCATTTTAAAGATGCAGAAAATTTCTATATAAACTCGTGCAGGAAAATTTGGTTTTGTTTCTGAAACAGAAACGCTTCTTGTTTATGACGAAATTTATTAATTTTCCTCTTATGGTAACATCGTAAAAGTTTTATTTACGATATTCTTATTTCTACTGCGTAAATGTTCAGCAATCGTATCGTTTCATGTGCCAAAATTTGTAATACTCGATGTTATGTTACGAATGTTTCCGACAATCCATAAGTAGAACGAAAATTTTATGTTCACTAACAGTTATCGAAAACGTGTCATGATATTTAAGTGTTTTATTGGAATGAAGTGATACATTACAATACAATGAAAACTGTTCGTGATCATAGATTTTGTGATTCCTATACGTTCTTTTTAATACCTGCGTAAATTTTATTTACAAAAACTGAAATTATCACTCAACATTTTTAAACAAGCAAGACCGTATCCTCGATAGCAAAGAATCGATTTTGTAGCGTTTTCTGAGTTCTCGGTTCTATCATGCTGGAAAATTCAAAATTTTTTTCTGTTGTAAATTGAACATCGTGGACATTCTTTACAATTGTGTGATTAACTTGTACATGCTCTTGTAGAGATACACTGTAACGCTTAAGTTCCACACAAGAAGAGTGGTTTGCCATTTCTATTATGCTAGTATCCATAAATAAGAACAATTTGATTTGCTTCTTTTAAATCTTTCACGCGTAGCTTTCTCTTTTAAAATATTTGTGACATTATAATTTCTCGGTTTACTCGCCATTCTTCTCTAATTACTTCTTTCATTCATTGGAAATACCGTTTATTTTGTAGAGAACATTTCGTGTGAAATGAACGTAACAGTGCTGCTATGTCAGTTACAAAGAAAAATGAAAATATACTGCAGAAGGTGGCAAGTCGTTTAGTTCATTATAATCGCAATAAATACATAATCCTCTTAGTTGTACGTACTTGGAAAAAGTGAAATATGTAACACGTAAAACGATACTATTCTTTTGTAAAGAAAAAAAAAAAAGAAAGAAACATTAAACATATATAATTTGGTTTGAAGACTACGAAGTCGTTGCCCTTCGATTATCCGTAATCAGGCGTTGTATGCTTGTTCAGCATACATGTTCAACATTTAATACAAAAATTAATCTACCTTTATCTAGGGTTACATTCCAAGTGTGCAAACGTCGATCAACAAATTCTACCGGTAAAATGACTTATTTGCTAAATCTTTTTTTAAATGTACATAAACAAATTTATTAATCCACTATGTATGTCTTCCGCGTGCCTCTAGCAGATTAAATGTCAATTTTCATTTACTTTATGCTGGGGGACAAGATAAGGTCTACAAATATTTTTAAGAAGTTTCACGGCACACAACCTAAAAAATGTACAAGTTGTCAAAGGCTTGTACAGAATTAGAAATGTTCCATTAAAATTTATCGTTTTCTTTACGTGTTAACGCGAAAGGTGCAGAATAGGTAAACTACCCCTTCTGATGTATGTCAAAACATTCGCTGTTTTGGCTTTCTGTTTGAAAAACTATACGATGCGTGTGTGTGTCAGGCGTAATGCCGAAAAACAGAGCCGATCACACATTATCAACCGTTTGACACCATTTTTGAAAATATCTAAAATATATAAGGGTTAGAATCCTTCTTGATACTGTTTCGAATCTAACTTCGCTTGGATTACTTCCAATTGTCTTTTTGCTTCGCATTGTGGGAAGTTTTGTAAATCGTAATATTGTGGTGCTATCTTTAGCAACCAATCGGCTGTAACAAATGTAAATGTTAATTATTACGGTATACTTGTATATTATAATAAATCCCTCGTGTGATATCAATAAAATTAAAACGTACGTTTGATATCGGTAACTGTTCTGATATAGTTCTTCGTCGTAAGCACGAATTCGTTATAGATTACCCATTCAGGCTTATGATCCAAACAACTGCTCGGATGAAGCTGTACAATTTGATTATCTTTGATGGTCAAATAATGACCAGTCCTTTCTAAATGGGCAACCTGTGTACAAAAAAATATGGAAATATATTTGCCAAAGGATGTCTCTTACTCTATTTAGGATTAAATATAGCTGAAGAAGTTACCTGCATGAAGAATCCGTTCACCAGCGCTTTTCTGATATTAATATAATAATCTTTTGATGTAAAATCTGTCGAGGTCCGCTTCAAACAAAATCTGTCCATTATTCTGCTTAACTGTTGCCTGACATTGTCGCCACTTTTCAACGATCGGTAATTGACGAAGTTGTCGTAACACCACTGTGGGTCTTCAAAATCTGTGGGAAATAAAGCGATTCAAGTTATAACTGAAGAGAAGCTCGTATAACTTGATACTTACTTTGTTTAAAAGCGTGATACACGTTCAACAACGTCAAGTGATCTCCGTCGATGTGTGCAAATCGCATTTTAGCATCATCCGCAGCCTTTTTCGACTCATTTGGCCTCACAAAACACTGTGGGACTAATACAATATCAATCATCAATATAAAACCACGTTACCTTACCACAAACCTGACTTTATTTTAATAGCTATTATTCTACTAAAAACATTTCGAGTAGAAAAGGTATAACACGAAAAGCATATACGACCCTAGTATTGTTTCTCGATAGGACGAAGCGTTCCTGCTCATACTTTACCTGAAAGCATAGCAGTAATGCTGAGAATCTCGTTACTGCAGTTATGATTGCAAGATGCAATTAGCATTTTCGCCAATTGAGGATCTAATGGAAATTCGGCCATCACAGCTCCCAAATCGGTTAGATTTCCATCGTCGTCCAATGCAGCCAAATAATTTAGAAGCTCCAAAGCTCTCATAAGAGTTTCTGGGGCAGGAGGGTCCATAAAGTCAAAATGAACCTACAAAAATATATAATAAAATGTAACAAAATAATACGTTCAAATTTGAATATCGAAATGTTCTACATACCAAATCATCGATACCAAGTTTCTTCAGCTGCAGTACAACACTACCAAGATTCGACCGTAATATCTCAGGATAAGTGTTTTCTTGCATCTCAATTTTATATGCTTTCTCTGTGTACAATCTGAAACATTTGCCGGGTCTTGTACGACCAGCTCTACCAGCTCTTTGCTGAGCAGACGCTTTACTAATAGGCGATACTAAGAGAGATTCTACACGAATCCTGGGATTATATACCTATTAAGAAATACAATAAAAATTATGGCAGTCATATTTCGATAACGTTTACAGAATAATGTACGGTAAATGAGAAATACACGTTTACCTTCTGTTTTGCAAAACCGGGATCTATTACAAAGACAACACCATCGATAGTCAATGATGTTTCCGCGATGTTGGTCGATACTACTACTTTTCTGCCAATTGCACCATTTGGTTTTGTCGGTGGTGCCGGCTCGAATATCCTTTGTTGTAGATTCGGGGGCAATGTCGAATATAGCGGTATGCATTTCAGTTCGCCTACTTCTGGACCTAAATTATCCATTTCCCTTTTGATTCTCTTACATGCTTCTTCGATCTCTTCTTGGCCAGTTAAGAACAAGAGCAGATCACCCGCTACTTCTTCGCACATATGAATCTGAATGACTGTCCTGATAGCGGCTTCTAAATAATCTCTTTCAGGTTCGGGCGTATAAAAAATCTCGACGGGATGTGTTCTGCCAGGTACATTCATTAAAGGTGCATTATCAAAATACTGTTGAAATTTCCCAGCATCTAAGGTCGCACTCATAATCACTAGTTTTAAATCTGGTCTCTGTTTAATCACTTCTTTCAACACACCCATTAGCAAATCAGTGGCCAAAGTCCTTTCGTGTGCTTCATCCAGCAGTATCACTTGGTATGCATCTAGCATAGGATCGGACATGCCTTCCCGAAGAAGCATACCGTCAGTCATGTACTTCAATAGAGTTTTTGGGGAACTGCAGTCTTCAAAACGAATACTGTACCCTACTTCTTGACCTGAGAAAAAGGATTTATATAGTATTACATTCAAGTCCAGATATTTATGTAATCGAAACATTATTACATTCAATTATACTTTGTAATATATTATTTAAATATATACCTAGTGCAACATCCATTTCCTCTGAAACTCTCTGTGCAACAGACATAGCTGCTACTCTTCTTGGTTGCGTACATGCAACACCTTTGACACCAATACACCTTGAATATTCTACACACCATTGTGGTATCTGTGTAGTTTTGCCTGACCCTGTTTCGCCGACTAATACAATACACTGATGTTGAGCCAATAACCTCATGAAATCAGCACGATACTCGAACACAGGCAAGGTGATTCGCTTTTTATAAAATTCATAATACCGAGGTGTATATGGTAGAAAGGTGTAAGGATTCAGCTGAACTTGACTTTTTGGTGCTGTTGAGGGCGTAGTTGTATTGTTAGATGTCGAGCCATCTCTATAAAATAACAAACATATGGATAAGTAATTAGTAAATCTAATTTTTTAATGAATATCACTTTGGTCACTACCACGAAAAAATGTTCACATCACGAAATCATAAAATCACAAAAGTTGAGAACATACAATTGGTTATGAAAACCAATTACACGAGAACCAATTAACAGTATTTTCGTTTTTGTCGAAATATCGTTTATGTACGATCAGAATTGATTTTTATACACTTGCACGACGTTCTAGGCGTTTCTTAAGATGACTAAGAAGACTTTATGTGGGGTTATTAACGTGTAATACCGAATCATAGAAAAGGAAATTCAGTTGAGAACCTTTATACCTGAGTTGACCAAACAAGTCAACAGCAACAGACGATTTACAGCATGATTTATAAACGTGGTTTCTATATAATTCTTTTATTGCATCACTAGCAACGATAAACGAAGTCCTTCGACAAGGACTGCTTTGAGGATGTACAAGCTGTTTAATAAGATCTGTACTAGTAATGAAAAAACTTGTAACAATGCACATGGCAAGATATTTCATCAAGCTGTCCGAGTTCCCCGATTGAATATACAATAAATCACTCACGCTTTCCGTTTAACGTACGGATCCACGACTTCGATCCTCCGTTTTGACATAATTCTCGTCCCCTTGCTAGCAGATAAAGCAAAATCTGTTTACGAAGTTCCACACACGGCGTCATAAAATGGCAAACTGCTGCTACAGCTTCCTGTAATTGTTGTTACTGAAAATCAACGAAAGATGCCGCATCGAGCATTACAAATAATCATGGCGGAACAATGAACAAGAAACGTGTTTTCACGCGCGTGATTTTAAATTCAAATAAGCACTATAAGTAGACTGCGGATTTTATGCATTTATGACCCATAGGGCTATGTGAAATACAATCAAAGACAAAACTTTCATCGTATCCAATGACTTTTCTATTTTAGTCTGAACCCAATAAGATATTTAAGATGAAAAATAAATTTCTACATTTGTTCCTGTCTTTCTAAATTACTTTAGAAAATGTTATTTTGCATAAAAGTCCGCAGTCTAATTATTACACTACGAATATTTAAGCAATTACAAATTTTTGTGGACCATTTTACAGAAACTAGATTAGAAGTAAAATTTCTTTATCCTGTTAATAATTCAGATTCCAAATGAAATAAGAACTTTGTCAATGTTATTAATCATTTCAGTATACATATTGTATTTTAGGTTTAACATACATTATATTCACAATCTAGAGATGTCATATTACATTGAATTCGAATTTTTTTTTATACAGCTTGGCTCGTTAAAATTGGTTTCAGTTTCAAACCCTCTTATATTCCTATAAAAACGAATGGATTCGGAATGGAAATATATTTATTTATCGATATATTACAATTAGAAAAACTGCAGTTGGAAACGCATAGCTATTAAAGAGCTATGTTCTTAATAATGTACATTGCTTCGTTATCACATCCAAATAATAAAGTTGATCTGTTTATGTCAATACTGTTTATTGGCTTGTGCATGGCACTGCAAAGCGACATTACATTTACTTTTCCGTTTGTCCCTATTGAATTCAACCAATGTGTGTTTGTTGGATCTGAAACAGACATGGTGCATTAGCGTCTAACACATTGAACTTTGTGACTACATTTTGTTTCAACATATCATTCTACCTAAACTCAATTTTGATTGTTGAGAATTATTCCAGTGCCACAATTCGCCACTATGTGAGCATGTAAATAGATTTTCAGGTCTGTCAGGGTGGAACAGTATTTCACTAACAGCCTTAGCATGAGCATTGAGTTGGGTCATTGGATAGGTGTTATGTCTCAAATCCCATACTGTTAAACTACCATCACCACCACCAGCAACAACAATGTGCCTCTGTGTTGGATGATGTGCAATGCTTGTGGCTTCTGTCTACAATTTTTTTTTTTCGATTCATTATTAACTTATACATTAGTTATCAATTTTACATAATTAAAAGTATCAATACTTTTGCTTGATCTGAGAGCATAAATGTTGTTGCGGGCAGGTCTTGATTGCTTCTCAAGTCCCAGACTTTCATGTGCCCTCTTAGATTTCCTGTAAGTATCTCGTTGTGTCTTAAGAAATCAACACAATATATAGAACAACTGTCAGCCTCGTCTGAAAATAAAATAGAATATTTATAAAGTACAGTGCAAAACAAATAATATCATATTTACAGAATACGCTTGTATTTACCAATTACTCTAACTGGCTTCTTTTGCGCAGCTGTCAAAAGATTAATCCTTCCATCTTCTCCCACAGAGACTACATCCTGTTCAAAAGTAGACATCGCTGTACAAGATGCATAATCAGATGTTTTACTGTAAATACACATGTAACGCATAATACATAATATAAAACGACAGAATAGTGGACTTAATTCTTCATTAATGAAGTTTACTTGAATTTGTGTATGAGTTCCCAGGACACGTGTTCCTTAAACTGTGAATATGGATTTTCTTGGATCTGTAGTAGTCTAACAGTGCCTGTAGATGTGGAGACGACGAAGAAATCTCTTGAAATAAACTGTGAAAAATTATTGGAAAATCCACACAAGGAATGGAAACGATCTTTTTATTGAATAAATATTCGGTACCTTAATTTCAGTTACGTCTCCAAGGACCGGATAGGAAGAAACGACCGCTGGATAAGACTCGCCAACATCGTTTACTTGAAACGTCCAATGAGTCACCTTGTTCACCTAGGATAAATATCTCGTTACTTTAAGTGAAACACGACGAAGATTATCGTAGAATTTACATGTACACGAGGATAATAGGTTAACCAGATCGGATATAACCTTACCGGATCGTCCCAACTGCCGGTTAAAAAGTTGGACGCCTCTTCGAAATCCTCATGTTTCCATCGTATCTTGAAAATTTTCTCCGACACGAACGTTCCCTGAACATTTTCGCTCATTTTGTGTCATGGGCTACTGTATACAATTTAAAGTAAAAAGCGGCGAGAAGCCAAGACCAATATCAACGGATATACCCTTTTCCACACGGCTGTCAAAAAGACCGCCAAATGCCGCTTGCATCTGCTTTGAAAATCCCACGTGCTCGATTTATCAATTTTGTCTTTTTTTAGCAAATATGTACAAGAGCTACGATTTTTACAGGGAAATCGTGAAACGGTAGGGGGGGGGTTCAGCTATATTTTATAAATCACAGAAGACGCGGAAGACAGTTACGCAGTGACCAGATCACGAAATAGATGTCTGCGGAATCAACAAATCAGTTAACGTGAACGAAAAGGTATTCGAATATGTTTTTATTTAAATCCACTGCTTTACACGATTATCGCTGTACACGTGATTCACGAAAGTGAAATAAAAAAAGTTTGCATTCCGATCATTCGAAACGATTGAATCTATTTTTAAGAACCGTGTGGTGGATAGACTTTTTCTTTACTCGAGCGGAAGTAATTTGAAATAATTTTAGATCGAATTCCTCTTCCTGCGATGACATCGTACGTTTTATTGTTCTTGTATCTCAATACGCTCTACTTAACTTGCTGTGTCGCAAGCGTTAGGAGCGCGCCGAAACTTTGTAAGTATTAACGAGGCAGCAGGAGGTCTTTAATTTTTTTTCAAATGAACGCATATAGATCACGGTTTTTTTAACACGAGAGAACGAATTTTTAGCCATGGCGGATACTAATGTAACGAGCGATGACGGAGTCACCGAAACGCAACATGCCACTTGCAAAATAGCCACGGAAGAATTGGTCGCGAGCGCACGTTCCACTGTCACCAGAGTGCTCACTGGAGCATGCAACGCAAGTGAGACATTATTTATTTTTTTAAGTGGAAATCATCCAATAATGTCCCGTCAATTCTCACGTCCGATCCAACGAGAAGTCGCGATATATATTTTTTTTAAATAACGTAAAACGTTGCGATCATCTTCCAGAGGCGATCGACGAGAAATTGCGAGCCCTTGAGATGAACCTGACCCAAGAACTGGATGAGATCAAGACGATCCTTCACGCGATACTAGAGAACAAAAGGGACACGTTCAAACTGACCGAAACATCGGACAAGAATAATTTAAGACGGTATTACCGTGATGGCGATCCTAAAGGTGGTACACGATCTTCCGGACAACACGAGATCGACACGTTCAACGACACCGTGCAAGAAGTTTCATCAGTAAATGGTACGTCTATTTTCTACATTTCAATTGAAAACTGCTCTACTATTGATTGCATTACGTATTCATGGGCCAAGAGATGCTAGGATAGCACATTCGAGCGGAGGGATCATTTGGGTCTTCAGGTGATCGTTACACTTTACACTTCCGGGAGTTATTATGCAATTAGGAGGACACAAATCTAATGGCAGATCGGGAACGATCGTTGCTTGCAGCAGATATATGTAACGAATAATGTTCCCGATAATTACATCTCTGATACGTTACAGGGTCTTCGAACTTATTCGTCTACCAATGGCAAATAAAGAACTTCGACGAGAAGCTGGAAAGCTGGGAAACCGCTCGTTCCGAGCGTAGCCCGACGTTTTACGCGGGTCAGAGTGGATACGGCATGTACATGAAAATGACACCGCGTTATTTTCCGGACGGTACTGTCTTCATGGCCGTTGGACTGACACGTGGCCGTTACGATTCCATCCTAAAGTGGCCATTTCCCTGCAAGATTCGCCTGGAGGTATCAAAGCGACCAAATGCTTGAAAATTAACCGAGAATTTCTATCTGTCCTCCCTATCCCAGATAGCACATGACGCTTAATGACGCCTTGAAGACGGCTTAAGGGGTCTCTCTACTGGAAAAAATCGATTTTTTACATTTTCTCAAGGCTTAATATTTCAAAACCATAATCCCAAAAGGATTTCACTTGATTCGAAATAATAAGGAAGTTAAAGGCGTCTTAGACCTAAAATAGCCGTAAAATGGGCGTCTTCAAGGCGTCATGTCCTATCTGGGATGTTTTCCAATTCCCATGGGTCATTTATTATCAGGTTTTAGATCAGTCCAATGAGCAACCGCGACAAGATCGACGTTCACGGATCTGGGATCCGTCCACGCTTTGCTCGGAATATTTTTGGGGCCGTCCGAAATTAACTGGAAAACCGGACAATCCCGAATGCGTGGGATTGAGCGTCCCGCGGCAGGTGGTGTTCGCGAAGCTGCCCGTTCCGAGCGGTCGTTCCACGAGAAACACGAGATACCTTTCGAACGGAACGATCACCGTCCAGCTGACAGTTTACCATTAACCTTCGTACACTGTTCGGGTCGATTTGGCTCCCAATTATATTTTTTCGTATAGACATTTCTCAATTAATTCGACACCAATAGATTACAGATATTACAACCTAGATAGCACATGTCTAATGACACATTGAAGTCGTCTTAAAGGCGCCTTAGACCTAAAATAGCCATAAAATGGGCGTCTTTAAGACGTCATGTGATATCTGGGAATCTAGCGTTAGGCAAACATAGTTTCTTAAATCGACTTTAATTCAGGCTTAATATAATTCAAGGAATATTAATGCAACACTGTTTACTGACCGGTGCACGATGGTTAAGTGGACTACACGCGGGTATCGTTTCGAAAATGAATCGTTAAACAATTATTCTACAACGACAAGCCGACAGGACGGTATAGTGTTAGTCTGTTTTATTGAAGTTTACCAAAGATACAAGCAACATTTGTAAAACGGTCTATACTATATGTTCCTCTCGATGAAACTTCTACTCTCTATCGTTCGAAACCGCGTGGTGTAATATAAATCAGACAAGGAACAGGGAATCAACGTAAGGGTATTGTTTGATGTTCACAAGCCACGGATCGAATCGTGATGCCGGGGTCTGCACCGTTTCGTGGATTCTGGCATGCTCGAAGTTAGTCCAATGAAGTCAATGGAATGTCGAGTCTCTTGTGAAGGGGCGTTCGACCGGCAAGATACACCTGCGGTATATCCGACAACTGATACTCGTTTGCCTCCCGATCGATCGTGTTCCGGATGTGCTGGGACGCGACTCTCAGCAACGCTTTGTAGACAGATACCGGAAGTCGAACGGTACCGCTTGATTCGTAGCCCTGGGACGACGGATTCTCGTGGTAACTTCTCTTCTTTCCGCAGCCTATAACCAATCAGATGCTCGAACATCATCCCCATTAATCATTGTACCCTCACGAGCATGCCAAATTAACATTCGAAGTGCTGTTTTAGACAAGAGCACGCAAAATTATGAAAGAAAATTTAGAAATGGCGTCTGGGCAGGGCCGTTTCTGGCGGGGGTACAGAAGGTGCCCTCGCACTTGGGCGGCCGCAGATGGTTTATTACATGTAAAACTTGAACTGGTAAGAATTATAATCATAAGTTTTCTCATGATTATGCAAATTTTAGCCCAACTGAGTTTAATCAAATTAATTGTATATGTAATCTTGGTAACAGTACTCGTATACAAGAAGGAACTATCTTTATGCACATCCCAAAATAGCATATGACATTTATATATCATTATTCCAGCCAACAACCCAAGAACGGCCCTGCGTTTGGGTACGCAGTTTCCTACACAAGGGTAAACACTACGAGACAATTCCGATTTACCGGTGAACGCGTTGCAAAACGGTCTCTTCATCTTCAGCGTCTCGTCTGTCGTGAATTGTTCGAACGAATCTTGCTGGATCTAGAAAATACAAAAAAATGGCCCCTAAGTCGCGAACATATTCGATTCTCATGGAATGAGTTTATTCGTTGTACAGTTCATTTATTGTACCTTGTTCTGTGATTGCTGGGACCACGCGACCTCCGCGAGGAACGCGATCATCAGAACGCAGGAAACGCAGCCGATCGCCTGTGACCGTAGGAAAAGATTCGATGACGTCGATGGTAATTAACAAACCTCGTTAATTCGCGAAAGTTAGCCGACGTAGCATCGAAATCACTCGATAATTACCGGTCGTAATTTACTAATAAGCAACCCCGGTTACATAAGTGTCACACGTATAAAGGTTTCGAGCATGTCGACTGTGTGTAATCTGCTTATGACTTTAATCAGGTTTGCACTGCGGTTAATTAATGTCCAACGATACCGTCCCGGTCGATCGTTCCTCCGAGCGATGCGTTCGTCATCCGTGCAAATAATTACTTTTAATAGGACCGACGGTCAACCCGAGACGAGGCACAGAAATATAACGTATCGATAGATGATACTGGCAAGAAAAAAAAGTGTGACAATACGATTCCGAGCGCACCACCGTTACGATAAAAAAATAAAATCTGATCGAACGAGAATTCTATGTTACACGTACCGATAGGTACTCTTTACGCGGGAGTTTCGTCGATAAACATCACGATAAGTAATTTCGAATGTAATTATATTGTTCACGGTGACGTTAAATTCCAGAACTAGGCGCCTTATTAAGAAGCTGTCAGCTGTCGATTGGAAAGGAAGGATTATACATCGCGGAAACGATATTCCTAAGGTCCGTTACGATCGGAAAAACTAGCGATACTTGTTCAAGGAAACAGTTAAAAAACCTTCTTTTTAAAGAATACGAAATATCGAAAGATGAAAAATCTTGACAAACTCGGGTCTTCGACATTCAACGCAAAGTATCGTTCCGAAAATCTTTCGGGAGATATAGGAGAGTCACCGACCACCGAAGAACCGATTCAATCAGACGAAACGGAAGAAAGTTACCTTCATGTTGGATTTTCACACCGATCAGCGACCACGACACAAAGAAGGATCTCTGGAGATGCTCGATGGAACGTCTGTACTTCGTAGTCTCGAATTTCCCGTGAGTTTGGGGACACCTTCCGACAAAGGATCGTTGCTCGTGCAAGCGGTCGACTCTCTGTATGAGGGATGAAATCGCGCGTCGCCTCTTCAAATACACCACCCCCACTTCCCGTCACCCCGTTCGAGGGCGTAAATACCATGGCCCGAAGAACGCATGACCGTTCATAACGGTCCCCGCAACGACACGTTTTATGCTCGTCACCGAGAAATGTGGTTTGTCCCATGTGTGTCCTCTGCAATCTGAACTGCAGAAGAAGCGTATATAAATTGTGCATTTCGTCCCCGTTCATTTTCCGCCGTTGTCGTGTCGAACGGGGCAAGAGAGTCCTTGGCTCTAAGGATGAATAGTAACTGCGTTCATTAACACTAGAACTACCGACGATAAACGGATATTTGCTCCGATCGGTGGATAAACGTGAACAACTTTTGAAAGTTTAGAAATTTAGAAATTTAGAACTCGAACACCTAAGTTATTCCTGCTACTGTTGAAAGTAAGAAAAAAATGACTAAATAGGATGTACATGGTTTTAAGGCGTGCATCTGACGGTGATAAAAAAATCCTGTGAAGGTTATTTTAACAGTTTTTTCAAGGTCATCATATTTTTTTTTCAAATATGATCAAATATGATATGTACATACATATTTCAGTTGATCTCTTTCGGGGTGGAATCGATGTCTTTCCGAGCGAAATTGTCCTAATCTTCTTCGACTGCTTCCCTGAAATATTAATAAATAGGTTAATAAATGGATACACTTCTTTGAACAGTTCGATTGAAAAAAGATATCTAATTACAATCTAGCAAGAATGTCTAAGGAAGCACAAATAATTCGATTCTGAGGAATTAACGTTTCCTATTCCAGAAATTGTTCGACAAACGTCGAGGGATCGTACAAGTGCTCCGAGAGCACACTAAGGAACGTTTTAATAGTTTTCAACCCCCTGCAGCAATATCGTGTTTTTTTCCCCCGTCGAATGAATAAGAGGATAAACGAAATTCGGAAAATATGCAAACACCGAAGAACAGAACGTCGAAACGTGAAACAACGATCGAAGCAGGAAAACGGTCTACGAAAAGCTGACCGATCAGAAACTGTGTGTAAATCAAAGAAAAAGCAGTCGGGGTTAAGTACTTACAACGTTCCCACATCAGAACCCGCTGAGTTACGATAAGGTCGTTCAACCCTTGGGCGATCGCCCCTCCCTCGGTTCTTGTTCATTTAAATTTTTCAATCGTGTATTTTCGGGACACGCTAGCCGACCATCACAAATTCTCGAATTTTTTCTTGATTTTTCATTCAAAAAAACATTAAGTAATAAGTATCAATGGTAGAAAAACTGTTCCAATAATTAACAGATTCGTTGTGCGTATTTTCTTCGAACATCTGAAAATAAAATTTGTTTACTCTTTTTTTTTTAGTTTAATTTATGACAACTAGGAAAGATCTGCTTGTGATGTTGTAAATAAATTAATAACAACCATGAACTTCTTATTTTTAATACGAAAAGTTTACAGTTCTCAGTCCTTCCAGCTTCGAATACTGCTACCTTTCATTTTCCTTTTTGCAAAGTCGTTCGAGCGGCTTTCAATACTATACTGAATATATGGCCAGTTTTAAGTTAATCGACTTAATATTGTAAATCACGACGGGTTCGTGGCTTATGAATAAGACATGCGTCGGGAGTAGTATTACTGTTGATATATGGCTCTCTTCACGCATAAAATGGATAGACGCCATAGTAAGAAGTACCTTTATTCTTTTCGATAAAAACGTCTATATGCATGTTATTTTATGAAAATTCACTATGTGAACGAACGAACATTTAAAGAAGGAAAAGCAAATATATATTGGGTTATACTATCATTGTTTGCGCGAGTGTTCTTGGCTCCTTAATTTTTTATCGTTTCTTAGATGATATTCAACAATGTTACAAAATATTATTATTTAAACAAAGTGCAAAATTATATAACAACAATAAGAAAGTCATTTAATGCCTGGATAGCTCAGTCGGTAGAGCATCAGACTTTTAATCTGAGGGTCCAGGGTTCGAGTCCCTGTTCGGGCGTATATTTTTTGTTGTGGTTTCATTTTTATTGATAAAATGATACACAATTGAATCGTTTTATCATGGAAAAAAACAGATAAAAAACCTAAAGTTGCGTAACCTTATCGGATAATTATTCCAAACGAGTAACAACGATAAGGTTGAATTGAATCATTCAGGGACATGTTTCATGTTTCAGAAATGAAACGTAATGCAGAAGAAGTCATAATATAAAAATCAATATTTCAATATTTATTACCAGTTGTTTGATATCACATAATTATATCATCTTCACGTAGAGCGTATAATTACTTGAGCACCGTCTATAAAACACTTAAAATAAACTTATTTATTGAAACGGAAGACCTGTTACTAAATATAAGTGTTAAGTACATCAAGTAATCCGTTTGTTCACCTATCAAAGTATAAATATCTGAAACGTGAGTACAGAGAACATTCAGTCTGTATAACTCGATCTCCTTACAGATCAATTTTTTAAAAGAAATAACACGAAGTTGCGACAGATAAAAATATACGAAGACAATAAAAAATGGAAAATGGATGTTAAATAAACATGAAAATGGATTATCACTTCAGAGGTGGGCCAAGTAACCCTTTGGTCATGTACTAGCAAACTAGATTTATGTCAATAAACATATATCATAAGAATCCCCAAAATTAAAATTAATATTACTAAAAGACTCTAGGACTGTTCTTTAATGCTACCGTCAGGCATGCCAAAGAATGCTTTCTTTGCCATTTTTATGAAGAGGCCTGTCTCAACGACTCCAGGCATCATTGAAATGTCTGTATTGATTTTGTTCCAATTGCTCAGATCCTCAGGGAAATGCCAGTCCAGGATGAAATTACCATTGTCTGTTACAACTGGACCCTGCACATAGGATAGATAAACAGTGTAGTTGAAGTAATCCTGTTCAATACTAAAAATATGAGATTGAAGAAATTCTTACAGCTTTGGCTAAAGCCATTCTAATCTGTACATTTCCCCCATAATTGTCTTCAATGCGTCTTTGAATGGCAGTATATGCCATAGGAACTACTTCAACAGGAATGCATTTTGAGAATTCTTTCTAAGAACAATTAAACTCAGATAATAAAAATAACTGTAAACATTGAAGTTCTTACTCCTGCAACACTCACGTATAATCAGCTATTATAACAAATTGGTCAGCACAAGATGCAACTATTTTCTCTTGAAGTAAGCATCCTCCTCCACCTTTAATGAGATTCAGATCAGAGTCAACTTCATCTGCTCCATCAATTGCACAATCCAACTGTTAATGTTTAAGCGACTTAGTACATATTGATTTTACGTGTAGCAGATTCAAAAAATTGTTCATTACTTTTGGATAAGTTTCTAGATCACCCAACGTGAGGTGATTATTCAATATTAACTGACGAGCTTGAAACGAGGTTGGAATACAAATAACATTAAGGTTTTCTTCTTTCACTCGTTCGACTGAAAAATATAATAATTATTTTATTCACTATTTATTACAAATTCGGAAACTGCACAAGTAACAACTAATAACATATTCCATGAAAGAATATATGTACTTGTTTTAATTTAATTAGGAAAAAAACTGCGACCGTGTCTGCTGATCAGATCAAAGATCACATTTTACGATTGTAATATATGCAAAATTTACACACGACCCAGTCGAACATAAGAGAAATGCGTTGTAAACAATCATGTTTATGTGTAAGATAAAGTAGCGTTACCGAGTCTGCGAACAGCATAAATTATAGTAGACCCGCTACCAATTCCGATAACGCTGTTATCCTGTAAAACAATGGAAAATTCAAAAAATGCTAGAACGCCGATCTGTAACCTGACATTATAAATTCCACTTAGGACAAAACTTACTTGTACATATTCATCGACAGCTTTATAGGCCGCGATTTTTTTAGCGTTTTCCAAGGGTCCCATTTTTAACAAAGTCCTTGGAACGGAATAAAAAACGTTTGTTAATGCACGGCACCGTACACCTAAAATTCCGCTAAGTACCATGCGTGCATACTACGCTACTGAATCGTAGTATTTTCAGAATCATTCTTTGGTTATGCCAGCCGCACGCCGCACGTATGACAAACCGCCTTTCAGGCACATGTTAGGCGGCAAAATTCAAATTCAAATTTCAAATCATTCCGTTAGAACGGTTACTAGGAAATTTAAAAAATCAAACATAAACATGGGGCAATCGTAAGGGTAAACGTGTAAACAGTGACGGTCAATCGAATTTCCATTATATTCAGCATCAGAGGCGAATAACACAAAATACAACAAAACACAATTTACATTTCAATAATTATTATGTATAAGATTTCACTTTAATTCTCTATTAGTACTTCAATAGTAATATTCGTCTCAACACTTTTCCGTTTCAACGTGTCACGCGCAGTGTTTCTATTTTATCAACGTAATCTCTTTCTCTCTCCCTCACTCTCAATCTCCACTCTCTCTCCCTCTCACGCGTTCATTCATAACGCTCGTACATTTTTGTATGTTATCGGTTAATTCTTAAAAATCAGGTAAAAATTCGCGAACCATCATCATACGGGTGAATTTTCTTCGTGTGTACGTATTCGAGCGGGCTAGGACAAAAATCGTTAGCAAAAATTCATGTTTACGACACGTTGCTGTCCCGAGCGGCGATTTCATCGGGATCAAAGGGTGGGCGAGATCCACTTTGTTACAACAAAGGGGGCAAAACTTTGGCCGTCGTCGATGATCAAGGCCGAATTAAGGTAATCTCGCGGAGTGCACAATAATCGTGTAAAATCTATATAATGGTATACCGATCGCACAGGGGATCAGCCTTTGCGTGGATACGACTAGGACACATCTGGACACGTTTATCACCAATTTCTCGTCCTATAAGGGTTCTACGCGACAAACTGCTTCACACAAGACCTGACGAGGAACGCGAACACCTCGTGTCAAAAGCATGCATACACACACACACACACACACACACACACATACACATATATTCAAAGCCGATGAATTCTTTTTTTAAATCGTCTTTTCGTGTCTCTTTAGGTTCAAGCGATCGATGACGCTTAATAGGGCCGTGCCAAGGAAAGTTGTTACACGACAACGCTAATCGCAGTGTTGTAGATCAATGTTTTCGTGTGGTGATAAACATTTTGTCCACTTTGAAGACAATCGAAGACTCTTCCTGTCGAATGGCTCTCAAAGGGAAAAATTGTTCAAAGAAAAAGGAGAAATATGTGTTCCTTATTCTTACCCCTCTTGTACAGGCATAAGCATACACTTGTAGTAGAGAGACATATGCATACACACAGTAACTCTCTTTTTCTCTCTTTCGTTTTCGCTGTCTCTCTGCCCGACGAACTAGAAAGGACTTTGTGTGGGGAGACTCTTCCTCTCGTCAACTTTCTTTTTGTTTTTTCTCCTTTTTGATTCTAACCTCCTATCCCGTACACCACCCTTCGTATAAGTGTGAAACGATAAGGAAAATGAAAATCATGTCTAGGTGTTAAAAAGAGGGTCACAGAAGCCGCCTACGTAGTTTCTTTAGCCCACTCTTTTTTTTTTCTCCTAGTGTTGATACATTATATATGTAATATGCGCTTTGCTAGCTTCTACAAAATTTCTCTATCGTGCTCTCCTCCGTACACCACTCGCTTTTTAATTTTTTTCCTCCTTTGACTAGGATTACAGGTTAAACTCCTATTTTCACGTCGTGAAATATACCGATCGATCGTACGAGGAATTGTCCACGTTCGGGACGATTCTTCTTTTGGATGAAACGTGGGGGGGACATCGTTTTACGCGTTCTTGCGATGGATTTCATCCAAAAGATTCACGTCTCCAGCGCGTTGTCTTCTTTTGTTGATACATTACATATTTGGTAACACGTTCGAATTATTCCGTGAAATGATATAATAAAAGAATCTTCCATTTGGTTATTGATTGCAAACAAGTGAGCCTTAACCGGATATGATGCGATTTTACATAACGAAATTCTTGTGAAATTTGTTCAACAAATTAATCGATGCTTTTCGTTTTTACTACTGTTTTTGTGTTAATTTACTGAACGTATTACTTCGAGTCTTCTGAATTCCTTGCGTTCGACACTTGAATATTTTCACCTTTTTCGCTGTTTTCTGTATCCGTTCAATCGATTACCATGAAATTTCTTAAGAAAATGAAATCTCTGACGTGAGGAAGGCAATGGCGACAGTTCTCGATCGTGCATATATATGTATATATATATATATATATTTATATATCACAGTACAAAAATACTGTGGAAAATATAGTATAATAAATATTCTTAATAAAAAAGAAAAGGAAGTTTCCTTTCTCACGTTTACAATGTTTTGGTTTTTTTTTTTTTTTGTAATTTTTCGTTAGCAATCCTTTTTCTTTTTTAACCAGAGAGCTTCTTAGAACGGTAAAGTACAGTGATCCGAGAGTAAATTCGATCGCGCATCATTTTAAACGTCAACGACACATCCCCTTCGTGAAAATTATCGTCAATTGTATTTTACAGACTTTGTTGAGCCACAATCTACCTACTGAGCCCTAATTCATTAAACACTAATGAAAATCGATTATAACGATAAGAAATCGGTATCATTGATAAGAGCGTAATATTACGAGTAATCGTCGAGATCCGATCGAATCGTTGACAAAATTTCCTTTTTCTTACTTATCCCAACGAGACAAGATCGTTTTCTCGATCACGTGAATGTTCATTCGCTTTATCATCGTGTTCGGTCTCGAACTTCCGGCAGCATATTATTAATCAACTTTGCCTCGATACGTGTGCACACTTACGTTAAGTAATCGCGATTAAAAATAATATGCACGATTCACCTACGAACAATCACAATCATTCGAAACAAGATATGTTAATTTGTTTCTAGAAGCAAAGAGGGATATTCTTTAAGATTTAATTTTTTTTTCTTTTTTATTCGACGAACGAGTAGACGAAAAATGTGCAGATTGAACAGGTTTTTTTTTGCGCGTAGGCGAGCACACGTGTTACACACACACAGATATACCTTGTCCGAATCTCTGCGCGACGTTCTTTGTCATACACAGTATATTAAGTGTATGCATGTATACATATATATATATTATTTATTTATATTCATACGGTAGGCAACGATAAGTAAAATATAGTTTAAACACGAAATCGAGATTTCGTTTCGTTCGAAGGGACAGGGTTGTTCGTCGAATAGAGAACGGGGGAAATGTCGTACGCGTGCCTATTCCTCACTCTCTCTCTTTGACTTCGCTTCGTCGCGTGACCAGATCGAAAATTTCATTGATCAGCGTCTGATTCTCCGTGAAATTCGTTGTCAAATTTACGACGTTCGATCCAAGACCAAGGGAGAGTCCATTGAACGTTCTTCTATTTTTTTTTCCAACGGAAACTTTCTCGTGTTCCGATGCTCGACGAGGCGCGAATCAAGGGCGTAAGAAAAACATTTTAATCCACGCAAAAATATCACTTTTTCTTGTTTTTCGTCTTCTTCTTTCTTTCCTTATTACTTTTGCAATCGCAAGAACAATTTTTATCTTTTTTCGCTTCATTTCTTTTGCTTTCGTTATCGTCGATCGTTTGATTCATTTTTTTTTTCTTATTCCGTCCTACGGGCAAAGGATATCCGGGAGAATCGTCGACAGAAAGCTTCGACCAGAATGATTTGCTTCCAAAGAAACCTTTAATTTTTCGAGACAAATTTCCGATACAAGTGAAATCGAGATCCCCCGGGGGAAACGGTTCTGTTCGGTCGATTCGCTTCGTCTACCGGCTACACGAATTTTTTTTTTCTTTTCTTGTTTCGTTCGAGAAGAAAACTAGCATTTCATGTTACGTCACGCATAATCGAAAATGGATGAACGGAACGAAACGAAACGAGGGGGACACAAATCATCGATGGGGAACGCGCGAGAATGTTACGACGATACTCCGAGGCACCCTTTCGTTCTTATGAATAAATATATATTTATGTATGTGTGTATATATATATATATATGACGAAGGGAACGAAAGATCGTAACGATTAAAATTAATAACAGTGTTCGGATATAGGTACACAAGCATTCGACAAAGCTTCGAACAGGCATTCGTCACATCGAAGACATTTCTCGGGATATATCCGTGAGGGGGAGGGGGTGATATCCCCACCCCTGCTACATGATAGGCGATTAAAATTATACACAACCAAAAAAAAAAAAAAAAAAAAAAAAAAAAAATTTTTCAAAAAAAAAAAAAGGGGGATGCGTAGTGTTTCTGTTTCTTTTCCAGAGATTTCACAAATTTCCCGAAGTGACGTGGAAACAAGGGGGAACACAAACTCGCTGGCGGCCAAGAACAGCAATACTCGGACTAAAAAACGATCGTACGCGTGTTAACTAATTTTGTGACTATATTTGTGTGAGAAATTATTGATTCGATACGCATAGCAAATCGAAATTGTTATCGATGGGCTTTTTATCGGTGGTTTTTTTTTTTTTCGTTCGCTCATCGATCAACGCAATTGATTATTATATGTACAGTAATGTCTCGATAAGTGCAACGAAAGGTTTTCAGCCCCTGATAGATTTGTTTTTATTTTGTTTTGATTGGGTCCATAGAGGAACCCCCTCTAGTAGTGGGAATAACGCCGTTGTTCGTGTCGCATTCATCGAGGAATCACTGTATATTACACGTGCGCGTGGAGTCTTGCATCGTTCTAATCTCTGTAGGCTGTGAAATTCACGTAGGAATTGTTTCCTTTTTCCTCGTGTATGCGTTCCAACTAAATGTTACGTCGAAGCGTAAACGCAAAAAAATCATCCACTTTTTTTCTCGTTTTCTTTTTTAGCTCCGACACATTCGTATTCTTTGATTTATTTCGATTAGTTCAGCGGCGGTACAGTTATGTGTGTGTTTGGTTCTTCGTCGGAGGTACGCTACGCGCGAAGAACCCGTTTCGATATCAAGAAGACAGGCATTCCTTAATAAGGTTCGAATTTCTCCTCGAATTTTGCAGGCATTTTGTGTTAAGGTAGTTAGTATATTTTTTTCTTTCCGGTTTTTGTTCTCGTCTCTCGTGTTCTCGATCACTTTCTTATTTTTACGTAGATATCGTTAATTCACACGTAAAAAAAAAAAAAACAGAAGGTGCGCGTTATTGGTTGTCAGGGTACACTCGAAAGGAAGGGGGGGGATCGGCGAGAATTAAACGAAAGATCCAGGTGGATGTGGGATGTATACAATATGTATATATAGATGTGGACATATAAAGAGAGAGAGAGAGAGAGAGAGAGAGAGAGAGAAAAGAAAAAAAGGAAATTTAATGTTTTATCTTTCAACACCTTTGGTTATTCGTAACGTTATTATTATAAATTCGACTTCGAATCGTGAATCTTCGAGAAAGTCGAACCAGGCGAGAGCAGTAAAAACAAATTTAAAAAAAAAAAAATGATAATAATAATGAAAAGTCACACGCTACATACTTTATATAATTTTTTATCAGTTTATATGTATATGTATAATTATGTATATATATATATATATGTGTGTATGTATAATTTTACTTTGTTTTTCATCATCCACGTCTTGCAGATACACCCACAAAATTAAAGCAGCCTAAGATGAGAAATTAATACAAAGAAAATTAATTACAAAACGAAATGTACACAAAATGGATAAACGAGAAACCTATGCGGAAATTAAAAAGGAAGAGGAGGGGGCGGGCGGGAGAGGGGGTTAAGAAGGACGATGAAGATGATTGAAAGATAACTAATTCACTCGTCTGTCTGCACGAGCGGCTTCGATCACGCTTCTACTTTCAGTAGAATCTTCATGAAATGCATTCGGGTGATGCGTCACACGCACACAATCGATGCATATATCTCTTGTTTTCTTTTTCTTTTTCATTGGATGCCATTTGCTTCCCCGTTAAAATAAGAATTAACGAACAGCCCTTAGATCGTGAGTTCTCTCGTTTCGATCGATCACGAAGAAACATTCTTGATTCGCCTACGGTGCGATGCACAATAATCCGTTGCACGTACCGAAAAAGAAAATCAGGCAAAGCATCTGTCACCGGAAGAAAAAAGAAAGAAAGAAAGAAAGAAAGAAAGAAAAAACACACATTACAAATATATATATTTGATCTCGCTTCGGTACCGTAAAATGGAGCGATTAGATTTTTTATTTTTTTCCGCGGAGAAACGACAATACGCGTGAACAACGAGCGAACATTAACGAAAGAAAGAAAGGAAAACAAAAAAAAAATGAAATACCTAAGAAATAGTTTAAGTAAATAATTATTATAAGTTCGTTTGATTAACACGTTAAAGCTCTGTCTAATCCCTCCACTTTATAAACAGCGAAACTTTATGCAGCCCGTAACATGCCAAGGGATGGCCCGCCAAACTAACAATACACATCCAATCCGTGATTCGATTAATCAAAATATTACTCACAAAACAGCCTCAACTGACCCATTCGTTCTAACAACAAAGCAACTATGTACAATGTAATTTACGTGATAACCGCGAAGCGTGTGGGCAGTTGTATCGTATTTTAAACGTGAAACATTAAAAGTTCATAGTCAATCGCTGCCTTAAATGTTCCGTCCAACGCTTAAGATCTCTTCGATTGCGAACGGACCAGCCCAGGCGACAAATCAATCGTTGATTTTGTATAAAACGTGTTCGTGTTTGTAAAAAAAAAAAAAAAACAAGAAAAAAAACATAGTATAGGATACATCGGCGCGTTAGGTGTCGAAGAAAGTGTGGTACACGGTGATCAAAGACAAAAAAGGAAAATCGAATTTCACCAGCTCGAATACGGCGCTGAAAATCGTGGTGCGTACGGCAGGCACGTTTCTCAAAATTCCTCGAGTGTCTGCGTTCACGGGGACCCTCCTCTCGATGTTAAACACAATACACAATTTTCTCCGGTCGTGACTCTGTCCAAGTTTCGCCCGTGTATAGCCGCACAACCGTGAACATACGTTTTTTCGTTTCTCCTTTAATTGTTCCAGCGGTTCCGTTTGTCCTTCTCCGCCGATCTCTATCCTCTCGGTGAATCGTTATCGCGAAAACCGATCACAAGGAAAATTTTTACTATGGAAGAACGTGGCAAGACTCGCTGAGGAGCGTGTACGAAGAGCGTGTATATGACTGCAAGAAGTGAGTTATGTACATTATTTGCATGTGTCGGCGAATCAGCCCTTGCCCCTGTTCCAATGTCACATCAACGACAAAAAGATGGCGAGATTAGAGTTTGATAATTGATAAGATAGGGAGGGTGAGGAGGAGGGCATTTGAATAATTATTAATATATAATATTATAATAATAACAATAATGATGAGGTGTTCTAAACAGTGCTAGGACTAGTGCTAGAGGGTCCTGTGAGGAATTCAGGGTGGGTGGGTACGGGCTAAAGGAGGGGTTAGTGCGGAGGTGGAGGTTCCGTAGATTGGTTTCTGCCATCTACAGCCCTAACCGGCTTCCTACGTGAAGGACCTGTTACTCCAACTGGACCGACTCCACCACGAAGGTACGCTGGCGCCGGGGTCGCTATCGGTTCTCTGATAGTTCTACTAACTGGTGGTAGCAGTGGTTGCTGCAGTACCTGTATAAAACGATTCAACAGACTGAATTATGTTCTTTGGTCCCCGTTTCCCTATAGCGAAACAGAAACAAAACTCCATTCCACGTAAGAATAACCTTGTTTTGCGCATGGAACGGGATCTAAGACCGTTAATTGGTAGAAAATCGACAGAGATAGCAAGCTACAAGCAATCGCATGCATCTGAATCGGTTGGCAGTAAAGGGGGGCTGCGCAGATCGGTCGAAAACTCGTCCGATCGTGAGGTTATTCTTACATGGAACGGAGTTTAGTCGATATCAATATCAGGACATACTATAAGTAACACGTTTCTTTCACGTGTCGTCACTTGAAAATATTGAAGTAAATAAACATATGGGAATATCCACCGTAAAAATGGAAAGATAATTCTTAAAAGAAGCAATTACAGGAATGATCATTGCACTGGTTTTAAAATGAAGGAATATTATTTTATAGCTAGTAAGCTGGATAAGAAACGACATCACTTACAGAATGACTCGATAGTTTAAGTCGTTTTTAAATACTCACCAGTGGCTGAGGTAATACACTATGCATCAGTGTTTGAACCCTAGGTGTATTCTGTGATGCGAGGCTATTCGAGTTTGGGGGTGGCAATCCTTGACTTTGCACACCTGTCCCCACACCGCCAGCAGCAGCCTGAACGGTGTGAGATTGTTGTGTAGACGTTTGCGTCGCGTGTTTACTCGCCGCCGGTTCCCTCTTCGCTTCTTGCGCAACACTTAATTTCTTCGTTGAAATTGCAGTCGCGCTCGCGTTTGGTGTCTCGGGACTGGTTGTCGCGGTAGTCGCACTCGACACTGGCGTTTGCACTGTCGATTGTTGCTGTATTAGCTCCGGCAATGTTTGCGACAGAGTACTGACGATCAGCTCGCGCGTAAAGAGACTCCTGTTCGCACTTTCGCGTTCGATGTTCTGCAACTGCGAGTCGGACAGAGTACTTGTAATGCATCTGCAAAGATAAAAGGAAGATTTAATGCAGAACGCTGTATCAAGTACCGCGGTGAAGCGACACTATAAGTACGTATATGCTTGTTTTCGTGCGAAGGTTAAGAATAGCTGTATGTATGCTTTATCCTCGACGGGATTCCTTAAAATATATAGCGTTTTGGCAACTGGCACAACAATCATGACATGCGCTTTTGCTGCTTTCAGACAAAGAACATACACATACATATGTACGGTACAGAAATATACATAGAAAGTCATGTATGCATTTTTTCTTTTTTATATTTCTGGTAAGTCTTATAAAACGAAATGTGCCGTGCAATTTAAATTTCATCAACATACCTTGGCAACAAGAACATATAGTTCTGTGAATTGGTAGACAATACGCCGGACGGGTTGGCCACATTGGTCGCATTATTATTACTACTCGTACTATTTGCTACCACGCTGGTCATAGTAGTAGAATGACCTCCGCTAGTACCTCCTCCGCCGCTTACAGAACCAATAACCTGAGTCTGCCTCCTAGGTAACCGCTCCAATTGTTGTCTAGCAACCTAGAATCGGATTTGTATTGCAACACGCGTTCCGGATTGAATAGGAATGGATTTCGGATATTTCGGTGTGTACATACTCTAAATTGTTGTCGCTCTATCTGTAGCTGCATCTGCAATTGTTGTAATTGCGACGGTGTCGATGAACTCTGACCAGTCCCTCCACCACTTCTACGAACACCGGATAATTGAGAGAGTAATTCTGCAATCGGATCTATACCATCTCGATTACTTGGACTCAATCCCCCGGACGAACTGAAATGTATATTGGACCTGCAGGTCCAATGACACGCCAATGAACATTATCTAAGATGAGATGATGACGATGAACTGTTCCTGAAGTCTTATTTCGTGTTCTTTCGCAAAATCGTTCGGAGTCAACGTAATACGATGGTTTAATAATGCTGCCTAATGATTCGATACGTTAAGTATTACGGTACAAATGAGACAGTGATACGCAACTGGCATGCATTCGACGATAGAATATCAAAATACATGTACAATACAGTACTGTACGCGCGTTTGTTAATACACATGTTAGTACGACTTGACATTATTCCTCTTATGGAACGTTCAAACAAGAAATCATTGTTCTTTTTCTAAATATATAGTACTCGCTCTCTAGAATACACCATAATGTTGAGTGTGCACAGTAGAAAATATACATACCTGCGAGGTCGTGGCCCTCCAACAGCTCTAGATGGATGCGGTATTCGTCTACCATTGTTTCTATTTGAAGATGGTTCATCTAGAAAAGAGATCAGGTCTCTTGGTCCACTACGATGCTCCAAACTCAAATGTCCCGCAAAATCATCAGTCACGCTGTTAGGATCTCCTCCGGGGATGGATGCACATACCGGACAAACCTAAAATGAAATTGTATATTCGGACACTGTATTTTCATAAAGCAAAATATATTAAATGTTTCTAGACACAACACTATCTTGTTGTACATACAACATCAAAAGAAGTGTCCGGATGATCCGCAGCAACGTGTTCTTGTAATGTAGCCTCGGTGAAACCCATTCTTGTACAGTAAGGACAAGTTAAGGATTGTGGCTGCTCTATACTCACTGCTTCTCCACCGTAATATAATTCTGTCAAATAATAAATTACAATATCGGTTGATGCGATAACAAAATTATTACAGGATGCAGGATTTCATGATTCTCTTACCAAAATCAGATCTAGTAAGTATACATTGCATAGGATGATCAGCGAGGTGACGCGTACTACTTGCACCCCCGTCATAACAGCTGGCACACAAGTCATAGTCGAAACACACTAGACACTTGTACCTGCGACCCTGAAAATGCCCCTTTAAGCAGGAGTCACAACTTACTCCTGAAATAAACAGAATGACATATTAATGCTCCGTGAACAATTAATATTTCAGAAAAATTAAATAAATTGGACTGTTTTATCGAGTTTCGGAAGTTGAAGCATACATGTACGTATATACAGCAGCCAAACAATGCACGAAGAAAAATATAGTTGATCTCACAAAAGATATTTATATATACCTTGTACACAGATACATGTGTAGTAACCTTGAACCAAATCTATAAAAAGTAACGTGCTTAATTCTGCTTTTAAACCAGAATGCAAGCACATATGATTCTTATAACAAAGATTGCTCGATATATTTATGGGGATATAGATACAAACAACCTTATGAAAATTGATGATTGAATTCGGGGAAATAATATGAATTGTTCTAAAGAATTGACATAATAAAATTATATTCAATGAAACAGAAAATGAGTGCACAATAAATCAATTATGTCAATTAAAAACATCTCTGAAGAATAACCTTTGTTTCCCAGGTTGGAAGTACTATATCTAAGAATAGACTGTTAATACCTACAATAACAATCTTTCAGCTGTGCATATATATCTCTACTATTTAATGTTTATACAATCAAAGACTTTAAATATATGTAACAAAATAGTATTGTACATATATGTATTATTTATATACAGTCAAACAAAAACAGTACTCCTTTCAAACAATGTCATTACAAAGTTTCAAATATCGGTATGAACACAGTCACGATAATGCTTGCAAACTTTAATACTCTATGTGTAATTTCAATTATGTAACATCTATAGATGCAACGCAAATAGAAGAAAATGTACATTAATTTTATTCGCATAAATATTTCAATTCTGCCAATACAGCTGTTACATTTATACTTCGGAGGCAAAGTAAATTGCATTGTTTAATATTAAAATTATGGTGTTCTATTGAAATAAACAATGTTCTATCGATAAAAAAAAAAAAGAGATTTAAAATTCAAAGAAAAAGAATCAAAGATTCATTTAAGGCCAGGAAACAACAGGAATATGTTTCAATATGTTTTACAAGTCTAACATGAGAAAGAGAAGGGGATTGAAGATGAAAACTAATTTCATGGGAGTCAGCTGGCAGAGTATTCTGACAGCTGGTCAAGAAAATTTCTCTTGGAATTTCGTGATCCTGCAAGGACAAAGTATTGGAAGGGGATGACATTGCAAAAAAAAAAATTCATTGAAATCATCGGAGAACAGCATTACAAATCTACAGAAATTGGAGTAATTTTTTATAAGTGCTGCCATCTGGCCTCTGACATTAGACCCTTTGGTACAGGGCTCGCAAGAAATGTCTTACGAAAAATCTCATGCATTACAGATCTCGTAACCTCGACGACGATCCCGTAGGAATTATCCATGCAAATTCCCGAGTCCTCCATAATACGATTATTTTACCATCAATGCGAAACAAATTTAGCGAGCGAGAGAATTCGAGGCTGACTTGCCTCTGGTCAGGAACATTGCACACGTACGTACCTTCATGTCGATTCATTTTCCGTTTAAAATCTCATATACGCCGATACCGCGAGGTCTCGCGATCGAACGGTTCACAAGGTACGATTACTGTTCGCCACTGCGTTCGCTCTTCACGTCGCTCAGTGCAGTGGACACGATGGGAAAAACATTAATCGTCAAACAAAAAATTTTTCGTTAGAATTTCCAGCGTAAACCTAACCCAACTAGGCTACCGTGACGTCACACTAGACCTACGCTCCCGGAGAACGTTGGGGGCAGGGTCTCCGCGACGTTGCCGCATTTTCGACATACGCGCGCGGGAAATTTGAATGTTATTTGGTATAGTTATTCATTCTTCAGTGGAAATATTACTTAAAATCGCTGTAACATAAGTTTATACGAAAAAGAAGATTCTATACCCGATGCTATAATTCATAACATGTTCTGTGATCATGTCTTCAAGCCTTTCGTAGATTCTTCGATCTTTTGTTGTCATTAACAGAATATCAAGAAAACCATGAATGGACAATTGACAAAGGCATTGAATAATTCAAATCTAGTTAGGAATTATTCGATTCTACTAATATTAATTTGTAAGCCTATTTTATGGGTACCTTAATGAAATAGATATGTTTAGTTATTTTCGCTGATACAATATTAACCAGTCGATTGACAATCTATTATCATAGTCTTTGCCGAGATCTGGCAATCCGGCAGCCTTTTACGAACTTTTCCGAAAGTTTCTCGTATGACTTCGTACTCTTCCGTATAAAATCGCAAACACCCGAAGCCTATTTCGCGAAGTTGCTTCATTTATTGAACAATGGCGACGATACTCGGACGTGTTCTTGTATATGGTGGCAAGGGTGCTTTAGGTTCTACTTGCGTTTCGAAATTTAAATCGAACAACTGGGTAAGCAGACTAGACAGGAATCTCTAATATAACTAAATAATTCAAACATCTGTTTCGTTATCACTGACATCAGCTTTCATAGAAGTTCCGGCTCTTCCTTGATATTTCTAAGTGTATTTAACATTTGTAAATGTTACCTATCAACTTCAAATAGAACACATTGTAGAACCTTAATATATCGGTAAATAATGAGTTTTTGTCATTTATTAGTCGATAATTTCCAACAACTGTTAAGAGAAAATGTACAGACAGCGAGATTTCATTGCGCAATATTTATCTCAAAACGTATGTAAATATGTTTGCGTTTCTAAAGTGTTTCTTACTTTTTTTTGTTTTTTTGTAATTTCTCTCGTATCGATTAGAGATATTCTCTAAACAGTAAGCTTAAAATGGTTGTTTTTAGTACAGTCTGGTTATTAAATTTTCGCGGTAAAATTTACGTTCTTTTCCCGCACTATTTTGAACGTTACGAAATTAATATCTCGATCATCATGAATTGTAATTTGAATGTTGTGATTTATTATCAAATATGTCCTGTGTATATCTTAACAAGAAAAACGATTACTCTATGAGTATTTCATTAAGGAGGGAATTCTATAGTTGCTGAGCAATCCTTAAATATGTGGGGAAACTACATCAAGGACATAACTAGTGTGTCAGATCCTTTCACATAAAACCTTGAAATCTTGCTATGCTCATTAAGTTCAGATTTTTCATTGCATTTAGTAATATTATTTTCCATGCTATTAAAACAGTTATAAATATTGTTACTCTATGACCATCTTATTTTTATAATTATAGTGGGTTGGATGCATTGATATGAAACCAAATGACCAAGCTGATGCAAATATAATTGTAAAACCTGAAAATTCTTGGCAGGAACAGGTATTTCTATAATTTTTTTATGTAAAGATATCTAAATGTATATATATATTCCTGTATGTATGTTGTTTTTTCAGCAAATTAATATCTTAGAGCAAATTACAAATATCTTAAACGGAGAGAAAGTAGATGGGGTAATTTGTGTAGCTGGAGGATGGGCTGGTGGAAATGCTGCCCACAAAGACTTTATTAAAAACAGTGATCTTATGTGGAAACAGAGTGTATGGAGCTCAGTTATTGCTGGTAGCATTGCTGCCTATCATTTGAAAGAAGGTGGTTTTCTTTCTTTGACTGGTGCCAAGGCTGCATTAGCAGAGACACCGGGTAAGAAGTTTCCATTATTGCTTAATAATGATCTTTTTATACTTTAATATAAACTGTATTGTTTTGTCAAATTAGGAATGATTGGTTATGGAATGGCTAAGGCTGCAGTTCATCAACTTACCAAGTCTTTGGCAGATAAAGAAAGTGGTCTTCCAAAAAATTCTTTAGTCACTGCTATTTTACCAATAACTTTAGATACACCTATGAATAGAAAATGGATGTCCACTGCTGATACTTCTACCTGGACTCCTCTTGAATTTATAGCAGAGTAAGTACAACATCATCTGTTTTATATTAATACTCAAATGAAAGTATAGCTTCTATTTCATATCAATATTTTTATCTTATGTAACAGCCTTTTCTGGAAATGGTCGCAAGGTCAAGACCGGCCTGTTAATGGTAGTCTTCTGCAACTGATTACTAAAGACAATAAAACAGAATTGATTACAGCTTAAAAAGAAGATAGCACACTTATAGAAACAAAGATTTCTGGGATATTCCATGACATTGTACATACCTAATGTAAATGATTCATGTTTAATGTTATCTGAAATTAATTTAATATTGTCTTTAACAGTTTTGTGATTCATGGTGTATGCATTTACAAATGTTTGTGTAAATATGCATGTGTACTTCCATATGTAATTTTAAATATTTGCATTATTGTTATTCATTCCAATGCTGTAACTGTACAACAATGAAACTATGTAACCTAAAGAAATTATTTAAAAAGAATTTGTAATAACTTGCATATTATTTTCTATATTTATTTTTATATGAGTATTTTTTGTACAGTAAAATAACGCATACTTCATGCTACCAGTAACATTCCATATTTCTGATACCTATTGACAATATAATCTGATACGTTGACAATATAAAATGATGAAATATCAAAAATGTTAAAAAGTAAAATAAAGAATATACTGTTAAAGTGATTCAGTGTATTTTTGTTATTAAAACATTATGCATGCTAGTTATTACCGTATTAGACATTCAATAGTTTACAGGATATTTAATTTTATCTTTATAATTTTTATCTTCACTTCTTATTTCAAATAAGAGTAGTGAAGTGGATGCGGTACAGGTTCGGAAATGGGCGGATTGGTGCCAGATTCCTTCTAAATTGAAAATGTGCTTTTTTAGCTGAAAAAGCTAATTTTTTTTAAAGGTACTACGGTATTTACATATATTCGAAATTTAATTTACAAATGTCTGTTTTCCATAAAATATGTTTGAAGCTATTATAGTGATGGTTGCACTTCATGGCAGTCATGTTTTTAATAAATATTTACAGATTACTTAACTGACGAGAAATGTATACTTTAAAGACAAAAATGCCAGTGCCTGGATAGCTCAGTCGGTAGAGCATTAAACTGCATAAGCTCAATTAGCTATGAGTTACACAGGCGAGTGTACAAATGGTTAGGATAAACTCTGACAGATTGGTATTTTTTGTATGTTTATTGTTACCATCTACCTGTGTACCTGATTTATATCTCTGTCAATCAACATGTTTAAAACAAAAAAAAGTAGAGCATTAGACTTTTAATCTAAAGGTCCAGGGTTCTAGTCCATATTCGGGCGATTTTTTTCTTTCGAAAATTGTCCACATTTTAGATAATTTATACAATATGTTACTAATAATATGATATAAATTTATTTAACTAACTACAATAAAAATTCTAATATAAAAAAAGAGTATTAAGAAATTTGGAACAATTAAGATTTGATAGTAACATATCGTAAATTTCTTTATTTCACAGATGTGCAATGGAAACATTACACTTAATATCTACTGTGGATTCTGAACATAAATTTACATAAAGAAGTTTTTATTGGATAAATTTATTAATAATAATCATCTATACTAACAATGCAGTAATGTAGTGTTTTATTTTCACTTGGACAGTTCCTCTAGCATTCGCATCTCAGCTAAAACAAAAATTCATAACAATAATTTAATAAACATGTAAAAACACATTTCCAAGGTCTGTTACTTTGTATGTAGATTAACGATACCATATTAACAACCCCTTCTAGTGACTATTATTTGTATTGTATTTTCTACCTTCAAATATTCTTTTCTTCTCTTCTGCAAGTTTTGCGTCCCTCATAGGTTTTTCTTGTAATTCTTTCTCACGACGTGCGTCTTCTATTCTCTTGAATCTGTGTTGATGAAAGGCTCCATATAAGATTCCAGTTAACAGAAGACTCCATCGTGCAAACTATATGAAATATAATTATTACAACTACTACTTATATGAAATATTATGATCTAGCCAGCGTTTCAAATAATCTAACAAAAACGATTAAATTCAGTAAACGTAGGGAAAAGAAAATCAATAAATTTCTTACTCAGTTTACACTTGCTCGATGTTCAACTGCTCGAACAGGTTAAAGAATAATAGTCACACTCGTTGTAGACGGTGTTTTTTCAATACTAATAGCGCGATGAAAAGAATACGAGTTATGTTTTAGGACATTTAATTTGTTGTACGTTAATGAAATATAACTTCACTAAATTCCATAAAAAATTATGTAATATAATCAGATTGAAACCAGTGTGCATGAAACAAGTTCATTCAAATAACAAAAGAAAGACTGAAAATCAGTTCTTGCGATAATTGTTTCAAATATTCGATTATTTCTATTTCCGAATTTCATTGAAACAACTGACGACACTTACTTTTATAAGAGGAGATACCCGCAAAGGTCTCGGAGCTGCTTCGACAGTCGACATTTTGCCACTGTGTTAGGGAATAAAGTTCTGTCCGCAAAGAAATCTTATCGAGAGAGACAACTGTAGATTAGCACCCTCGCGAGCAACTCTGCTTCCGCTAGGAGAAAAAGTGACGTGTGGAGAAAGGCCTCCTACCACTTCGTAAATTTATTTCACGTACTGAAATAAATGTTAAATTGAATGTTAATTTGACATAAATTTCAGTAATTCCCGAGACCAAGTGATAGAAGGCTCTTTTCCTACACTACAAACACCAACTAGGTATTCTAATTCATTTTACTACAAGTTACATACATATTCTTAAATTAAAATTATATTAAAGTTGAATTGAGTAATTAATTTCCCCAATTTCCGTCTCAAGAACCTCGTCTGTGTTTAAGTATGGATTAATTGAGGATGCGTCTTTAGGCTAGAAATATAGCGCCACCTGAAAGAGGCCAGTCACCCGTTCATGGAATAATTTTCCCGAGGGAGTTAAGATTGGCAGTATTGTCCGTCAAACGAAACACGCGAAAATCCGCTGCATGTTCAGCAAGGATCAAAATGGCCAAAGGATGACAATACACAGCTGTCAGTTGAACGAAAAATCAGATATTACAAAGAAAATCGAAGAAAAATGTCTCATATTCAGTATGTGGACGAATTGGTCAAAGAATACCTACTCTTCAGAGGCTTCAGTCAAACTTTGAAAGCTTTCGATAATGACTTAAAAGCTGAGAAAGAGAAAGGCTTTCGGGTAAGGATGAAGTAAACGGTAATAGAAAGAGAACAATGTGCAAAAACAGTACCTATAAACATTATATATATACTAAAGAAAATATTGTAATTGTATTTCGAATGTTTTAATACAATATAGTATACACTATTGTCTCAGTATCTGTGTAGTACAAAGTTTAATGGAGTTTTTATTCTATCTGGAACCCAATAGAATCTTTAACTCTTTGAAACACAGGATTTTACAATAAAAGAAATACCTACTTGCACATACATCTTTTTGTATGAAATGTGTCAAAATATTATTCTACTTGAATTATGTTTTATTTTTAGTAATTCCAAGATTTAAAGGTGGTATGAATAAAGTCCCACTATGCGAATTGGGTACAAAAAAAAGGTGGGACATTTTTCATACCACCGTGCCTCAAAGAATTAACAGAATAAACAAATTTCTGTCAATTATTTTATACAAATTTAAATTTGCATTGCCATAACAATTCAATGTTTATTATGTTATCATTAATTTGAATGCTTATAGTATTTACAATATTTAATTCCGGACAACTTTTAACAATTAGTTGATTTTTAATTGCTTGTTATTAGGTAGATAAAATTGTCGATCAACTGATGCAATATGTGTATAGTTACGATTTGACTTCTTTGAGAGAACTATGGGGACATTTAGACACAAGAATGTTTTCTCGGCTAGAGAGCCACTTTACATCAGCTGTGAGAAAGTTAGAAAATGCTGTTCTAAAAATGTATTTGGTCAACGCAACATTGAACAACAAGCAGGATCGAATTCAAGAATTTTTTATGAAGATGACACCAGAGCTGCAGGGCCATTCAGAATGGAAGGAATGGTTTGGTAGGCTGTCCAATCACTTTCTTTTGTTCTGGCAGTACAGAGAGGAAGAAGACAATTTTGTTTCACATGTTTTTTACTTCACAGCATTGCCGTTTGTTAAAAATCCTGAAGACAATCCAGCGTACTCTGTACATTTTAGTAGACAGTGGCAAGACACTATGTTACTCTCCCTGCACAATTTTCTTGCTACTATTTTTCAAGTAGGTGGAAGGTATTTTGCATCTTGACTCTCACATTATAGATTATTCAGTTGTTGTGAAGATTGTACACTGATGAATAAACTTGGCTTCCGCTTAAGGAAAAAGTGAGGTACGCGAAGGGCCTCTTACCATTTAGTTTTGGGAGTTATTGAAATTTATGCCAAATTAACATTTGGTTTAACATTTATTTCAGTACTTGAAATAAATTTACTAAGTGGTAGGAAACTTTTCTTCTACGCCACTGTTTCCTACTATTTCAAACGGACAGAATGCATGGCACAATCTTCTGATGAATAGGAATTGTAGAATTATTTCACTACAAAAAGATATTTATTATACCGCTACAATAATAGTTTCGGAAAAAAAGATTGTCTAGCTAGGATCTTTATTTTTCAGTGTATGCCACTACCAACACTACTCACTATAGACGAGGATACAAATAGATTAAAACGACTGCAAGAAGAGAACGAAGTACTGAGGCAACGTTTAAATGATTCAGTTAAGATAGACAATGTAATGGATGTAAATCCTGGACCAGCTCCTCAACATCCACCTATTATGGATGATTTTTATATAATAGCGCAGTAAGCATTCTGTTTATCCTAACAGTTGAATGATGAGAAAACAGAGCATGCAAATATTTTTCGTACGCTTGGAAGATATTAAGTGTCTTGGTTTTTTTTTTTTTGTTACAAATTATACACTACGCTGATACTTTACTTTATATTCGAACAGAGAATCTCCTCTACTAGAAAACCCCAAGACTCTAAGGAACCTTATTAGAAATATAGGTGGTGGTTCTAGTCCAATTTTAAATAGAAAGTCTGCGACAAATTCGAAAAAGGCAGCCGAGCTTGAAGCTGTATCAACGAAAAGAACGAACACTAAGGGGAAATTGAGTTCCATCAGTAAGTCCGAGACCGTTACCAAACGAAGTATTAGCTGTGACTCAAGATTAACTAGCTCTAGGAAACGAGATTCGTCCATTGACGCGGTGGCCGAACGGAAAGCGAAAGATAAAATTGATTCTACTTACATTCTTCTCAGCCAGGTAACACAATTCGCTTGTACCACGGAACTTTTACAAATTTCACGCGACAGAAACTAACTTTTAGGAAGAGTACACGGAGCACAAAACGTCCATAATACAATGCAAAAGTAATGCAAGCGGTTCGTACGTCGCCACCGGTGATGCCGATGGTGTTATTAAAGTGTGGACACCGATACCATCGCCAAAGTAAGTAATACTGCTTTAATTTGTAGGTTACTGTTTTCATCTACAGTGAGTAACTTTAATATTCGGACACTATACAATTTTTATGTAGTCGCACTGTAATTTTGTTCATGAAAAAAAAAGACATATCTACTTGTATATAATATTGCTACATTGTCTCCAATTAACAATAGCATAAAATTTATTTATATAATGTGTAGTGTTGACGTTATCTTTAGCGATGAAAGTAAGTTTAACATCTTTGGATCTGATGAATGGTGTGGCGAAAGAAAAATGAAGAGTTTAATATGTAAAACACGCAGATGGAAATGTACTTGTATTAGGATGTATATCAACATTTGGGACTGGAAAATTAGTTTCTATTGATCGAAGAAAGAGGTCATTCGGCAGGAAGGATATCTTACAAAATATTAAATCAATCTATTGCTTGTGAAAATTAGATAAAGAATTATCAGTTTTCCAAAGTGTCATATTAATGTAACGTGAAATCAGACACTGTTTTGTTTAAAATAGAAAGTATAGTAAGTGTTATGAACTATATAATTAATGTTCTCATTTTTGTTAAGTAGACTCTTTGTAATAATGTAAATTACAACTCGATATTTTCTTCCATTGTCACGAATAAAATTACAGTCCGACAAAGTAGAAAATTGTATAATGTCCCGAATATTAAACTTACTCACTGTATTACGTCAAGTCGTAAACATAACAATACCTAATCCTATTTATCAAACAGGACTGTTACTACGTATATCTCTGCTACAGCGAATTCGAACAAAGCTATAACAGCATTGGACTGGATATCGAAAAACGAGCGTTACTTTTTACACGGCGATAACAACGGTTTGATTCAATTACACGATACACGTGACTGTAAAACTCTATGGGACATTCAACATGAAAATTCCCGTATCATAACTCTGCTTTGTAATCCGACCGAATCCACGTTCGTGTGTTCCGTATCCGATTCGAACGGAGGGAAGCTTCTATTGTACGATATTAAAACGAGAAAATTAGAGAGAACTTTACCATTGGAACAAAGCGTGACCGCTTTGTGTTCCGCGTTTAATCATAACGGGCAACTTCTTATCACCGGATTATCGAACGGGAATATATTAATTCATGATCTCAGACGAAACGAAATTATCGATAATATTAGTTGTCACTCGAGTCCGGTAATCGATATAGAATTAATCAACGATTATACGAACATTTGTACCCAAAGTGAAGATGGTAAACTGTGTCAAAGGAGTCTGAACCACTCGGGGAAGATTCTGTGGGAAACAAAGATCAAAGTGGAGAAAAATACTGTCCATGGAAAACTGTTTACTTTCGACCAAACCGGTAATTATATGTTACTCTGCACTCAAACTGGAGGAAACATATACAAGGTATGTAGTATTCCTTACGTGTGACCACTTGAATCTCTACCAAACCTTTTTTTTTCAACGCATATATATTTTATATGTTCTGATGTTCGAAAATAATTAGAACATATGGAACAGTTAAAGAAATCAGTAATTGTATTTTTGTTAAATTACTACTAAACAAATTATTTTTCACAGATGCCACCCGGTGCACAAGCCAAAGTGTTAGAATTAGGTGGGCACAAAGGAACGTTGTGTTGCGATTGGTCCACCGCTAATCAGTCTGGAACTTGCATAACTGGGGGTGCCGAAGGGAAAGTACGGGTCTCGACACTGCTCTCACCATGATACAAAAGCAAGATTAGTATCTGCGTGAATTCTTAAAAACGGTGTAAAATCGGTCAAATTAGCTCAAATTTGTAGATATTAAAATACTTCGTATCTTCAGCGTTAAGAAGAGGTTTTCGCAGTCATATTAAGGGTGAGTTAGAAGAGTACTGGAATATCTCTGCTGGAATGGACAATACAAAAAATGCAAGAGTGAAACATACACGAATCTTTTTAAGACAAAAATATTGATCTTGATCATTCAGAAGACATTGTGTTCTTTTGGGTTTTTTTTCAGAAGCAGAGATATTCCGGAGTTCCGATTCTCGTGATTCATCCTTTAAAAGGTTGGAATTTTAAATAGTACCATCTAAGTGATATGTGCGACGTATCATAAAACTGAAGGGAAAAATGTTTTATAAAGAGTACAATGAACATAAACGTATCATACACTAGTTCAAAGCTAATTGTATTATAAATCTATCATTACATTCGAATCAGGGACTACCAATTGTAAAATATATCGAAATACTGTAAAAAGGGATACTCTGAATTTTACGTTAAAAATAGGTTACATGATTTCAAGATTTTATAAAAAGAACGAAATTGCACTAATGTGCATAAGTAGTGGTCATGTGAAAACCTAGTGCTTTAAGTTATACAATGTAAGAGGTACAGGAACATGTCAATAAACATTGGTCAATTTTAAAGTATCCCTGTATTGTTAAGTTAATACACTAAATGAAAAATCGAAAAAAATATTTTTAGTCTAAAATACTGACAATGCATTTTAAATTCCAGTCTATGAACGTAACAAAATATCTGTCTGTTCATATTACAAAATTAATTCTTACCCTTCTGGAATCTATCTCAACAGGCAAGAAGCTTTAAATGTGGTTTTCTCATCGAGCAACGATTGAATGGACCTGTCATGTCTAATTGTGGAGACCAATACCGCCTGAGAGCTTCAATTATTTCTGCGGGTGTTATTGGTTTTGTTACGGCAACCTGGCAAGTAAATAATTGTACAAGGTTTTTTGTTTTTTATATTTTTTCGTATTGTGTTTTCAAATTTTATTCAAGTAGGCACAAACCTTGCCATGGTAATAAGGTTTATAAGTATGTGGATTCACGTAGCTAAGTCTGAGTCGATCTATTGCATCTCCATAAATTTTATTTTGATCCTGTCTGACTAGGAATGCTAAATCCACAATCTGCGCTACCATTTCATATGCTAAATACCCTAAAATTGTGTACCCTGGTTTTGTTATTGTTATATCATCTACAAGAAATTATAACATTTAATATTCCAAATTGTGTTCAGTTAAAAACACATGTCCAGTTTTAACACTCACTGTCTGATGAAAGCCAATCGCTGAATTTGTGTCTATTTTTATTCGCAAAGGATGCGTTCCTTGCTTTGCTAAATTTCAAATATCTGGCTTCATCCATAGATCTTGTCATGATTTCGGCACGAATACATCTGTGTTGTTTAATTTCATCTACAGTGGAAGCATCTTCAAGAAGTTCACCGGTGTTGTCAATTTGATTAAGAAAACTATAAAATGGTCCCCTGTGTTTGGAATCTTCTAAATTTTCATTGTTTAATATATCCTTAGGTACATCACTTTCTATTGCTTTATGTATAGAAGACTTATATTCCTTTAACTCTGTAACATATATATGCTCGATTAAGCATTCAGTGCAATACATTTTAGGATCTAATAACAATATTAGACTTGCCTAAGTACTTCATAAGACGTTGTAACTTCACTTTGTCTTTACGTAACAAAAAGATCAGATCTTCGGCAGAAATGCAAGTAGCTTTCTTTGAATTTTCTTGTCTCTCCGATATTTCAGAAGCTTTTCTTACAATCGTTCTCATTTGTTGCAGAACTACTTCTTCCACAATTTTCGCTGATTCCATTAAAGGTTCGCTACTGTCTCCAAAACCATGCATCATTTGTCGAATCTCTAGTAAGGATTACAAACACTTTATAATAAAAATTTTTAGTGATTTCATTTTATAGATCCGTTATAAATACCGGCTGTATAATTCACAGGTTCATTTCGAACGAATTGTGAATCGGTCGCTGATTTCGAGAACGTGGACTCAGCCATTGTTATAGATTAGTTGTTGATATTCATTTTGCAATAGTAAAATAGAAACACTGAAAAACTTTATATAAACAATACAAGTAACAATTCACTACTTATTGTCACAGGTTATGTATTACACATGTTACCATAATAAACTGGCACTCCCGTTAATTATAACATTTTATTATTTGGATATTCATATATCGTTCTAATTGGAAGTAATAATGCGAAATACTATAAAAAAACAAAACATTCTCAAAACAGTTATGCTAGTTAAAATAATTATCTTGTAATTCGGTGGTTATTAATGGACATAACAAAGAAACTGTCACTGCGTGCACAGAAACCACAGAAGTTATAACTGGACCGTGGTTTCTAATTGGTAGAAACTGTAGACACGTGTCAGACAACCAATAGGATTACACAGTTTACCTAGGCATCCTTATGTATTTGGTGAGAGTGCTCAAAAGAAACGCGAATTGAATGAATCGTGTATGTATGCTTATAAATAAGAAATTTTTAAATGTGTCCTGCATATTTCGCCATTTTCATCACAGAAACGATTGTTTTAAAGTTACCTGATGTACAAGATTATTATTGACATGTTATGTTGCCGAACAAGGTAAAGGTTACATTTGAAATGCATTGTCAAAAAGTAATGTACGATTATCAAGCAAAACGGGCAGACCTGTGCTTGTTATTCGTTATAAAAGAATATTATAAAATATTAAATAATACATCAGGAGTTTCGTGAAACATTAATAGTACAACAAAATGATGCCTACGTCTAATACATTCTGTCTAGTATGCAACATCAACCTTAACGCTTCATCATGTATAAATATATTTTGCACATCTCTCCCTAATGATGGGGAACTGTTAGCGAATTTTATTTCAAAAGTATTGTGTATAGCTCTTCCAGAATTAAGCAATCCTTACATCTGCTCACAATGTTATAATTTGTTCCAAATGTTGGAACAAGCGCAGAAAACCGTTTTAAATATACGTTGTGAAATTTTGAAGATATATTGTGCTACTGAGAGAAGAAAAAGTATAAAAGCATCGGTACATAATGGTGCAGGCTTAAACACAAACATAGTCTTAGAGAAAAACAAGGTAGACGTAAGCTGTGGCACTGAATACTTGAAAGAAGGATCAAACTTGCAATCTTTTCAAATTGAAGAACTGGTTAAACAACAATATGTTCAAGATAAAGTAACGAATCCAATAATACATCTTCCAAATCTAGAGTGTGACATTAATATTAAGCCTGTAGGAGAGTCAGAGGATTTAAAGAGGAACATAACAGACTGCAATGAAATAGATGATATAAGCTCTAATGATTACAGTAGTCGTAACAATATGAAGAAGAAAGATATTGTACAAAATGGCATGGTCTGTAATTTAGTACCATTAACTAATGATAATAATATATACAATATTAGTCCTCAAGGTAAAAAAAATACATCGTTGTTAATACTATAACAAATTATTTAAGTAACTAAATAATTATATTTTCTTAAACATCTTCAGTGGGTGTGGTGAACTCTGGGAATGAATTAAAGAGCTTAGTAAAAACAAATTCTATTTTGTCCGACAATAAGCTGCAAGTACAAAACATTACAGAGTCCATTGACTTAAAGTGGAAGGAAATAGATGAAAATGTAACAGGGGTAAAAGAGAACACCGAGATCACAACGGGTAATAAAACTTCCTTGTATTCTTTACATTTGTTCATTGAACTTTACATATTATATTTTTATTTACTCAAATTCTTATATATGTATATATATATATATATATACACATATATGTAGTATTGAAAGTTGATCAACTAGATGTTCCTATAAAATCTGGAAAATCATCAAAGTACAATATAAAATCAATGAAGTATTCTTGTTCTACTTGCGGTAAAAAATGGAAAACGTCAACCGAACTAAAAACACATGTAAAAACTCATTCTTCGTTGAAACCCTACATGTGCGAAAAATGTGGTCAGGCATACAAACATAAACATGCATTGGAAATACATATAGGAATGCATAACGGAATCAATCCATTTCAATGCAATTTCTGCAATAAGTGTTTCACGCAAAAGGGAGCACTTATGAGACACCTACCGATGCATACAGGTGAGATGCCTTATCAGTGTGAGTTATGTGGTAAAAGATTTATACATCACACATCGTACAATATGCACAAATTGTCGCACAGTGGAAAAAAGTCTCACAAATGCCATGTGAGTAATATTTGATGTTAGTCATTCGTTTCTTTTTAAATAAATGATTTCTACCTTTGAACAATAGCGTACAAAATGATATTTGAATAAATACTAAAATGTTTGTTTTTTTTTGTTGCAGATGTGTGATTTATATTTGTTTTCGACGTCGCACTTGAAAAGACACATGCGAGCTCATACTGGCGAAAAACCATACAGTTGCACATTATGCGGAAAACGTTTCGCGGAACGATATAATTTATTGGCACATCAAAAAATTCATGATCCGTTCGACGATAAAACGAAGAAAACCAATGAGTCACGATTCCAGTACGTGTTTGAATTGAAAAAATTTGTATTTTAGTTTCACGTATGAACTATACTTACTTCATTTGCAGATGTGATTGTTGTAATTTGGTATTTGAACAGAAGCAATGCTTGAACGATCACATAAAACAACAACACGTTACAACAGATGATGAATCTGATCTTAAGAAATCATATACAGTCTTTTCAGTTCAACCAGAATCGAACGAATTGTCAAGGGGTGTAGATTCTGAAGATAATATATTGCAACAAACGTGGATACAAATGAATCGTTCTAAATTAGAAAACGTTGGCAATCAGACGAAGTTTGTGTTTCTGCAGAATCCTCTGTCTGAAATTAATGAGACTTCCTTTGGAGTTACGTTCAATGATTAGAAAGTATTCATGGGAAATAGAAATTATTATGCAAGTTTACAGGTAATTATAGAATCATCAGATACAACAATTTCGAATAGAAATCTCAACACATATGTGACTAACAAGGAAGGTTTCCCAACCCGGAGATTCTGATTTTAATGAAACTTTGTGGAATTGTAGAGGGCATCCAGTTATGCAAGGAACGATTTTTTTCGGCTGACATTCACTTTGAGGGGGTGAAATCACCCCTTAAAGTTTGCCGAATTTTTCGTTTTTTCAGTATATCTTGTTAACCGTAAGAGATAGGAAAAAACTTTTAATGAGAAAAGTGAATGATATTAAAAGACCTATCGAACTGCAAAAGAAAGAAATATATACAGGGTGGGGCAATAACTATGTCCACTTTGAATATTGCCCTTATTTGTAATAATATGAAAAAATGTTATATACAAAACTCACATGGTATAGAGGGGGGCATATTGTGACACAAACATTTTCTGCGTGGGTGAAGGCATAGAGGAAGTTTCAAGGTCAATTTATATTTATATGGTCAAGGTATATTTTATATATTATATCATGTATTTCCTCTGGTTTTCGAGATAGTATTTCTGGGTCGAAAAATGAATGTTAGCCGATAAAAAAGATACGTGTCCCCTATTTTTGCTTGCTTAACAAACGTACGAAGTTTCATTGAAATCAGTCTCCGGGTTAGGAAACCTTCCTTGTAAGTGTTGCAAAATAGCAAAAAGATAAGAATAAAAAAATAAGAAAAGAAATATTAAACGAACTTTAGGGTATAAAGAATAATCTGTTTCGATACTTTAAATGCATGGAAAAAGATTGTTTTTTGACATTTGCATTAATAACTTTAACTTTATATGTTTTTAACTAAATTATTAAGTAGAATAATCATAAGTATATATCTTTGGATATTTATCTTTTAATCGAGAGTTCCTTACACGAAAGTATTTTTCGAAAAATGTGTTCATTTTATATACAATTAATTGCCATGTACCAATAAAAGTGTTATAAATAAAATAAGGTACATGTATAACGAATAAAGTTAATTGAATCATTTTACTTAATCATTACGTTTTTTCGAATCATGTGCCATTTGAGTAGGCATTAATTTCTCGAATGATGTAACACCGTAAGTTCTCAGCCAGGTTTTCGTTTGCAACTTTGATGTTGATAATGACCTAGAAATTCATTTATAAAAGAAATCACAATAAATATAAAAATTAACGAAAAAACGTGTGCTTACTGTTTTATTTCTTCAATAATAGTGTTAACCATTGTTGGTACGGTAACTTGAGAAAAGTGTTCAACTTCAGTATAAATCTTAGGCTTTTCTGTGGGATAACTTGCATACGATTTATAAATAAAATGTATTAAATTATTAAAGGCTTTATTATAATCATCCAAGAGCAACTATAAAGAAAACAATAAAGTATCATTGCATAGACGTTACAGATTACATATTATATTTTCAAATGAATTTCAGTAAAATCGATAATTAGTACCACCAAAGAAAAAAATCCCGGATTATTCACATGATGCTCAAAGTATATTGTTCTTGTTTTTATCACAAGATCAGTATACAGTTCCTTCAGATATTCTGGTTTTTGTGTTTCCATCAGCAACTTGAGGCAAATTATGAAGTCGTAAATTAAAATGTGTATTAACGACAAGGTGTACAGGAAATTCTGGAATACAAACCTGATCGAGTAGCGTTTCTTCGCTTGATATTGATTCGCTAAGAATATCCGGGGTGAATAATTCTCGATTTATTAATGTACTCCTACGATGTAGAAGCTTTGCTTGATGTCTTCTACGTTTTGAATGGTCATCATCTACCACAGCATTGAATCCTTTGTCTAAGATTACCTATTCGATGATACAATTATTTATTATTCTGATATTAATGTCACGTATCATATATCTTATGATATCATTGTCTTATACTCTTAAATCAGTTTCTTGGTCCAATTTGGAAGTAAACGTCGAATCAAACAATTTTGTATGTGATCGGTTAAATTCTTCTTCCCCTTGGAACTTGATAAATTTCTTTTCTTCAACTTCTATCTCGTCTTTCAGTAGAAAAGTTTCAGGCATTGATAAATCACTTACATGTATTATATCAGCTACAGATTTATCATCTCCTCCTACGGATGAGTGAGCATTGCCTACGATCTAATTAATATATACTATTGGTAATAATATTTATGATGGCATTAGTGTTATATAAAGATGACAGAAGTCCGTACATTGCTTAAGCTTTCTTGAGTATCGTCTGATACAATTTGCGTAGATTCTATAGGACTCTCATTTATACTTTGATTTTCTTTATTCAAATAGTCCATGCTATCCTTAACACACATATAAACATTAAACTTTTCTTCAATCCAGTTGCGATGAAGTCGTTCACTTTTCGTTAACACAAGAATTGGTTTAGAATTGGAGTACCGTTTACACAGTTGCATAGTCGCATGTAAATCCATTTGTGTGATACCAATTTTTTTTTCTAATATTAACAAAGATATCTGGTTGTGATCTGTTTCACAAAAATAATTGAACTATATTTTGGGTAAAAAATATTCCATATAAAACGTAATATTTCTAACTAACGAAAGCCATAACTGTTCCCTAACAATTCTTGAATTGCTAAAAATTCTCCACGACGAGACATGTCGTTAAATTCTTCTCTACTTGCAGAAATGTAACATTGTCTTTCTAGTTCACTGTCTCCTAGTACTTTTGTGGTATACCATGGACAGTATTTTATCTGAAACGAATTTTTCTATTTAAATAAGTCCAATATTTCAACAAGGAACTGCAATATTACTTTTTCTGAAATTGTTTGAACAACATGGATAGCCAAGGGTATTTTTTTAATTGCTGATGGACCTGTAAGTATTATCAAAGGAGGACTTGCTTGATCGTATGGTAAAACGTGTAGATCAATTGTAGGTGTATTTAATTGCTCTAGCAATGTTAATTTCGTTACAGTACGGGCTGCTGTTAAATTTACTGGCGACGCAAATAAAGTTGTTGCAACAATCTATTTAAATTAATTAAGTTAGTATATTTTTACATTATTAGATCTAAATGTTGATCACATACTTTTTCTGAAGTATCCACAGAAACACCATCAATTCTCTGTATACTTGGTATAGAGAATAAAAGTACAACTTTATAATTAGGCCATTTTGTGCAACCATTGCCTCTGAGGTCTATTTCATCTATGAAACCATTAAAGTTTGATAATTCTAATAAATCAGAAATTTTATTGAATCTCAAATCTATTATACGTAAACTGTATCCATCCTAAATCAAAATTTTATATTTAATTACTTGAATAATTATTAATTTAATTATAAATAATATAAAAACTTTAAAGAAATACTTTAAAGAATTCCAAGCTCGATATTTTGTTGTATCCTAAATATATTTCTTGCAAATGAGGTAAAGTATTTATGCTGTAACCGGGTATAGCGGATTTGAACGATGTTATACAATTGCCTTCCAAATTGAGTTGTTGAATATTCAACTTATCCAAGTTCTCAATACATTCAATTAAATTGTATGACAAGTTTAAGTACTTTAAATATCTGCAAATACCCATATTCAAATGATGTCATATAAAATCAATTCTCTTCTTCTTTAGTTAAACAGTCAATATACGAACTTTAAATTCTGCAGACCAGTAATCACTTCAATTGCATTGTGTGATAAATCTAAGTGAATAATACTCCAAAAGGAACTGATATCATGCATTTCTGATATATAATTATAGGACAAATTTACATAAGTCAAATACCAAGGTGGTTGAAAATTTAAAATAACGGTCACTCTATTGTGTGCCATGTTTAAATACATTAAGTAGGGAACTCCACTCAGAGGAGACAAATTTGAAATGTAATTGTATGAAAGATCAATATATCTCAAATAACGATGGAAATATAACATTGTAATGTTTGAAAGAGACTGTAACAAAAATTATTTATTTTTAAGGAAGATTTTTTCGTTAATAGGGGTATCAAAATACCATATTTCTCATGACATATTTATTCAAGACGTAAAGGCCATTTTCTGGAGATTTAGCCAAGAATGATGATCCAATTCCTATTAGTCTGTCTGTTAGAAAACCACAAAACTCTAACTCATTGAATAATACTTCTTTAAGATTTCTTAATTGTACAACAGGTGCTTTATCATCGTCCCATGCAGTATCGTCTAAAGCAAATCTACCCCAACTGCTTTCATTTGTACAATGTATTGAATCTGTATTTATTGGAACTGGCATGTGATCGAGTACAATCGAGGGACTAGACTTAAAAAGTAAAAACTTTGTTATTTTAATTACAGTGCAATTAAATCTGAGTTCCAAATGGTAAGTTGGTTTTGAGTAATATTTACACTTGTGCTAGAAGAAATTGAAGAAAACGACGAAGAAGACTCATCAGATAAAATCTCATATGGCACATATCTGTCCTGTAAAGATCCCCAGCTCATATCACTATGCGATAATAGATCAGAATCACTGTCAGAAACATCATCAACATGATCTTTGTGCGACTTCTCCTTTGTAATGGGAATTGGAATTGCATCTGATTGATGTAATGATGGAATAGAAGTGAACAGATATGAAAGCTGTAATGAGAATTAGATTACAAAGTTTAGTTACTTTAACATTAATCTTAAATTTATATGGCTACAATAACTTCACACTAAAATATAGTATTACTTTTTTATAACTCATTTTTATATTTAAGCTACTGCTAATACATTCAAGTAATTGGAGAACTTTCTATATTTAATGTATCATTCTTTCATTTCAATTGTTTATTAACAACTGAATAAATTGATACATACAAGGGGCTTAAAAAGTCTTTGTGGTACAAAAATAATGTTATTAATAAAATGATGATTATGCGTCAGTAGCTGTAGATAAAGCTTTCAAAGCTGTGTCTGAAAAACGATAGTGATGCCATCCTTCCTCTAATGTTAAATCAGCTGCTCCTTTGACCTTGTAAAAATGTTGTGCGGGGTTCCATTCAAGAACTGAAAAATCTAATCTGCAGCAATTGGTATCCACTGCTTCCTGTATGAATAATAAAAAACAAATCAATTAATAAAAATAAGTCGAATATAGATGTAATATTAATAAGTTTCTTATACTTCAAAGTAGGGACCTTGGCAATAGCTTTTAATAATTTACTACCAATATGCTTCTTTCGATATTCAAGTGTTACATAAATATCTTCCAGGTACATAGCTTTTCCACACCAAGTTGAATATGTGTAATATGAAATTGCATATCCTACTACATTTTTATTAACTTCAGCCACATAGCAAATGAATAAGGGATGTTCTGCATCAAATCCATCAGCTTCTAATGCTAAAATTATTTCATACTTGTTTTTAATGTTGCATGTAATTTACACTATAATAATGAACTGCAAAAATTTAGAAATGAACACTGACTCGTGTGATTAATCTTTGGTCCCTCTGACATGTGCTCAAAGTCTGCTAATTCCTAAAAAAGTGTAAGTATACATATATAAACATATAAATATATTATAATAAATAGAAAGTAAATATTTCACCTGTATTAAATTTTTGATAGCTTTACAATCTTCACGTCTTGCTTTACGTATTATAACTTCCATACTTAATAATAAATTTATCGATAAAGTTTGAGATAGAAAAGTGTTACAAATCAACAAGTTATCTTAACCTTCAAATGCATAAAAGTACAGTGTATATCATTTATATTAAACGTTACTACATGTATGTACGTTTATACATACTTACTGTATTAATAGAAATTTAATGTTCAAAGAATTAAGTACCTAGAATATTAATTAACCGTTCGCGAAGATTATGTATAAATTCAAATATTCACGTAGCTGTAAAGAACCGAAATTGTTTGTTTTTCATTGCAATAAGTACAGATAATGTTTCAAGTTCACTTACTCATTATATGAAAGATATATTTTACTTGAGAAATAGTTAAATAATGATTAGAGAAGTTTTAACCAATTCAAAATTTTCGCGGTTCGTTATTCTCGATTCCATTTATCGAATGAACAGCAACTTCCGGTCATACACGACACGACTTCCTGCTGATTGTATTCGCCACAGTATTCACTTTAGGATCGGTGCGTCGTGTGATGTCATTGTGTACGTACGCGACTGTTGGTGACGTTAAAAAGATAATTCGGGTCGTCGATCCTCGTGTATTTCGCGTGAGAACAGCTAGAAAAGAATAAGAGAAAAATGTCAGAGATTGACGCGAAAGTGAACATGTCGCTCGGTAAGTGGCCAGAATCTCGAAAATCTCGCAATTTCGCTGATAATCCTGGGTGAGCGTACGGCTACCGTTTCTTCTTTTGCACGAACGCAATATGGCGACGGAAAAATCGTACAACGTAGGATATCCGCAATTTATTTTCGTTCGTTTACGCCTGAGGATAGATAATGATTAATAAATGAAAGAACGTGTGTCTCAACGACCGAGTCTTAATTAATTCAGATTTAACCCTTAAATAAAACCCAATTAATTGATGTCGATGGGGAGAAATGATGTATGGGATTTCTGATCGCTGGAAGAAAAAAAAAATGTCCTTGGAAGTTTACGATGCGTGTTGCAACATATTATATGGTGATCTATGCGTTCTTACTTTGACGAAAGGAAACATGTGAGGGTCCCTAAAAATTGAACCAATCCGTTTGGCCATGCTAATAGACACATTTCCACGAATTCAGTGAATAATAGTGAAAAAGATGGGAACAGCAGTCACGAATGATTTACAAGGGTTTCTGGGAGAGTACTCCGGTTCACGTAAGATTCTAGCGGAAAATGGAAAATTGACGAACATGAAACCCGGGACTGTTTTTGGACACTGCCGCAGCCGAGGCATGACTCATGGTTCACAGAAAAGAAGTCAACTTTCTCGTTGCGTGGGATACGCGTTTGCGTAACTTTAGTTATATTTTTATCTCTGCTATCATGTTCCTCGAGTTTCTCTTCCTTCGTGTGACGAACATGAAATGGTACATCGTATGCAAGACAGGAGACTTATTATTTGATCTTCAGTGTACATGTAATCAATGGCAATGATGTGCGCGCAAAGGGTTACGTTCGCTATTAAATTAAATCCTTTAATTTGTTTATGAAAGAAGGTAAACACATTTATGTGACAAGCATACATCACCCAGGACAATTCGTTTTTATGATTAAATATGTTCGATTTGATATTAAGAAATATGTATTAAGGATAACTGGATTTCATGTGAAAATTGTTCGAGTCTTTGTATTCGCATAACAACCAGATGAAATCACGAGTAAGTTACTCCGTAATCGAGCGGCAAGAAATCTGAAAATTACAGAATGCAAATTTTGCATTGTATTATCTATTGGTACAATAACGATGAAAATATATGAATGGCCACTATGAATTCAAATTAAGGAAGAATGGAGAATTATATTATTTCATTGTATGATCTATACTGGCATATCAGATAATTCATATCATGGTTATGGCCTTGTATTGTATTATTTGCATAATTAATCAACTATAAGATTTATAATATCTTGGACAAGGTCTATAATATGTCGTTATAATCTGTTGGATCCATTTTGTTCAAAGGACAATTAATAAATTGCTTTTAAACAAGCAAATCGGTGGAAAGCAAAAAAAGAGCACAAAAATCAAATCAAGTTTAATGGAGAATTAAACAAAACAAGAAAAACAAAAAATTATTTTCTTTCATTTAAAGAAGAATTGAGAAGATAATTGTGAATGACTAGATTATCAAAAACAAGGAAAAGGATGATGCAATAAGATTGATCTTTTTTACTAAGAAACCATTGAAGAAGATATCTTTGTATTAGTACACTTGCATGAATAAAAAAAGAAGAATCGTACCAGGCCAAGAATTATAGAGAACATCAAAGACAAAAAGATTAATTATACAACTGGAAACATTTCTCTGGAATAATAGTAACGGATATCCCATGACTTAATTGAAAGTGCATGAAGAAGTTCCCATAATGAAGAAAATAAGGTGTTACAGATATATCAGTGAAACTTACGAGACATTAGAAGAAAAAAGAAGGAAATCATAAAAATGATAAGAGGGCTCAGTGATCATTGCATGAAATATCAGTTCTGTATGCTTCCTGAATGTTCAAGGAGAACTACATTTGAATGATAATACATTAAAATTCAGATACTTTATAAATTAAAACATATATTTCCTATATACTTTACTATAATGCTGCAAAAGTACTTCAAAATGTTGTCTGCTCAAATAAACATCTACACGTGTACACGTATTTATTCAGTTTCTGTAAAATAATAATACTTTTATTATTGGGAGAGTTACAGTACCTTGATAAATAATTTTCTAAATTTTTCATTAGAATAGCATACCTGACTTTCTAGTTGTCGTTACCATTATTATTTACGTTTACTATCACGTTTACAAAGTTAGTAGCATCTTCTAAACCATTTCTGAGTGGTTCGTAAACCATTAAACAACAATCGATAGAGAAGAAAGTTCTAGCTTCGATGTGTCAGATTTAAGTATATTATAAATAAAACTGTGTTCAGTGAGATTATTTCCGATATACACGTGTATGTATTGGAAGAAATCGGGGAGAAATGGTTAACAACGAATAAGTACCGAAAAAAATATATATGACCAATTTCCTTAATGGAATTAAACGCCTGAGTTTCTCATCTTGAGTTATTCTTCGGCATCATCCGTACAGGAGGGATTATTTTCACACGTCCCAGATTAAAGCTTAACACAAATTAACTTCCTGACCTAAGGCCGTACGCTCACTAAACCTTGTGAATTTTCTTCCTTTTAAGATGAGATCATAAAAATGGAGAAAAAGGAGAAAAAGAAAAAGGCTGGGACTGCCAATGGAAAAACTGGCGCGAAACGCGCGCAAAGCAGCGCAAGAGGACGGAGTGGCGGACTAAGGGGTAGAGGAGCGAGAGTTAAGCGTAACATCGGCACTGTTAAGAAAGACCAAGCGTGGCAACCTGGACAACATAATAACAATGTCCGCGGCGGTTTTGTAAGAAAACGATACAAGAAAAACAATGGTCTGGCTAGATCACGAAGCAATTTAACATTGAATCAGAAATCCAATGCACGAGGAGCATTCAATGTTCGTCGTGGTCGAGGCAACAGATTCGGCCTGACTCGGAGTAGAAGTCGCACGAACTTGACATTCACCCAAGGAGGATTCTTCACCAATAATAAAACTCCATTGAAGAGGACGAACAGTCTACCAAATTTGCGGGACCCGACTTCGGTTCACAATCGGTTGGGATACCAGAGTCCTGCTCAAATTGCTTACAGAAATCGTGTCAAGAGAGCTAAACAGTTGTTGCTGCAAAGACAAAATCAGAGATTGTCTCTACAAAATCAGTTCAGAGTGAGTTATTTGATTCTGCGTGCGGAGAAATTGTAAAAATCAATCGAATGGAAACTCAGAAAACACCGTTTTTGTTGCAGGTACCACAAGCCGGAAAGTCTTTGTTATCGCTTCAACAAAGAAGCGCTATAGACAGAAGACAACAAATATTAACATCTCAGCGTCGTTTCACTACCGGCGGTTTGCGTTCAGATCAGATTGCCAGAGCACAAAGACGTGCACAATACGAGCAAAAATTGATGCGAATAAAGTATGATTAAAGTACTTTTTATGTTAATACCATGAATAGTTTATAAAATCATTTATAAACAGTTCCACATAGTTTTCTAATAATGCGATTGATTCTAAAGAAATTTCAATTCAAACTCTTGTTTTACTATCACAAAATATATGTAATTATGTTTCATCTGTGTATCTTACATTCTTTTAATTACACTTTTGTGTACACAATACTTGAGTTAAATTGATGCAATAATACACTGTTATAGTTCCCCGCGATTAAGTGCTAATTCAAACGTGAACTTCATGTGTACCTTGGGAAATGATTATACTCCTGGCACGCATCAACGTCCACTCCCTCTTGTACCAGCCCGAAATGGAAGTGCTGTGAGCAGCTTGCGCCAACTACCAAGAGGACGTTCACCATTCAGACAAAGTGTACAAAGTTTAAATATGGTATGTCAATTAAATTTTTATATATATACATGTGTGTCGTTCTGAGCTTTCAACAGTTAATGAGATTAAATAATTGTTCGACAAATGTCGATTCATTCATAAAGAAGTATTATTTTATTATAAAAATCGAAATTTCCACGTTTAAACAATAAAAAATGACGAAATTCTTTTTTGTCTTTTATTCGTTATTAAACATTTTTTATCTAGATAATGGGTTTGCCCATCTCTGCATTATATCCGTACATCATGCTATACAGTGTGATAAATTTCATGGGTTCCAGGTCGGTCGGTCGCCACTCTTTGGTCGACAACGTTCGAGGTCCAGATCACGTTCCCGTTCTCGTACACGCAACGCCCCTTCATCGGACACTGGCGCGGATGTCGATGATCGCACTTTTAGCGAAGTCATGTATAGTTTATCCGGAAATCTCGGCGTCACGGGGAGAACGCTGAACGATAGATTTAGTTTTTAAATTTAACGAAAAGATTTGTTTTGTATTTAGAGTATAAGACTGTTGAGAGGACAGAGATGAAAGTTTTATGCTTGAAACACATATAGATACACGAGGAATAAACTCTGTCTTAAAAATTACATTGATATTTAAGTTGTCACGTGAAAAAGGAAACTCGTTTCTTCGAATGTATTTTCTCGTTTTATACTTCCAAAATGATAGGAACATTTATTTTTAAGACATAGAAGTAGATCTGATTTATGTTTCGAATATACTGTGTGTCCCCGAATAGATGGGACAATTCGCAACCTGGATATTCGCAAATATAAATCGAGAAGTCCTTTATCGTTTTGTAATCTGGAACTCCGTTTACGAGATAATAGCAGTTAACTGCTAAGTCGAGTTCGTTTGACTGCTAATATCTCGGAGATGGAGCTTCAGAATACAAAACGGTAAAGGACTTTTCGATTTGTATTTGCACGAGGAATATCGGTGTTGCGGATTGTCCCATCATTTTGGGACACCCTGTATATTAAACCGTCGGATATATAGAATTTTTAATAAAATTTAATATTTCTATTACTTTCAATTGCCGACGAAGCCTATTGTAACGTTTTGATTTGAATACTTCATATGATAAATTACTTGTTCTTTATTTCCTTCCTTCATAACGTTTTCTTTCATTTGGACATTTATATAAACAAGATATAACAATATGTAAGTAATTTTAGAATTTTTTTTTATAAAATGACACGTTCAAAATTGATTTCGTTTTAAACATTTAAAGGTAAATGTTCTTTTTTTAAACACAATTTTATTTAATTTTCGTTTATTCTTTTCATTTGCAACTTAAATACTTTTGAATTTACTGTAATTATGATTTTTCAATGAACGTGAAAATTTTAGAGAAAGACGAGACCTCTGTAACATTCTTTTGGTCTATTGAATTGAACACACATGATCCCAAGTGTGAAGTATAACAGTAAGAAATGGAATGAGATACTGTAACTGCATACGAATTATCAGAAGTTTAGAAATCTTGTTAAGGACGTAGTTCCTAAGATAATCGTAAGTGTGATTTAATAAGAAAAAATACGGTTACCACATTGGGTGGTACTAAGGCAGGAATGACTCATACTTGGAGCGTATCGAATTGCATCTAAACGTGATATACCAATAAACTATAAATATATATAGATATATATATATATATATATATAACGTAGTATGATTCTTTTTCTGTTACACAATTATTTGGTAATCATAAGCGCTTGTAAGGAAATCATTGTATTCTGATTATACGTAGGTGTACAATGTAAATTGACTTTTTATATTTTACTGTATTAACATAAATTAATACATGTATCTTCTATGCATATAAAAGAGAATAGAGAAATATTGCACATTTATTACAATAATATTAAAGTTCAGTTTAACCAGTGGAATCGCTTTCCCAGTTTGCGATTTGTTACTTAGTTATTCTTGGAAACTCAAATGTGAGACTTAATGTACCATATGCAAGAAAAAGAACTAAATTTTCTTTTTAGTATGTACATTGACGTATCGTATTTATCGACTTGACGTGGTATCAACTACACATAAATATGTTCATTTATCATAAGACAAAGGGGATGCGCGTGCATTGCCCACTCGGCTTACTCGACGATACAATCTGTAGAATGAAGTTTATTTGACAACTCGAGCGTTCTTTACTATGGGTCTGCAAACGGATTTCCCTGTAAGATCTACAAATGACAGAGTGTCATTTTGTACATTTTGATAAAACTTTAGTGACATCTTCACGTGAAAAAATTGATTATACGATTTTTTTTTTGCAAATCAAGTTATTTACACTTGATTACCGATAACATGTCAACCAAAATATTGTCTTTTGCATCGATTGGTGTACAGTCAATAAAGGGACAGGTAGATTCCTATGTTTCAATCATTTTAATAACTCTTTATTTTCGTAAAAGTGCAAACAACTATTAGCACCGATTACCAAAGCGAAATATATTTAGCTTTTAGGTCGAACGTCCGTTTTTGTTAAACAAACTCGACGTTTGCAAGTTCACGAGCATGTTGCGTACACTTTGTTGAAGGAAGCTAAAATCCCAACTCCACCATTCGGGATAGCCAAATCATCAGACGAGGCAGCTAAAATTTCCAAAGACCTTAATACAAAGGATATTGTATTGAAAGCCCAAGTTCTTGCTGGTGGTCGTGGAATGGGGAACTTCAAAGGCACTAATGTTAGCGGTGTTGTTATGTGTGAAACGTGAGTTTTACTAAAAATTAAAGTAATTCATGGCATTACAAGTAATCGTTAATATCAAGCATATTAAATTTGTAGACCTGAACAAGCAAAAAGTCTAGCCAGTAATATGATAGGCAAATTGTTGGTGACAAAACAAACTGGAGCAGCTGGAAGAATTTGCAATTCAGTAATGGTAACAACCAGGATGTTCCCTCGCAAAGAATATTATCTGGCAGTCATGTTGGAGATAAGTTTTAATGTAAGTCTTTGAAGACAAAAATGACGTCACGAAGTCACTCCCTCAAAAGAATGTCGACAAAATTTAACGAGACCAATGATGGTATTTTAATTTGTTTAGAAGAAATAAATTCGTGGAGGATTATTTATACGATCCGCTGGTCAATACTCATGTAAAACAATCATTTAATTATGTTTGTGATTAAGAAGATAAATCATTCTTAGGGTCCGGTTATAATTGTGTCGAAACAAGGCGGTGTTAATATTGAGGACATCGCCGCTACGAATCCTGAAGCTATAACTTATATACCGATTGATATTATGAAAGGTCTGTCAGCTGAACAAGCAGCTAAAGTTGCAGAAAACTTGGGTGTCGAAGGAGAGGATAAAAAAATTATTTCGGCGATTGCTTGCAATCTCTATGAGTTATTTACTGAAAAGGATGCCCTACTACTTGAGATAAATCCGTTGGCATTGGATCTTTGTGGCGAATGTATGTACAAAGACGATCTGTTAATCCCCTTTGATGTAAGAATATTTGATTAACAGTATCCTTATATGTTGTTTTCAGATCACGCCTTAGATTGTAAATGTTCATTCGACGACAGCGCAGAATTCAGGCAGAAAGAACTATTTGCCCTGAAGGATATCACACAGATGGATCCTAACGAAGTCCAAGCGGAGAAGTTCCAACTGAATTACATAGCACTTGATGGGAACATAGGCTGTATGGTAAATGGGGCTGGATTAGCAATGGCCACTATGGACATCATAAAACACTACGGTGGTATGCCAGCCAACTTTTTGGATGTAGGCGGTGGTGCTACTGCAGAGACTGTTAAGGAGGCTTTTAAAATAATAGTTTCTGATTCAAAGGTGCTTAAAATAAGTATGTGACCGAGTATTAAGTTAATAGTTAACCAATTCCAAGGTTGAGAAAAAAAAGATGTCTATACTACATCAATTAAAACATAAAGTCATATATAAGGTGTTTCAGTTAACTTGAGCAACAAAATAATTTTTAATACGTACTTACTATCTGGAAGCTGTAGCAGTGATTATTTTTCAAATATCTCGTTAACTATTACGTTTAGGACGTACGAAGGTCAACACATTTTTACTCAGAATTCGATACTCTATCGATCTATGGTACAAAATATAGGTCATTCCGTTAAAAAAATCAAGGTGACCTTGAAATCTTTGAAATGCCTCCACCCACAAAAAAAGTATGTATCTTATAAGGCATCCCTTGATGCCATTCAAGTTCCATGCCTCAAAATTTTCATAAAATGCACAGTTAAGTCATTATGTTAGAAATCAAGTTAGCTGAGACACCCTGTATAAAATTGTTTATACAAAAGTATCGTATTTACTTTTTCAGATCATATGAACAACTTTTTATGTTTGAATTAAGTGTAGTTAATACGAGAAAAATGCAAGAAGCAAATGTAGCGAAATGATTTTGAATGTTAATTAAAATTTTCAGGTGGAAGCCCTTTTTGTAAATATATTTGGAGGTATTATGAGATGTGACATAATTGCAGAAGGAATTATCACTGCATCCAAAGACTTGAATTTGTCTGTACCCATAGTCGTAAGATTACAGGTAAATTATTATTGAACCGAACGAAAGTTTGTAAGAATCATTACAGATTTTATTTAATTTCTCTTTTTTCTGTAGGGTACCAACGTAAACGAAGCAAAAGTGTTAATACGCGACGCTCAATTAAAAGTTATTTCCGTGGACGATTTCGCAGAGGCAGCTGAAGCGGTTGTTAAATTGGCATTAATGGTGAACTTAGCAAATTCTTTAAATTTAGACATTAATTTCACAACTAAAAAGAAACCTGACGATAAAATTAGCAAGTGCAAAAAGTGAGAGAATTTTTATATACATTTAAGGGAAAATTTTTCGAAGTATTGTATAATGCCGACCATTTTGAAATGTCTGTAGTATGTACTTTTGTGTTAACTTTCGTACAGTTATCAATTTGCAAATTAACAGCAAAGCTCTTAAATCATAAATATTACAACGAATGATAACTTTTTTGTTTTTTGCATATTTGTATGCATATAAACATTATATAAAATAAATATTCTTTCCTGAATTCATAGCGTATTAAAAACAGCGATTTACCCTATCTTCGTACATTGCGGAAATGGATATAAATACGTCACGATTGCTACTTAAAGTAAGTAATAATATTATTAGTATATTAGACCGTCTAATTTTATTTCAAAACTAATCAAGTAAGACCAACTTTGCAAATGTTTTAGAGTAACAGTTGATGGTACTCTGTAATTTTCGTGTACTTCGCAATAATTAAGACTGCTAAGATAGTTTCGAAATCTTTGTATTTCAAATAATGATTAACGCAGCAGAAATGTGGTGCCGCCACCGCGGCTCATCGTGCGCGAGTTTGCGTCATGTTTTTACAGGAAACGTCAAGGAAGGTGGGGACATGAAGGCGCAGCTTACACTTGGCAGTTCACTGCCACTGCTTTAGTAAGATGGCTACCATGTTGTCGCGAACCGTCTCACTGGCTGAGAATCTTGTCCGATTCAACGGGTCCAAGGTACGTTCAGGTCATTCTTCGTATGATAATATTTCATCTTTTTTTTCCTATTTGCATGAAAAACATTCCTATTATTTACATATTAAACAATCTCGATGATGGTTCGAATGATTTACGAGAAGAGCAACCACCATATTAGATATCTGTAGTCTGCTAAATTGGGCGCCAGGGTCAGTCGATTCGAAGCCAAGGATCGTGGCCTCGCACTAAACACTGTTTTTTCACGAATTATGAGTGTGACAGTTATGCAATACACGCGTGAACATTATCGTACTCATTTTTCCATTCTGTGGTCATTGACTTCCCGACGTCCGTTTGTATTTAATTAACAGTTATTGAATTATGTCGGAATCAAAACCACTTGTCAAATGACTGAGAAGCATCATCACGCACTTCGAAAATTCAAAGTTCAAATGAGCAATCAGTTTTCTTTGTCGTTTGTTTTTTTTTCTTTATCATCTAACTTTTGTTTTTTTCCCCGTTTGAGTTGTCTCTGCGTCAATGTTCATTAGCGAACTGTTATTAATATCTAATATGTCAAATCGTCGAAGTATTATTTTCCGTTTTTCTAACAATATTGATATGTGTGTTATTTCCATCGAGGATGCTACTTAGTGAAGGCAAAACAAGTCATAGGTGACAGGGATTGAATGAAAAGAATGTGGGTCATTACCACTGATTGCTCTTAGAGTTCAGATTATTTATAAATCTGACAGGCCATGGAGTATTTTCAGTCTGTGTAGTGTCAATAATAATCTATTATTGATCTAGTATTGACTTGGTATTATTGAATATACATTTTTAAAATCATTTTACACAAAAGTTTTTAATAAAAAACAAGTCTATGTTAAATAATTGCATACAAAAATTAGTCATTTAATACAATAAAACTATAATTTTCATGTAATTTAATGTTTGTTTGGCCTATTGTTATTATATTAGATTAATTTTTTAATTGTTTCCATTTGTAGATATTGGGATGCAAAACCAACTTAGTTAAGCAACCAGTCAGGAACTTAAATGTACACGAACACATCAGTTACAGTTTGCTTAATGAAGCTGGGGTGCCTACTCCAAAATTTGGAGTTGCCAAAACTCCAGATGAAGCAGCAAAACTTGCTGCTGACTTGAAGACGAAAGACATTGTTCTGAAGGCACAAGTTTTAGCTGGTGGCAGAGGAAAAGGTCACTTTAAGGGTACTAATGTCAGTGGTGTAAAAATGTGTGAAACGTGAGTCATTATAACAGACAATGGTTCTATTACAACCCTCACAATGGTTCTATTACATCTATACATCCCTGTCTTATCTGTAGGCCAGAAGAAGCAAAGAAGTTAGCAAGTCAAATGTTGGGTAAATTATTAATTACAAAACAAACAGGCGAAGGAGGTAGAATATGCAATGCGGTGATGGTAACACAGCGCATGTTTCCTCGCAAAGAGTACTACCTTGCAGTTATGATGGAAAGAGCCTTTGGTGTATGTTACGAAAAATATATAATTTAACCCAATAAAACTGCATATACAATATATAATTTATAAACCTGTAATTCAAGGGTCCAGTTATTATAGCTTCAAGTCAAGGTGGTGTAAACATTGAAGAGGTTGCTGCAACAAATCCTAGTGCCATTATGTATGAACCCATTGACATACGTACCGGAATTACAAAAGAGCAAGCAGATCGGGTTGCTGTTAAACTTGGTCTTCAAAATGTTAAAGATTACATTTCCAATATCATTGTAAATCTGTATCAAATGTTCCTCAAGAAGGATGCTCTCTTGCTAGAAGTGAATCCTCTTGCAGAAGACATTAATGGAAATTGTAAGGTTAAAGAACGAAACAATACGATAAAATGTAAATTAAGAGAGATAATACTAAATCTTACTTTGTAATATTCAGACTTTGCATTGGACTGCAAGTGCAGATTTGACGACAATGCTGAGTTCAGGCAAAAAGAATTATTTGCTTTGAGAGATTGGACTCAGGAAGATACGAAAGAAGTCGAAGCAGCTAAGTTTGACTTGAATTATATTGCACTCGATGGTAATATTGGTTGCATGGTTAACGGAGCTGGTTTAGCCATGGCTACTATGGACATTATAAAATTACATGGAGGAGAACCAGCCAATTTCTTAGATGTGGGTGGTGGTGCATCCACTTCCGCTGTAAAGGAAGCATTTAAGATCATTACATCCGATTCACGTGTAAGTAATACGCGTAAAATTTACTTAAACAAATATAAAAGTCCTCTGTCCTGTTAAACATAATAAGATTCTTTATGACAACATAGGTTCATGCTCTCTTGGTTAATATATTTGGTGGTATCATGAGATGCGATGTTATTGCAGAAGGAATTATAGCTGCAACTAAAGAGCTTAGCTTAAAAATTCCTGTCGTTGTTCGATTGCAGGTATTATGACTAAAAAATATTACCAAATAATTCTCCTTTTTAAACAATGATTGATATAAAACGATAATACCTTCAATTGTATTTTTCTTTTAGGGTACAAACGTAGACGAAGCGAAAGCCCTGATTGCAAACGCAGGTTTAAAAATCGTACCAATCGACGATCTTGACGAAGCAGCCCGAGTTGCGGTTAAACTGTCGACGATTGTTAAGTTAGCACAGTCGGAGAATTTAAGCGTAAACTTCGAGATACCTTCAATTTCATAGATATAGCGAAATTGTAATTTAGACATTATAAAAGAAGTGAAGTTACGAGAATGTATTCACGTATTGTTAAACGATTGGAACAACATTTGAAAGTAATAACTACATTAACAACTTCGAATGTTATTTCTGCGCTTATCATTTTAGGATTACAGCTCAGTATATCAAACGTTGCCGTGACAAGTTCGTCAAATGTTTTTCGGACAAAATTGTATTTTTCTGAGAAAAGTACGTGTTTTTTCACAGTCCTGTAAATGTTGAATATTAGAAAAATTACCAAGATAATTCGTTCGAATCATTTGGTGTTGCTTTTTTCCAATGTAAGCACAAATTCTTACTGAGAAGCATGCATGCTTCTCTGAGAGTATTTATTGCTTACCCATCGACGGGTCTCTGTGATTCAGTATTAAAACTAAGTTATACGATATATATTTATCAAGATAGCTATATTTTTTGCACGAACGTCTCCACAACACTCTCTCAAAGCTTGTATTCGTATCGTCAAGATGCAACAGTTACGGTCCGAGACAGAACCTTTTGTAACGCTACCTGCAAAAGAAATTGTTGTATTTGAGCCATATGTCATCCGAGCGAAGGCCTGTTTAATGTAATATAGACATATACATGTAGTTATATGTATACATATATAAATTATTTTACGTAATTTTCGTTTGTCTTATTTTGTTAACGAACTAGTACGACGTCCACGTTTTTTTTCCCTGAGATATAATACTATTGTGAAATATTACGATTACGCTACTAATTAATTATACGTTATATATCCGCATTTGCGTTATGGATACTTTGAATATCTTATAATATATATAACTGAAAATTCACAATATCGCTCATTTACCAACAATATATTTATGACAAAATTGATACTCTTAATAAACATTGAGCGTAATGTTATATTAGGTACAGTGTAAAACTTGAAATAAAACTAAACTTGTTCCTCTAAGTATGACACCAGTTGAAAGTATTTTTGCTTAAAAAAATGTTATGATCAGCAACAATAAATATCTTTTCTCATAAAAATAAAATATTGTTACATGAACTATCCATTTCAAATACTATAATAATGATGAAATTTAGTATACATATACTATATCCAACAAATCCATAAACATACAAATCTGAGTATCAAAATAATACATAATTATTATATTTGTTAAAATTTTTTAATTTACTATTAGGTAATTTATTATTTTTCAAACGAAAAACTATATTTTGAAATATTTCAAATCAAGTTGGCCCTCCTGTCATGGACAATAATACAACTGGGAATAAGAGTTGACAGTAGAGATGGCGTGCAAAATCACTAACGGTAATTTATCACAGTGATCGTCGAATCACGATTGGTTCACGCTGTCTCTAGTTGACAGTCGATTTGAATTAACGTGCATCATAACGATATTTTTATACCAGTCAATACTATATTTTCACACCTGTAAATCTCAAAGATTTGAAACTTTTTAATTGTAAAACATGGTGCGGACAAAGGCAGATCGCGTACCAGGCAAAGGTGAGAGAACATTTTGAAACTTCTCTACTTTATCGAATCTTGACAATAATACTTTTGTTTCTCCTCATGCTTGTTTCGAATCATTCTTTGATTCCTTCAATTTTGTTTGTAAAAATAGTCGAACATTAATAATTTTATTGTAGATAAAATTTTACGTTCTTTGTAGTCGTTGGCGCCAAAGCACCAAGTAAATCTGTGAAAAGTACTCCCACCAAAAAATCAGTAATAGTAAGCAGCAAAGGTAAACTAAGTTTTAAGCAAGACTGTAATGTATATTATATTAAAATTTATGGCGAATAAAAAGTATTATTTTAGGGAAGAATTATTCAGGTGGTAATCCGTATCATCCAAGGGAGACACCTAACTGGCAGAAGCCAATCACTTGTTTCCTGAACCAGGGTTCTTCAAAAGAGATTACAGATTCTTCAGAACCTCAGGTAAATCTTGCACACTTTTTAAAACTTTAAAAGAATCTTTTACCTTAACTAAATGTAATAGTAATTCATTATTAATAGGGAACTGAAGAACAAACTATTACACAAGAAGCAGGACCATCAAATTCCTAACAGTGTTATACTATCTCATTGTTATCTCTAAGTGCAGTTACTTATTCTTTATGAGTAGTACTCAGACAATTAATTTATGTTTTTACCATTATATAACAAAACTTTTAAGTTTGCAGATATATTACACAGAGTAACAAAAATAAATATGATAGGCTTCTAAGTTTCCAATACCAGGAGTATGTTAAATATCTATACTAAAATAACGTTTTTTTACTGGTGATATAACATTTGATATGTGTTCAATATTATCAATAATCTTCTAATATCTAAAAACTATAAGACTGTAATATATTTAAATAAAATTTATATTTAATTTTTATATTAAAATAATTTATATTACCAGGTCTTTTTTTCTGGCACTTAATGACTGACTCTTGGTGACTAATGACTTTAAAATGACCTTTTCACTGGTCAATTTAATCTATATAAAAAGCGATGGCAAAATTTGCAAATCGAACAGCCGCGGGAAATATAACTTATCAGGAGCATTCTGATGACTAGTACAGAAAGTTCATCACATAGAAATGATCTGTGTCGCTATCTATGTTAAAATCCTCAAGATATTCACCAATCACTATCACAATTTAGATGCTAGATAGCGCGACGAGAAATTTAAAATGGCGATGGGATCTGTTTGCGTTTCGGTGTTGTGTTTTCCGTGTTCATCGTTCTGGTAGGTTTAGGAACGCACGATTACCATCAAAATTTTGGCAGTCGAAGTTGCGGTAAAGATTCGCAGTATTGAGATGCTGCCGACGGTGAAATTTCATTAATAACAAAGTTTTTTTCTAACAAGATCTTTGACCAGACGAACAGGATCGAAGTCACTGCCGTCTGTTCTTACGAAGCTCCGTAACTTTCTGTTCTCCTTCGTTGAATTATAACATAGAAATATTGGAGCAAGTGTAACCGGCTGTGAAAAAGTTTTCAATCATGGCTAGTGTCTCTTATCAAATTGCTAACTTGCTGGAGAAGGTATTTAACGCGTTCTTTTAAATGAATTTATCCCATTGTATCTGACTATCACGAATGTCTTACTTATCGTTTTAAAATAATTCCACACGAAAGTATTAACATTGAAATACTCCAGATTTACATAACCTTCACCAATACAAAAGAATACTTCGAAGGATATATAAGATTCCTTTTATTAATTACCAGTTTAAGCAACAGTGATCCATTTATTTAAGTTGATTTTATTTCTGTTCGAGAATATACTCTATGTCCTATCATAGCTTACTGTAATTGTATATTCTGACTTTAGTAAATGTGTTATTCAAGTGAGAAACAAAGGTGTTCTCAGCTGTCACAAATTCTTTCATTTACACAATTTTTTCCGTTTTATTTTCATGTCATATAAATGTTGTTTAACAAAATATTTTATCTTAGATGACCTCCAGTGATAAAGATTTTAGATTTATGGCAACCAATGATCTGATGAGCGAATTACAAAAAGATAGCATCAAATTAGATGATGATTCAGAGCGAAAAGTTGTGAAAATGCTTCTGAAGCTGTTGGAAGACAAGAATGGAGAAGTACAAAATCTTGCTGTAAAATGGTACATTTATATATAAATTAAGCCTTAAATATAAAATATTCTGTTTGAAATTACTTTAGAATTAAATTAACACACTATCAGCAGGTAGTATAAAAATAGATATTTCGGATTCACAAACTTGTAGTGAAATTTTCGTAAACACGGACGCGATATAAACTTTCTGAATTTTATTAAAAGTATCTAACATTACGCTGGCCGATAGTATGTTAAGCATCTTATTGTTTAATTAAAAAGATTAGTCAAGTTCTTTCTTGCATTCGCAAGATTTTCCCTGTATTTGGACACGATTACAGAAACGTGTCCGATTTCAGTTTGGGCCCATTAGTCAATAAGGTAAAGGAGTACCAAGTGGAAACTATCGTAGATGCGTTGTGCAGTAATATGGTGTCAGATAAGGAACAGTTAAGAGATATCTCTAGTATCGGTTTGAAGACTGTAATCTCTGAACTTCCTTTGGGATCCAGTGCGCTTGTTGCTAATGTTTGTAAAAGAATAACTGGCCGTCTTAGCAGCGCTATCGAAAAAGTAATTATTCCTACGAAATTATTGAAATTTTTTGCCGAGTGTTTGAACAAAAAGATATTAATTACTTTTTACACAGCAGGAAGATGTGTCTGTACAACTCGAGGCCCTCGACATTGTAGCTGACTTGTTGTCCCGATTTGGTGCTCTACTAGTCACCTTTCATTCTATCATATTGGCCGCTCTGTTACCACAACTTTCTTCCCCGCGACAAGCTGTGCGAAAACGTACCATAGTGGCATTGAGTCATCTTTTGACTTCGAGTAACAATTATCTGTACAATAAACTTCTCGATCATTTGCTCGAAGGTCTTTCAACTCAAACCGCTAAGAATGTTGTACGAACGTACATACAATGTATCGCATCTATTTGTCGTCAAGCGGGACACCGATTCGGAGAACAAATAGAGAGAGTCATGCCACTGATTTTACAGTACAGCATGGACGACGACGATGAATTGCGAGAATATTGTTTGCAAGCCTTCGAGTCTTTTGTATACAGATGTCCCAAAGAGATTACTCCACATATAAATAAAATTATAGATATTTGTTTGATGTACATCACATATGATCCGAACTATAACTATGATGATGATATGAATGATGCATCCGACGGAGAAGGTGTTGTGATGGAGGTAGAGGAAGATGGGGAGGAAGATGCAGAAGATGAGTACTCAGACGATGATGATATGAGTTGGAAAGTGCGTAGAGCAGCTGCAAAGTGTCTTGAGGCTGTTGTGTCTAGCAGACGAGAACTTCTTCCAGATCTTTATAAACAAGTTTCTCCAGCATTGATTTCCAGATTCAAAGAAAGAGAAGAAAATGTGAAATCGGATATATTCCATGCTTACATTGCCCTTCTAAAACAGACCAGACCAGCTTCCGGTCTACCACTGGATCCTGATGCGATGGAAGACGACGATGGTCCAATATCGTTGTTACAACAGCAAGTTCCACTAATAGTAAAAGCAGTTCATCGCCAGATGAAAGAGAAGAGCATTAAAACGAGACAGGACTGTTTTTCGTTATTGAAGGAATTGGTACTCGTGCTGCCTGGCGCTTTAAACAATCACATACCAGCCTTGATATCCGGTATACAATATTCGTTGGGTGAGAAGAATTCGTCGTCGAATATGAAAATCGATACATTGGCGTTCGTGCACACATTGTTAATAACACACCAACCGGAAGTTTTTCACGCCCACATGGCAGTTTTAGCACCCCCCATTATAGCCGCTGTTGGAGATCCATTTTATAAAATAACGGCTGAAGCATTGCTAGTATTGCAACAGCTTGTGCAAGTGATTAGACCGCACGATAAGCCATGCTATTTCGACTTCACATCGTTATCCAGCGAGATATATCGTTGTACATTAATGAGACTAAGAACGGCGGATATCGATCAGGAAGTGAAAGAGAGAGCGATCGCTTGTATGGGTCAAATTCTAGCTCATTTTGGAGATACGTTGTCCGATGAGCTACACGTATGCCTACCTATATTTCTGGACAGACTCCGTAACGAGATCACACGACTCACGACTGTTAAGGCCTTAACTTGTATAGCATCGTCGCCGTTGAGAGTAGATCTTAAACCAATTATGGATGAGGCGGTCCCGATTCTTGGATCGTTCCTCAGAAAGAATCAACGAGCTTTGAAACTGTGTTCCCTCCCACTTTTGGACACTTTGGTGCAAAATTACAGCTCTGCTCTGCATGTAGATTTATTAGATAAGGTGACTACGGAATTACCAGCGTTATTAAATGAGACTGATTTACATATTGCCCAATTAACTCTTAATCTTCTCACCACTATCGCAAAATTACATCCAGTCGCTTTGACCAGGGTGTCCGATAATATCCTTCCGGAAATATTAGTTCTGGTTAAATCACCGCTTCTCCAAGGCGTGGCCTTAACGTCGATGCTGGAATTCTACCAAGCATTAGTCCAGGCCGACATACCGGGTCTGGGATACAGAGAATTGCTCTCCATGCTGATAGCTCCTGTCAATCAATCTGTACTTCATAAGCAAGCCTATCATTCGCTTGCTAAATGCGCGGCCGCATTAACTATCACATGGCATCAAGAAGCCCAGGCAGTGGTCGAGCAATTTTTAAAGGACGTTCAGAACCCTCAAAGCGACGCACAGCATATTTTTGCACTGTTGGTTATCGGTGAAATAGGTAGACACGTGGACTTGAGCGGAATCGCTTCTCTAAAGCATGTAATTTTAAATTCATTCTCATCCCATTCGGAAGAAGTGAAATCGGCAGCCAGTTACACATTGGGTAACATAGCAGTGGGAAATCTACCGGAATATTTGCCGTTCATATTGAAGGAAATTGAGGCACAACCGAAACGTCAATATCTTCTTTTGCATTCGTTGAAAGAGGTAGAGTACGTTATATCAGGTTATCTCATAAGTACAGTATAATTTAAGTTAAGGCTCAGTGTAGAAGTGTAACACGTAGTTTTCTTTATTATGTATACATCTGAAATATTATATACGTTAAGTATGTAACATTGCAGATTATCACATGCCAATCTGCTAGTCTGTCAGGTGTATCCCATCTGCAAAATTTTGTGCCTTCGATTTGGATGTTATTGTACAGGCATTGCGAGTGTGCGGAAGAAGGCACGCGTAACGTCGTGGCAGAATGTTTAGGAAAGCTTACTTTAATCGATCCTGCCACTTTACTACCAAAATTACAAGAATCATTAAAATCACCCTCTGCGTTCATGAGAACCACCACAGTTACCGCTGTTAAGTTCACGATTTCTGATCAGGTATTCGTCAAGCCACGGCACTATATCAATGTTTGTACATCGTTATTTTATACACAAATTATTTATATGATTTCTTACAGCCTCAACAAATCGATGCCATGTTGAAACAGTGCATGGGTAACTTCTTAGTGGCATTAGAAGATCCTGACCTAAATGTTAGGAGGGTAGCTTTAGTTGCATTTAATTCAGCAGCTCATAACAAACCAATGCTCATCAGAGATTTATTAGATTCTGTATTACCACATCTTTACGCTGAAACCAAGATAAAGGTACTTGATTAATAACATTCACTTGCAAATATATTCCTTTATCTTGAAAATATTCTTTTATGTGCAGAAAGAATTGATCAGAGAGGTCGAAATGGGTCCCTTCAAACATACAGTGGACGATGGTTTGGATCTTAGAAAAGCAGCATTCGAGTGCATGTATACATTATTAGATTCTTGTCTTGATCGGCTGGATGTTTTCAACTTTTTGAACCACGTTGAGAATGGCCTTAGAGATCACTATGATATCAAGATGTTAACTTACCTTATGACTGCCAGACTCGCCCAGTTGTGTCCCACAGCAGTTTTACAAAGTAAATATTCTAAATAGACTGCGAATGCTTTAAGTAAACTGACAGTTGTATAGACTGGTTTGTACAATAGTATAATTGAACACGCTTTATTTCCATTGATAAAGCCTTCATTTTATTTTGTTCTACATATGCATATGCACTATAAGTGCATAAAATCAGTAGTCTAGCAAGGTAAGAAGTTATTAATTTTTACTAATATAATACTTGTGTACAGGGTTGGAAAGATTAGTTGAACCATTAAAGAGTACTTGTACAATGAAAGTAAAAGCAAATTCAGTGAAACAGGAATATGAGAAGCAAGATGAACTTAAACGTTCGGCATTGAGAGCTGTAGCAGCACTGTTAACAATCCCAGATGCCGGTAAATGATATTTTTCATTGGAAATTGTAGAGGTAATTATAAAACTAGTGTTTACATAACAAATTATATTTTTTTTAGATAAAAATCCGTCACTATGCGAGTTCGTAACACAGATTAAAGCGACGCCCGAGTTGCAACCACTGTTTGAAATAATTCAGAAGGACTGCAGCGGAAGCAGTATGAACGAAACCAATGCGATGGATCAGAGTTAAAAGTCGATGATCTTACCTTTTGTATTTCACATTAGATCGCCGTTAGCTAAGCACGATCGCGATCGTATTATTCATAGTTTATTTCTATACGTTATTTTTTCATTATTATGTCTGACCGGAAACGTAGTTTGAAATGAATGTGATTTCATGTAACGCCATGTATAAATTACGAAAATAAATTTGCCAATTGTAAGCATTGTACGATGACACACGGAACTTTTGTTTAACAATAAAAATGACGTGAAGTTTTTCAATTCGCTATTCACCCAAGTGATTAACTTTGTCAAAGGGAACAACGAACTATTCGGAATATTAACTTTTCTTAGAAGCATTCTGCGTCCTTAATTATTTGCCCTGTCATTAATTACACTTTCGCAATACATCGGGTAGGTAGATCACGTCCGTCTCAATGTGAAATAGAAGACACTCGAAACGTGACTATTGTCACGTTTCCCGATTGCACCCTTTACGATTGTATCAATTGATCGGAATGTTTATATGATTAATGTTCGATCCTCTTGCGCGCGTGAGTATCACAATTGACCTACTTATTCCGTTCGTTAATAAATTTATTAACAAGGCTGACCACTACTTTCCATTCGAATATTAAAGGTACTTCAGCAAGTTGCATCGCCTTGAACCACGGATATTCGTTCTGTTACACTTAATGTATGTTTTACATATGCAGTCTATATCCATATTTTATATTTTCGTGCAATATTTAAATACACCATATATATTTCATCGACATAATCGTCTTCAACGTCCGGTAATGCATACTAAAAATAGGTAGATGTTTAGAAATGTGGAGGCGGAGATGGGTACTTTGCCAAATACTCCACGGTCGATAGCCTTTTACTTACTGATATATTAATTACACTTATTAAATGATTATAATCATAACACAGAGTCCAATATCTGTTATTACAAATACTCATCAAATAGTACCTTGACCATAATTCTTTTAATTATAATCGTAATTCGCAAAGAACACAACAGAGTGTTCTCATTGTAAAAATTAATCTGTTACATATTTGACAATGTTGTTATTGATTCGCATCTGTTCTGATGCAATTCTTTGCAATGTCTAACTACAAAACCTGCTGGGGATCACGTTCTTATCCATTAATTCCCGAAACCAGTTTTCGATCGGCATAAAGTATATTTTTAGGGCTTCTTGAAAATCGTTTGGAAAGTATATAATTTTGTTTTAAATAAACAATTAGCCCAGAAATATGTAATTACAAAATGTAAGGAAGGGTTAACGAACATTTTTTTTTCGATATAAATGTGGCAAGAATAATGTAATTTGATAGTGGAATTCCGATGTTCCAAGAAACATTCGTCATGCAAGAAAATGGGGAATTATCGTATTAAAAATTCACATTGTAAGAGATCACGTAGTCATCCATAAAACGATTAGCTCAGCGAATAATACTGTGCGCGTTATGTTAAGGTTGACTGATTTGTCAACATTAATTACGATTTATAGTTCTTTATATAACGTTACACAGAGATTACTGCGATTTTTATTCTTTTAATAGAGAATTAAACTTTCAAATTTAAAAATAGATCCGGATCTGTCGGTAAAGCAAATCTCTTTGTTACCTTGAAAAAAATAATGCTCAATTTGGACCACAGAGCACGTTGCAGTTGCATTCTGAAGCAACAGTTAACAGGTGACGTCTGATTATGAAAAATAATTCGTTATACACTTACGGTACTGTTGTTGACAGTACACAGTGTTGAAAAGAATGGAAACCGGCACAACTTACAGATAGGTAAGTGATAACAAAGATTGTAATAAAACCTTTGTTTATTCTGTGAAAGAAGCGTTTACGTAACGTTAATCTAGCCCACGAGGAGAGACTGGAAGGTGTAACCTTAATTTTTTTAATGAACTTATTAGTCACCTGTTCCTTATGTTTGCATCGTGAACTTTAATATTCGAAGATTTATTTTTTGATAACAGTTTGCTAAAACATGAAGGTAACATTTCGGGACCTCACATTGTCAGGTCATGAGTACCATATCTTCACATTTCAGTTACATTGCACTTTCGTTAGCGTGAATATTTTGAAAGTTTTTTTCTTGAAAAACTTGGAAAGAGGACTATTGCTTGAATATCATTTATCAATGCTGTATGGCCCGGTTTTTTTCTAAAATAACATTGGACGGGGCTTCGAAATACGCCACACAGAACTGACTATTCCTTGTCATCGTTTTCTGTCTGGTTCCTTTTTGCAACTTTTACGTCTGAATAATGTATAACTTTCTTTCGGGAATTCATCCGAATTAACTTTCCGACTACATCTCCACTAATAAAACAATAAAAGTGTAGATTTAACGAAACCTGTTTGGTAATCTAAATCGTAGTGGTCGTGTTTGATGAATCAAGATCTTATCGATAAACGGAGAACAGTTTTAGTGCAATCTGATGTTTCTTCACTTGCGTAAAATTCGACCGTTATTTGCAATCGCTTGCTTCTTCTTTAACGCGTCTATTTAAACATAACCTTAAGAGGAAAGTAAAATAACTCGAAGAAAAAGGAAATGAATCACTGTACCACAAATGACATTATCGATTCACGTTGAACAGACTGAATGTAGAAATCTATCTGATTACAAAATACTTGCGATTCATTTGAAACTGTGTCGCACATTTATCGGATTATTCTGTACCTATAATTAGTTAGAAAATGGTAAAAATAACGTATTTATTCTTGATTTTATAATGTCCTGGTCCGGAATACCATTAATTCTCTCGAAAACATAGAAAAAGTATTTTCCCGCCTTTTTTGATAGATCAATGAAACAGTCATTTGATACGCGACTTTAAAATATATTAAATTTTATGGATGTATATGACGTGTTTCCCCAAATTGCTGAACTCATCCCTCGTGAATTCAGGGTTTCCCAAATGGCAAACCCCTTCGATCCGTTGGATCCCGTGATTGGACGATCATCGACCGATGGTGGGGCGGTATAAAAGGGGATTACATTCACGGAGCGGCGCACTGTGCGACAGTACAAGTTCGTGGTAGCGTCGATTCGTCTCGCGACTTTCAAAATTCTCTCTGAAACAGTTTTACTTTCGAAATTCCAAAGTTCTCATTGTACGGTAATTGGTGAAACACACGATTTGTCGTTCGTTTTTCGAGGCCAAATTTCGTTTTTCTTTCCGTTTACGACACCACGAGAGCTGCCACAGAGAAGAACCATGTGTGTCCGTACATTGGTTGGTATCGAAGCCATGGAGCCGGTAGTGGAGCATCATCAGCAGAATAACAAGGTGCAAAAAGCAAAAGAGAAGTACATGAAACTGCACGACGAGCGTGTGACCAAGAAGCTCGATGTCATCGAGGAACAGAAGACGGTTTTTATTCCAGAATTGGCCGATGACATCTTGAGGGCCAGCACCATAAATTACAGCTCCCTTCTGAAAGTGTTTACGAAATTCTACGAATCGCTACAACAGACGGAACTGTTCAAGTGAGTACCTTTCTGCATTTTTAAACTATAAACTTCTATTGGAACATACATATGGTCGGTCACAGATAGTGATGGGATTTGGAACGCCTCGAAACACTTCGAATCAGATTTAATAAATCGAATTTGTCGCTCGAATTCAAGACAGTTTCGAAACGTTCCAAATCCCATCCTTACATAGTCACAGATGGTCCCCTACTTTGTCTCATTTCTTCGACCGGTTGAACGATTCACGGGACAGAAAACGGTAATTACGTTCGGTGAAATTAGAAAAATGTTACAAGGCCAATAAAAGGCATCGTAAAGTTGAATAAGATTATTTTTACGTGTGTTTCGAGGTGGACATAACCTGCCATTGACGTAGAAATTTTATTTAGATCAGACGACAGTGTTAACGTCACCGATACTTCGCTCGAACGGATTTCGAGTGGCGTGTAACTTAAACTTCGTTCAAGTTCTTTAATTAGATCGATATCAATGTTCCATTTGATTATCGATAAATCATTTTGAATTATTGAATATGAAATGTAGAAATATATTCATTTTTGTTCGTACATACTAGCGGATTAGGACCGGTAACGATAGCTTCACGTAACCTGTCGCTAATAGTACTTGAACTAATCGAACCACGGGTTTATAGTAATTGCAAATTAAGTATTCGTGTTACGCTGAAGCATGCCACGCGTATTATAAATCTAGGGATTTGCACGTGATAATTAAAAATTAATCTATTGGTTCGTGGGCAATTAGTAATTAGCGTACACGTGATCAGATAAAACTCATTATCAGTTTAATCAACCCAGACACATGTATCGAAAATGTTTGAATAATCGATTTAGGAATATGATATATTACAATATTGTCGTAGGGTATCCCATAAATAAACATACATACATAAGTACAATTTCCTACAATTTTCGACGATAACTATCAAACTTTCATCTGATAAGGCGACGCGTGTACCATACGTATCGTAAGATTCAAAAACCTGGCGTACACCAAATACATGTCGAAATTCGTATACAACAATGGAATCAAGATTTTTCAAATGTAAATTTGACCAGGCAGTTGCCAGTGCAAAGTTCCACGATTAACTTGCGTACATACGTATATTTAAAAAATGATAAGGCTGCGAATTTGATAAAGATAAAAATATAGATGGAAAGTTTTTCCTATTCCCAAGATACACGTATCCGAATCGTGGGTATATGTAGCAACTGCATTTCCGTAATGGGTCTTGCCTACTTTTCAGGAAACGACGAAGAGAATGGAGGAAAGACGGTGGTATCTTAATATCGCGTCGTGGCTTGCCTAAAAGGAATTCAGCATTAAAAGCAGTAGTTCTCATGATCGGTGCCCACGAAAAAAAGAACGCAAAAAGAAAAAATACAGAACTGTACCGATCACGACACGATCGCGGTAGATAATTCAAGGCTAGAGAAATGTTATTTCGTTACGTTTGTAATAATTTTTATAACCAGAAAACAAAAGGACAACGAAGTCTAATGGGGGAAAAAAGCGGAAGCTAGAGGCACGTAGAGTACGCAACGGACTACGTGACCGTGCGCCCGAGTGAGAATGGCACCGAGCCTCGACACGACATTAGGGTTGCCATCTTTTCCCGTTGCAGTATCCGCGCTATTAAACGCGGGGCAGTTAATAGAGAAATAGTACACAAGCAAAAACTTGATCTAAATTGTCCACGGGAAGCTATTACTCGCATAATATGTACATTATCGTTGTTGATACCAGGCCTGGATTAAGGTTTCTTGTAGCCCGGGGCTATTAACATTAAAACTACCAACGGTAAACGCATATCATTTTCGATCGATCGATAAATATGGCAAACTTTTTTACAAATTTATAAATTAACGAATTTCTTTAATATCGTATCGTAATAAAACTAATTTTTTCCTAGCCACGTACGTTGAAACGATAAACATGCAATGAACTTTGACCAGTCGTACATCATCCACCTTATCCGTGCCGTACGTTTGATATTTATTGATTCGAGAGTCTTGTTTTTGATCTATTTCCGTGTGTGAGTAACATTGATTTTGATTATCAATCGATCACTCATCTGCCCGTAGCTTTCGTCTAAACTTATCTTTAGATGTTGCTTCTCTCGCTTTCCGTTAGCTAGCTAGGTAATTCTCGAACTGGAATTGCTCGTTTTAACCCTAATTTTCCCAATTTAATTTGTCCCCCGGTATCAAATTGACCGAGTGGTAAAAATGAAATAGAAAGAAGCGATAAAGGAGCAATTAATTTTGCAAATTCTTTAAAGTAAACATCACGATGCCTGAGAATGAAATGAATTATTTCATATTTGAAGCAACTGAATAACTGTTACTGTAAAAGCGCAACATACCTCTAAAATTGAAAACTTGTAGTTTTTTAAAGAATCATTTTTTTCAAAAATTGGACACGCTGGGGGAAGAAACGGTTTGCAGATTCCTATTCACCTTATAAGAATCTACCAGAAACGGCTATTAACCTGTTAACCGGGGAATTAACTTTTCTTCAATTCGTTTCATAACAGGCCCATATGGCTCGTGTATATTTTATATATATTTTCCCATATGGCCACGCTAGGTTTTATGGATAATAACGACGTAAAACGTAATCAGATACAACGGGTTTTCTGGTTTATTCCGAACTCAATAAGAAACTTAAGCGAGAAACGAAGTTCCTACATTTGCTCCTGTCTCAATAAACTACTTCATAAACTGTAATTTTGCATAAAAATCCGCAGTCTAGTTACGAGGTATATTGAACAGTATTATTAAATCGATATTACAACCGATATTTCCATTCCTGGAATTGTTGTCCTTTCAGAATCATCGACAGTTAATTCCACTTTCCGTCTCGAAAGGTTTACCTTCGGAAGCCACAGGTGGGAGAGGCGCCACAAAATTAGAATGCTTGGATAAATATACGCACTCTTGACGGTGTATAAATACCCGGCCATGTCGTTGGATTTATAGTGTTTTGCCTTTTTCAAAGTGCATTCACTCGCCGTGACTAAAATTAGCCGGGCATTGAATAATAATTACGCGGGCACGAGGATCGTGCCCCGACGTAACTGGACGTGACGGTGATTCTCTCAACACGTGCTCTTGTCGCCCAGCTTCGCGGAATGCCAGGAAACACGTGCATGCGCGGAAAAAGAAATAGTTAGGATATATGAAGTACTGGCGTGCATTGTTCACGCACGGGCGGAAACCAAGCTAACCTGGATAGCCTGACAGTTACATAAGAAATGCAAGTTCGATAACGATATGACATCACACGAAAGATTCCAGATAAAGACATGTGTAATTCTCCCTCCACGGGCAGTTCGATACGTTAACCAAAGTAGGGTAGATGCGCCTGTTACAGTAAAAGCGTTAATTCAGTAAATGTTTAGGGTAAATGTCCCAATTACTGCCAGTGTCCCTAATACTGAACTGTATAAAGAAGTACCTGATACTTGAAAATTAATGAAAATGACTTAGGCCACTTTCATAATCACCGGTACAATTCTCGAACCGGCTATTTTTTCGAAAAATCACTTTTAATATTGGTTCGTGAGACCAGAGAATAGACCGTGTGGGCGTCTTTGGCCGAAATTCAAATGCAAGAATATGCATTACCGTCTTTGACGAAAGAAAAACTTACAATTCGATCCTGCCTCTTGTAGAATTTTGTCTCATCGATGAACCATTTACAGACCACGTGATCTTTACGTATGTTTGTTCGGGATCGCGGGATTTGGTTCAAGGATTCTTCGTGCTTCACCTCGCGTCCGTAACCTTGCTGTCCATTTTTTTTTCCCCCAAAACGGCTTTCTTAATTTTTATGAAGCATTTCAGTGGGCCGCTGGAAGTTGAGTGTCATCATTGGTTAATTACGACAAGGCTATAAGATGTAACGGTTTCTTAAGTTAAGTGAAAGCACGGGACTCGACGCTCTGGGGTTCTATTCTCAAGATTATTTGCATAAACGATTAACGTTGTAACGTATGTTAAAAAGAAATTTTCAATTTATCCTCTACGCCATTGACGTAAATACGTTCGTCATCGAATGTATCTTATATTATACGAGGAAGTAATATATTGGGGTTAACTTGTTTGCGTAGGCGGTCGTCTAATTATGTTTAACAGCGTGTACTATAAATACCGTTGTTAACGTTGCATGATTTTCCTCAAACATCTGGTCTGTTACAGCATCAGAAGATCTTGTCAAATAACAAACCGCGTAGTTGACGTTTCATCTCTGACAGCATATGACATCCAATGACACCTTGAAGACGACTTAAAGGCGTCGTAGACCTAAAATAGCCGTAAAATTATTTAAGGCGCCTTTAAGCCGTCTTCAAGGCGTCATGTGAATATGGGTCGTGGTCGCCAGAATGAATTATAATTAATTTATTGTTAATAATTAATATTAACTATTATCAATATATTGATTCAAAACAGCCACCGTTCTCTTGAGAAGGGATTCACCAGCCGTCGAAAATTTCCACGAGTAGACTGTTTTTGGTTATTTTTGTAAATAAAGGATAAATCTATAAAAAGAAGACCACAAATCAATTTTGAGTTTATCATTAATTGAGCTGTAGATTGTAGGATTCACGTATTTATCAGAAAAGATGCATGAAAACATTATATTCATTAAATTTTATATGTTTAATTAATACGAAATAGGGGGTACAAAAAATGTGGAAAGTACGGACAATTCCTTGTATTCCGATTACCTGGTCCTTCCCGCAAAATACATGGGCCCCGTGGGTAATACGTTTGGAGGAAAGAAATTACAGAAACGTCGGGATTATTTTATGCTATACCTGGAACAGAAACTTTTTTCTTCCGTACCCCCCCCCCCCCCTATTCCACGAGAAACAGGCAGGTAGTTGTCGAAGAATTTTAATGGCTGTAATCCCGACGAACATCTGGCCGAGAAGACTTGGCTGGCACTCGACCAAAACACATGCATTTGCAAATTCACAAAGGGGATTGGTTGAATGTGAACGTGAAAGAGCAATAAGGCGTGCTAATGCTTCGCGCTGAAACAGGACACGCGCCATTTGCCAGCGTTGTCTCTCTTGCGCTTATGCGAATGCGTATCCTAGCCAAATGAATTACAGTAAAACCTCGGTTCACAAACTTAATTCGTTCGTGAAGGTCGTTGGTAAACTGAAATGTTGAAAAATCGAAACTATTTTTCACATAGGAATTACAGTGGACTCTAACTATATTGCCACTAAACATATTGCCACGCGAGGCACTTCCCCTTCACACGTACTTTCGAGTACACACGTACTTTCCAGTCCACACGTATCCATTTCTAAATTTCCTTTCACAATTTTTTATGTTCTTGTTTAAAACAGCACTTGGTATATTATAAGATGGGAAAACTAAGAGTTTCTGAAAAATATGAACGTAAAATTATCTATGTTTATCTAATCTGTCGGAATAGGAGTATTCAGATTGCCCAATAACCGTGAATATTTTGCTTGCCCACACAAGGGTTAAACCAGGGACTTAAATCGGTATGATTTTGATACCGGTATTATGCCATCAAAGCTATACCGAACCGATATATTACCGAAAACCGAAATAAATACCGGTATTTTTTCGATTTCTATAAGGCTAGGGCTTAATTAGGGTTATATAGGGCGAAGGTACAACCGATAATACCGGAATTTTACGTTTTGGTAGAAGTCCCTGGGTTGAACAGTGATCTATCGAATCGTATCAGTTCGAACGGTTAAATCTCACTCGATCAGACTTTCCAGCATTCGAACGTATCGAGCTCGCAACGGGGGACAGTGCAAAGTAACTCTTTGTTCGATCGACGCTTAACTCGGTATGGTAATTGCAATGTGATGTGTGCGTGCCATCTTGCACGTTTCTCGGCGCCTCTTGATAACTGGCTCATAATGCCCTGTATCATACAGGCTGTATGTGTGTGTGTCGTATAAGTATCTTACGCAGGCTTTCGAAATCGAATAGACGAGAAGAGCCCGTAGACAGAAATTGTAGTAAATAATAGTCGAGTAAATTATTTTTTATAACATAAGATTTTACCAACTAACGAATGTTTTTTTTTATAACTACTGGGGGGGGGGGCAATACCACCCTGGCCCCTATCTAGTTGAAGCTTTTAACAATGTTCTGTTACATTTTCAATTAAATTTATAATTATTCAAAATTTGCATGACCCACCTTAAATCACTTCCGATTTATTCTCGGAGGCGCGCAAACAAAGCCTTGCAGATGACCAAACACTCGTCGTGTGTACACAAAATACACGCAGCCTTCGCGTGAGTAAAACACACGAATGCAAGTTACACACATGATCACAAGAGTGCATAATCCTGTTCTGAAATTCTCGGAAATGTTTTTTGTAGCGTGCGAGAGATGAGGTGGCCGGTCAAGAACCTTTCGCAGGTAGAAATTGCTCCGAATCATCTATAGGATCCTTAAACAGGTAGATGTACACTATGAACCAAAAGTATGGTTAGTGTCAGTGCAACCATTGTTGCTTGAACAACGGTCAAGCACAGTTTTTACAACTGAAGGGTATCGAATGACAGGATTAGGCTACCGAAGCACATAACATTTAGGGTCGGTCAGGTTTATCGGTAACGCTATATCTTTGAAGTAGCTATACCTACTATCGGCTTGTAGATAAAATAAGATTAGAAAGCCAACGAAGACAAAATATGACGTAGCACGGTGTCCTCAAAGAGGATGACCACCGTTCGACCACACGAGACGTGTAATGGTACACCATGAAAGGCAAAACGTGGCCCAATGAAATCTGATGATGACCGTTCGCCAGGGCCGTTCCTGGGTTATTGGCCACCCGGGTACAAAAACAGTATCGCCGTCCTTATCTACTTAATATTATTTAATTAAAATTTCATATTTATATATGTATACGTGTACATAGCTTTTAACACTTATCATTCAAAAGCAATATTTTCTAATTTTTATTCTCATAAAATGAAACAAAGATTCTTAAGAAATAAATGGTTTTATTTAATGTGAATATTTTATTCCGCATATAAGCACAAAACTAACGTATAATGTTTGTAACGATGATATTACGGCTGATAAATAGCGACCATTAGTTACCTCCACAAATTTAATCCAATAAATATGACTAAATATCACATGCTATATTGGGCTGTCCATGAAGATAGTTCTATTTTTGTATACAAGTAGTGTTACAAAGATTACATATAAAACTAATTTCATTGAATTCTGTGCCTCTAAAATTTTTATAATCGTAAAAAAAGGTTTCATTATTATTCTTACCAGCCAAAATTTCACATATAATAAATGTTCTGCGGCTGCCCCTTAGTTTGTCTGCGGGGCCTCATTTTGCACCCCAGCCAGGAACGGCCCTGCCATTCGCATAGAAACGGTGAGCCACGTTCGTCCACGTTATCATCGGCAGTTCTACTTCATGATTCCTACGAGTATTGCTGTCACTCTGATGAATCCTTTCCTCATTTCTTCCGTAACATCATACAGTCTACGAAAGAATTGCTGGTTGGGAACGTAATACTGGAAAATTGAAATTGAACGTTACTTTTAGTTTGGTAAAATGTTCACGAGGATTATGCAACGGTTGCTGAAAACAAAAAATTCCTTCCGTTAAATACTTCAGTAAATTGACACGGTTGACGTGTCTTTGCACATTTTTTACACATGTAGGTCAAATAGTCTTACAGATTCCTTGAGAAATTCACGTGATTTTCCGATCTTGCGGAAAACCCACAATGCCGATCTATCGGTTATAAGGTACTCAAAATGTTTAATGTATCTCTAAATTAAAAGATTCGTACATTGTTCCGCAAGAGAAAAAAAAAAACGAACAGAAATTTATGACGTGTTATTGACATGTAGGATTTCGAAAAATCGCGGGATCAGATGACGGGCGTGAAAGTTTCGTCATTGGCGGAGGAAATGACGCAACCAAGTCTACCGGCTACGTGCGAATTGATTACATCGATATGGCAGGTCTACGGTAAATACCGAATGCTCCCGATGTTTGCGATCGCGTGCGCTCGATCCTCGGTGCAAATATGTTTTTCCAATTGTACGAAATGATCCACGTCAAATAATCAGTCTTCGGTGTCTTATTTGCGTTCCGAGCGTCGCGTCACGCGGCTTTTTACGACGATGGAATTACATTTTCTACATACATACTTCTCTTGATCCACATATTTTGAGCCTTGAAAAATTTTATCACCGAACAATCAGCAAAAATTGACAGTCAGCGAAAATTTTTGCCGATACAATTTCATTTTTGTAAATCGAATTTCTGATCTGGTTTATGTAGCGATCGAATGATTCTTGAGTTAATAGGTTACGTAAAATAATTGTTCTTTCCTTAAGCAAACAAGCATACATATCTTGTCAACAGTCGTATATTCCGTGTCTGGCGCCTTGTAGGATGACGACCGTGTCTGGCGAGTCTCGTGAGCCGAACTTAACGGAGAACCGGATTCGATGATAATGAGACAAAATCACGCGAGTCGTGTAAACCGTGCGTATAGACGTGTTGGCGCACATCTTTAGCCAATTTCCGATTCAATAAAGGGGGCCATTATTGAACCTTTTTTTTCCGTCGAGTCCTTGAACGTGAATTGGGACTCTCTTATACAGGATGGCCCAAAAGTCACTAGACCATTTAAAAATAGAATAACTCCTTTAAGTATTGAAAATTCAGATTTATGCTTTTATTAACAATAAACATACTTCTTGGAAACTATTTTGAATTACTTTTTTAGATTATGTCCTTCAAACAGTCACCATTTTGTTGTTCACAGTGGCGGGCACTTCCTAAAAAATTATAATTTAAAATGTTCTAGTGACTTTTGGGCCACCCTGTATCACGCTTCTTTGAAAATATGCGAGGATTGTTTATCATTCCACAAATATTTAAAGTACTCTGTTTGCACCGGAGCAGACTCATCAGTACACAACATTAAAAAAGGTTTTTAGCGTGATCCAGTTTCTTCTTAGACACTCGTTGTTCAAGCTTCAATTAGTTTATCTGGCGATATTGATATTACCATGGAAATATCGTAACGATGTCAATGATCATCGCATTATACGAAATAATAGACCGTTAATTTCAGAACGACTGGATTCAGTTTATACGAAGTAATCCATTTGAATGTCCAGTGAATAGATCACATAATAACAGGGCGTATTCATGACTGATATTACTAATTATTGAAAAATCGATTTTATAGTACATAATATAAATGAACACTCATACCCAGAGAGCACATGACGCCTAGTGACACCTTGAAGACGACTTAAGGGCGCCTTAGACCTAAAATAACCGTAAAATAGGCTTCTTTAAGGCGTCATGTCCTATCTGGGTAGTAATATAGTAATATATTATGTTTAATGGCAATATAGTTAGTGTCCATTGTGTCTAATATTCACGTGAAATCGTTTTCTTTGTTACAGAATTCTGTTTTATACCACACAACCGGCTCACGTTATCATGATCGCAGCGGTCTTGTGCGTGACATCGGCTATGGTCCCAACGAAAGACAGGGTGCAAAGTGCTGGTCATCCTCACTCGAGAACAGCCTCCTTCATTTATTTGGCTTCCTTTATCATGCATCTTGGTGCCCAGATCTGGATGACATTTGTCTCAGGTAATTGTACACACCGCGTAAATCGAAATGTGGAATATTCACTGATACAGACTTGGATTAAGATTTTTTGTGGCTCAGGGCATTCAAATTTTCGGGGGTAACCTTGCTTGAAAAGTGAGGGGGTTGTAATACGGCACAACAAAATACATCAGTATTCGAAAATTGAAATTTATTTTAAATAAAATTAAATTACATTTAATCATAACGAAATGGAAGGTTCAGAACGGGCCCTCTTGGAACGTGGGGCCCAGGGCTGCACCCTCCTCCCCCTAGACACCCCTTGATCTGGTGCTGCACTGATGACCTTAATAAATAAACTTCATAACTCCACTTTTGAGCCAATTTTGCATTTCAGTGTCACTCAACGCACTAAAAATAAATACATTTTCCTAAATAATTCCGCAACTCCTGTAAATTAAATACAGTTCCAAAAACTGTCAAATGGAGTTAGGAGTTATTAGATTTTAACACCGATTTAATTCTCGTCGTTCCAGGTCTCTCCTTATATTTCGCATTACCAAGACATACGTTTGGCGAGGTGCAACGGATCCTGTTCCCAAGATACTTTACCATTAACGCGTGTCTCAGTCTCACTACGCTTTTAATTTTTGTGAAACATCATCCGATGCACACATGGGACACCGAAATTACCACACAGGTATGTAAAGTGATGTACACCGACGAGCAAACTCGGCTTCCGTTAGAGGAAAATGTGAGTTTGGCGAAAGGCCTCCTACCATTTAGTTTTGGGAGTTAGTGAAATTTATGCCAAATTAATATTCGACTTAACATTCATTTCAATACCTAGGATAAATTTACCAAGCAGTAGGAGAGTTTTCTTCTACGCCTTTGTTTCCCCTAGTGGAAGCCCAGTTTGCTCGTGGGTGTACATAATTTATTCAAAATAATTACCGTGTAAGATCTCTTGTTCGAACATCTATATGTATGTATATGGAAACGTACTTTTTTCCAGGTGGGTGCAATGTCTTGTGCATTTTTCTTGGAGTTGATAATAAGACTCTATCTGACACCACCTCTCCTGCAATTGATAGTTCGAAAGAACACACTGGAGCGTGCAGCCGGAGTCGGTAATGAAATTGGTCGCCACAATCCGGGTCCGTTGAAGTACTGCCCACATTACTTGAATATTCACAAAGCTTTTCGACGTGTTCACGTTTACATTGCCATGGGAAATATGGTGACAATGGGGTGCACAGTGTTGCATCTCCATTATCTAGCCAGCAAATTGTGTGTTCTTTAAAGATGTTGTAATAGAGGCTTCCAACGAGCTTTAAGAAGGGTGTGTGAACGTACTCAAAATTATGGAAGTGATAAGCACTATTTCACCAAAGTAATATGCTACCTTATATAGTGTTTGGGTTGAGTACAGGAAAAAACGCTAACAATTCGGATTTTTATGGGACGTCAGGACTTTGCGATGAAAGTATCTGAAAATTGTACAGTAAAACGCGCTTAAAAAATTTCCCTATATTCTGTAACGAGGATAGAGATCGCCATCGAATGATACTAATCTCGTTCTACAGTCGTGTAGAACAAGTATTCAATGTAATTTAGCCAAGTTCTCCTGGGGATCGCAATCACAAACGTTAGGAGTATTTAACACTGTGAAACGAGGAACATGATTTCTTAATTTATTCTTAACACGATGCAGTAATTGTAACAAAGAAAAAACGTTTGAGGAACAACGGCGTATGTAAGTTCCACTTTACGTTCAACTGTCGGTTCGTAATGATCCATCGTGTGAGATTTTAATTGTTAATCATGCTTTTTTGTTTTCTAGAAATGTGCAATATATACGTGTTTGTGGATTGCGCACGTGCATCTGGATAAAAAAAGAAAGCTAGAGAAATGAGCGACATTTTTTAGAATGAAAGTTCACGTGTCCCGGCTTTGTTTATTTAAACAAGCAATGTGCTCGTAATTCGAAAGAACTTTGAGACAGTAATTCTTGCCAAAGTTTATGATAAATTACTGTTAACAATATTTCAAACAGAATCTGACATAGGAAAATGTACATATTTTTATAAACTAGAACACTCGGAAAAATAAGAATGCAAAATCATTAATTATACTGTTAGGTAGTAAAGTCCTTACTCTGTATCAGAGTTAATAATATTTATTATAGTAGCGGTAATATATAATAGTATAATCTTACAGCTGTGTAAAGTCGTCAGGTATTTTATCGACAACGAGATATTAATGGAAAAATTAAATGTAATTGATTGGCGAATATTCCAAGTCAGTTACTCGTGTTTCATTATTGTAAATAATGCATCTCGTTCATTGTGCTAGCTGTAAATCATGATACATCGGACAGCAATATAAATTTTGCTTTTTCTTTTTTTTTCTAATATTTGAAATGTTTGAATTATGATCCTATCATATGCCGACTATGGAAAGAATGATTTTAACCAATGCGTGGATTATTAATGCATCTCAATTGCCTTAGCGTTAATTTAAATAATTTATGTATAAAAAAACTACTTTTAATTACAATTTCATGACACAATCTTACGTCTGAATGGTCTTAAAAACTTCGTAAGTATGTAATCATATTATCACATAAGTTGGGTTTCCCACTAATTCTAGTATCACCGAACTACCACTATAACTTTTGTCACTGTAATAAAAGAGTTTAACGTTACTTCTCTTTTTTCTTATATTATGAATACACACACTTAGTATAATGATCATTTTCATACATGTATATTGAATGAGTCCAGAGATTATAGAAATATCTATTATTGCATTCTATGATTTTCTACAAAACCAAGTAAATATAAACATATATACAATTGTACACCATAATCGATGTATTTTATTCCGTTCCATTTTATGGAAAACAATTCTTCTAATTTCGTTGGGAAATTCTAAGATTGACTTTAAAAAGATCAATCTGTTGCTTTCGAAATCGAATTAAGCACAAAATAAAATACATTAATTACGATTGTTTGCATTATCATAAATATACATGTGATTCGTCAGTCTCTATATATCGTATCTCCAGAACACAATATTTCATCCATTGATTATTGAAGATGTACGAAATCTTATCTTATACAAACTTTATACTACTATTTAACTATCATTCGATGAGCACTTATATATTTGCTATTGTAATTTTACTCGACCACGTGTACACTTGCTTGATAATCCTGAGAATCTTAAATACATATATAAATACCGGTGGCACAATGATAACACATTGCATTATCGTTAAGTCAACATGTACATATACTTGAAATTTTCAGATCGGTCCAGCCCTATTCGTCGTGACAATTTAGACTCGTAAACCTAACTGAACAGTACCAAATCATTATCCGTTCAAAAGAAATAATCAAAATGTATAAACAGTTTCATAAACTCTCTATAATTCTTTGATTACCGTCAATACCTTTTAGGTATTTCGCTTATAGATTTTTCTTAAAAATAACGAGTATTTGTACATGCCTATTTCACAGGTACAAAAAGAGAAATACGAAAATGTATGGGAGATTCATAAGTCCATACAGAATATTCAGGTGAAATGATCCCGTGAACTTAAGTAAACAATTTGCAAAGAAACTATGTTATTAAAAGATATAAAACTAATGGAAAATACTATTTTTTTTTTTACACTCTGAGGATCTCCGCTGCTTTATTGTAACAAATCGCGATCCAATCAGGCTGAGTGGCACCCCACTGTATTTGATTTACCTCCCCCTCGGCAGCTGTGTATGCTAGAATAGGGTCCTCGATGGCTCTTGGCATTTGTTGTATATCCCAAATTAATGCTTGATGATCGTCTCCAGCCGTACATATGTGACAAGACGAATGGGGTGCCCAGGCTATGCCGTTAACGCTTGCTCTGAAAACGAATACCAAATATTCAAAGCCATTTCACTCTGAAGTATGCATAGACAGAATTAAGAAAAGGTAAATGTGTTATGTACCTATGATTATTTAGCCTAGCGACCGGTGTACATGGAACACGGACATCCAAAATTATTACTTCACAAGCGTCCATAGCTACCGTCGCAAGATAATTCGGATCTTGTTTGTTCCACGCAAGTCTTAAAAGTGGCGTATGTTGAGGATCTTCATAGATTATCGTCGAGTGTTCCAAATGCCGTAAATCGAACATCCTCACGGACCCATCGGCACCGACAGATGCAAACATATCACGGCCACCTCCTGCACGGCTAAACGCTATATCATATACTTCTTTGTCATGAGCGATCAATTGAGTTTTGACATGTCCAGTGACCATATTTACTCTTCCCAAGACTTGACCAGTTTCCAAACCCCAGATGGTACACGTTGTGTCTATGCTCGACGTGCCAATTAAGTTTGGATCTACTTCATTCCAATCGAAAGAAGTCAGAGGAGCACAGAAGTCTGAGTTTTTATTATTGTTTAAAACACACTCCAAGCGAGTTTCCGGCTCTGCTGCTCTCCAAACTCTTAGGTAGTCCCCGGATGTGGCCAAAAGATCAGGAAATAATCCTACAGAACGGTGTTAGAACTTTAACATAAACTATTTTTCAAATCTGATAAGATTAATGTAATTTTATAAAAATACCTTTGCTATCCGGTATCCACATGATCTTTGTGGTTGGATAAGGATGGTCAAAAGTACTTTTGGCACTAAACTCTGAAGTTTCTTCATCGAGTGAAACTATTTGTACTTTGTTGTTATATTCTTCTACAAAACTTCCAAGGGCCAAACGAAACCGCTTGTCAGGACGAACAGACCAGTTCATACTGTAGAGGGGCCATGGTGCCTCGTATTTATAAATTTCTTTTCTTTTTGGAGGCACACTATGTAGTGCCATTATCACTTTTTGCTTCCTTCACTAAAAGTAATACGTACTAATTATCTAGTGCATAATAAACATGTTACGACTGTAACAATATATAAAACATTATAATGTCTGTATCATTATTGTGTTAAAATTCTCGGAACTATGAAAAAACAATAATTAACTTTTTTTATGAAATCATCTATTACACAAGAAAAATGTTCTTATTTTATCTGTGACTGTACATACTTTATAACTGTATAAACAAAGACAAAAAACATTAGTTAGTTAGACTAACCTCAGAAACCAAAGCGTCGGAAACACAATTGCTTTGAGTGCAATTTACTCGAAATTTACGAAAATTTACTCCCACATGGCACACGCTCTATTCAGAAAAATACTTAACAATTCTGAATGCTAAATGAAAGCAGTTAACGTCCCTGTTGAAAGTTTCATAAAGGTAGACAATTAACCAAATCTCTCGCGATAACATAAAATGGCGCTCTTTTAAATTTGACATTTTAACGATGAAATTATTAAAAAATTAATTTCATTTGTTAACAGATTTATTCGGTCGAAAATAATACAAGGATCTTATCATACCTTGTTAAAGTTTCTATTATAGTGTGTTTTTTCATATTTGCTATAAATGCGTAAAGTTTACAGGCTATGATAAATACAGCCAAAGGACCTGTGGTGCCATCTACGGAAAATCGGCTAAGCTACTAACCGATTAGTATCATATTTTTGTCGCTAGACAGCGACATCATACGATGTAATGTAACTACACGAGGTTATAAGACTTTTGTGCTATTATTGACTACCAATCGCTGGTATTTTTTAATTGGTCTAAGAAAAAATTTGTTTCATATCACATCACGAGCAATCATTTCCGGGTCCTCCAACATTTTTGGTACACCCTGTATATGTCTATGGTCTATGCCTTCTTCTGAGCAGCACACTTTACGTTCCTCCAAATGTTCCAGTAGCGCGGCAAGAATATGGTACTACTTGGCTAGTAACTCAGCTATTCTACCATAGATGGTGACAAACGTCTGTGTGAACACATTCATTTCTTTGAATAATAATGAAAAATGTTACAATTGATAATTATTAATACACGTGAGTACAATAAATGACTTAATATTATTTGATAAAGTATTTCATTTAACTGACGTTTTTCTGTTTTTTTTTCATTGTACGTATGCGTTTCGATCAGCTGAAGAAGAGTTACTTCGTTTAAATAACCGAATGCTTCTTACAGCTGACCTGAGCTGACGGCTTTCATTGATAAACACACACACATCCCTGTACTTGCGGTTGAAACTATTCAGTCATGCGCAATCCCGTAGAACACGTGGGAAACTGAATATTTATAAATTACACTAATTACACCTAACTTTATATATAAAGCGACGTAAATTATTTTTAATGATTTTTAGATGGATCATCCAGAACAATATATTTGATAGTATAAAACCAGGAAGTTTTGGCGGCAAGACGCAATCGGCTGATTGGTCGACTGCAATTTAGCGCGAAAAGAAGCCAACATACGCCAATAAGGGATACCCATGGCATAGCTTTTCCAACATTCAAGTATCTGATTCAGGGGAGGACAGTGCTTGAGATCATCCTGTAAATTTAATTTTTTCTCCATCTTTTTTGTAACAATTGGAAAATTCACAATGCCGCTACAAATCTCGACGAAAGAAAATATCCTGAAACACCTCGAACATATTTCCCTCAAAGAGAAGGTAAATGTGACGTTATTTCTGTATTTTTTTATTCATATATTCCTTATTAATGCATTGATAGAGGTTCCCGCCCTAATAGTAGATAGATACAGTCGTGAATGAGTGATTCAAATTTTACCATACAGATTTATTACATTATTATATTTGATTACAATCTGTGTTTACGATATACATCGTTTAATTTATTCGTAGTTCCAGCAAGTTATAAAATTAAGGCTCTTGCCATAGAAAAGTCTAAAAAGTTCGAATAAAAAAAATTGTTTCCCACGTTTTTTTCTATTTTATTTGTTTTAATATTTATCTGGATAGTAATGTTTCAATTAAATACATTTACATTTAACGATAGTTACATCAATATACTTCGTGTTCGTATTTAAAATCTTAGAGTTTTTAATGATTTACGATTGCAATCGTACTTTTATTAATGTATATAGGTGTAGATAAGTAAACATTACTATAAATACCGGTAAATAAGACTCATTGTACTACTAAATATTTCTTTAATTTATAACAAAAACGGAGTATTCGTTTTTCAACTGCACATGTGCTTTCTGTATCACGAATGGTAAAACGTATAATGTTCATAAAACGTAACATGCATAAGTATGATTGCACATATTAATGATAAAAAATGACTTTATTTACAAAATAAGTGACTGTAGAAGAATGTTCTTAATAAAGTATCTATGATATGGTATGTATTTCAGAAGGTTAAGTTTTACATGAAGATTAAATGTACTGCATTGATATTAAGCTTATTACAAATAAAATAAGAAAACTTCATTTTTTAAATGAAAAAATCTATGACTAACACCCTGTTAATTACTTATTTATTGAAAAAAAAAAGATTATTTTAATGGTTATGCTGTAATTATGGTTAAATATAATTGCAAGGTAACGTTCAGTTTCCTTGTTTACCTCACAGATCCTGATAATGAGTAATATGTCCACCATTACATGTAATTGTGCAATACAGTAGGATGCTTACTGTCACATGTTTCATCTTATTGTATAATTTATAATGTTATTACAAAAGTGCCTTATATCCTCTGTAAGTTAAATAATGACTATGCAATTAACAAGAAGTTTATATTTGTGTATAAAAATCTGTTATATTTAACACCACGAGCATTTACAGAACAGTCTTATCATTATTGGCTATACCTCTTTGATCTTTTATTTTAGACATCTCCCAAAAAGTTGTGTACTTCACCTACTATCTCTCAAGAGAATGGAGTAAGTACTATATTCTTGTGATTGTACAATATCAGTAAATTTTATTTACTTTCTATTAATAATGTTTGTTTGCTTTATTAGGTGGGTAAAGGAAAAGCTGTGAGAAAGGTGCTAAAGGAAAATGAGTTCAATCCGGAATTGGAACCATTACTTAAAGATAATCCACGTAGATTTGTTGTATTTCCTATTCAGTGGCCCGATATTTGGCAAATGTACAAGAAGGCCGAAGCTTCTTTTTGGACTGTTGAAGAAGTAGATCTTTCTAAGGTATAAAATTAATACCATATCTGAATTTGAAGAACATTTGAATGTGTATAAATTTGCAATGTACAACATAATTGTATTTCTGCTGTTTGCAGGATATTTTCGACTGGAACCGTCTGACATCCAGTGAGAAGCACTTCATATCTCATGTATTGGCATTCTTTGCAGCCTCCGATGGAATTGTCAATGAGAATCTTGTCGAACGATTCAGTCAGGAAGTGCAAATCACAGAGGCACGTTGCTTTTATGGTTTCCAAGTTGCCATGGAAAATGTGCATTCAGAAATGTATTCTTTGTTAATTGATACTTATATTGCGGACGCTAAAGAAAGGTAAATAGAATATAAAATGCATTTTTTGAATTAATAAATATTAGCAATGCTACAATATCATAAAGTCTAGATATTTAACAAAACGAAACTATGATCTTGAAATCTTGGCAAGCAATTGAAAGATTTTTTACAATCTGCATGATTTGTCTGTGACAGAGACTTTTTATTTAACGCGATTGAGAATCTACCATGCGTTGCTAAGAAAGCCAACTGGGCACTGAATTGGATAAACCACAAAACCGCCACTTTCCCTGAACGGGTAATCGCATTTGCTGCCGTGGAAGGCATCTTCTTCAGTGGTAGTTTCGCCGCCATTTTTTGGTTGAAGAAAAGGGGTCTCATGCCTGGCCTTACATTCAGCAATGAACTGATCTCCAGGGATGAGGTCAGCGCACGAAGGAAATAGTTGCATGAATTGAATACTAATTTGCAAATGAATGTTTGAATATTAGTTTCTGTTCATATTTTCAGGGTTTACATTGTGACTTTGCGTGTTTAATGTTTAGACACATAATACAGAAACCATCTTGCGAACGAGTCACGTCAATCATTAAGGATGCTGTTGAAATCGAACAAGAATTTTTGACAGACGCGTTGCCTGTCGAAATGATAGGCATGAATTGTAAACTTATGTGTCAATACATAGAATTTGTTGCGGACCGACTACTCGTTGAACTGGGTTGTCAGAAGGTATTTGTGAAATTATTTCTAGTTTAAGCGCTACTGAGTTACCTGAGTTTCTGCAACGGGTGCCCACAATTATCATCTGGTAATTAATTAATAGTTGCAATTTTATGTAAGTGCCTTATTTTTCCTTTTTCAGATTTACATGTCTGAAAATCCGTTTGACTTCATGGAACATATATCTTTGGAAGGTAAGACAAATTTTTTCGAGAAAAAAGTTGGAGAGTATCAGAAGTGGGGGGTGATGCAGGACAGGATTGAAAGCAATTTCACGGTAAACGCCGATTTTTAGTTCAGTAGATAGATACAATAGAAAGGCTGACAATTTATTTCTCATAATCGAACGCATAGGATCTTGTCCCGAGACTTTTTCTTATTTATGCACTAAATGAAGTAAGGTAATTTTCTTATTCATTTATCCATTTGGACAAAGATAAATTCCTTTTTTTTTTTCTTACATTAGGACTAATAATTAATTCCAGACGAAAAGTAATTCTAGTATTATTTTAGCTTTGAACTTTTACATCTTGACGATGAAATTTATCATTCATTAACATCAGCATTTATTTTTACTTACTCGCACATTTGGAATCATGATAGTTTATTGTATATTAATAGTGACGTCTCACGTAACGCTGCCTGGTGGATAAAAGAATATTGAACGTAATTATTAAGTAATATCGATAATTTTAAAGTAATTGCAAGTTTGAAACTTCGTAATGTAGAACATGTAAATGAACTTTGTATAGAAAATGCGCATGGAAATCCGAATTTTTATAAAAGACGTTTAACAATCGGAACTCTATACAAATAACTCAGTATTCGCCTAAATAAGGTTTTTGTATGTATGTATATAATTTATTAAGAATAGACAATTTGTTTTGTAAACAATAGGTAGCAATTTCTGTGTATCGAAATTGATTGCAAATGATTCAATAATGGAAAAATTTTTATTCTGAAACTGTGTACATATAATGAATAGGAATTAACAAAGTACAATACACTTTTTGTAATATAAATTGCGCATATAAACTGTACAAACTGGATATTCTAATGACATCAACATTATAATAATAATTTGTTGAAAGAACAGCTTTCGTATGTGGAATGTTATTATACATTGCATAATTATACATTAATATACACTGTGGTACAGATGAATCTCAACCTTAATTACTTATGTTATTACATGTATAAATGAGTAATCTACTATGTTTAACTAAATTTAATATATATTTCTAGATATATTGAAAGCATAATCTAAATTACTCATTTGTACATGTTAACATATTTTTCGAAATTATAACATTTGTGACAAATGTCAAGCTGTTATTATTTGAAAGTCATTGTTCAAACGATTAAGGTAATTCTTACGGCATTCCATATCGTCGGCTGGTCTATTATATGGTAACCATACAGGTTCTCCCACAAAATAACGTTTTGCTTTAATGTAATTCTAAAAAACAGAAAAATAATGATGAATGGCCTTTCAACTTTTTTACCGGAATAAAAGACTTACATTGATATCTAAAGTAAATCTGTGATATATTCCACTTGGAATAATTATCAAATCTCCAGCTATGACTTCAATGCGTATCCATTGATCATCCTTGTCTCGAACATCAAAGTACCCAGATCCCTCCAGTACAAATCTTATTTCTTCATCTGTGTGAAGATGTTCAGTGAAAAAGTTTTTTAACTAAATATTCGAATGGAATATATATTAATGTTTTGAATACATTATGTAATTTGTACTTCAAATTAATTTGTTTACTTTCTCTTCATAATTTGGAAGACACTTCTCAGAACACGTTATCTCATCCTCATAGGTGTAACCACGTTCCTTTTTTAACTGTGTCAATGTGTTATCATTTTTGTAGTCTTTACAATCGATCTGTAATAACATCAAGTAAGTTTTATTAATTTTCAGTAATGCTTTGACAAAACAAGAAGAAAGTTCTAACGTAAAATAAAAAATGCATGTGTACAGAATTGAATTGGAGGCTACAAGATAAATCATTAATAAAAGTTTAAGCATAGGTGGACATAATTTTATTATACAAAATAGAAATTTTAATTTTAACGTGCAATTTCTTTATATAGTATTGCGTCACACTGCTAATAAATAATTTGTTTCCAAAATAATACGAAGTAACTATATTTTCATACAACTGGCAAGCATAAAATGTATACGATAATAATGAAACATTTAACGAATACTGAAGGTTAATCTTACCTTGAAATACTCGACGCCTGTGCTTTTGAACAAGTCTTCAAGGGAGAGAAATTTGGGTGGTTCTTTATGGTGTTCCAATCGTTGATCAGCATCGTTATTATCCATGTACCACGCACGTACCATTTTCGATTTATGAATACACGATCGAATTATGCATGTGATTTTTATACTTGTGTTAATCAGTGACGTAACTTAAATGATAATGTTATCGCTCAGTGCCGGCATATATACATATTTGTTAAATTATAACGAAAGTGGATGGAAACTCTTCATCTTGATAATAATAGCATTCGATAATACAAAATATATTTAACGAGGAATAAAAATCAGGTGGCAATATCGTAGAAAACGATGGTAACAATGTTTATATTTTTGCTGTTTCTTTTTCTTTTAAATATAATGGCTGCGTTCAGAGGACACAACCGTTGCACAACCGTTGAGTGATTTCACTAGATTGACTCTGAACGCTACATTCTATTGGGTGAGCAGTAGCAAATCTAGTGAAATCACTCAACGGTTGTGTCTTCTGAACGCAACCATTTGTGCATTTCAGTTCATATGTAATGTTGTAGCATGTTGTAGTTGATAGTAAAGTTATTTACGTAGTACATATATGATTATTAACAATTATAATAAATTTTCAGATATACAACAATATGTGAACTATTTTGTACATGAAAATTAGTATATACTTATTGCATACTAATTTAAACAGTTATACAAGTTTTTGGATATTTTAATAACTACACGCAAAATGGATGAACTAAATGAATTTTACAAGAAGATTCAGACCTACCTAATGAAGAAGAATCAGGAATGTGGAGAATTGCAGTTTCTTAAGATGCGTGCAACATCTGAAAGCATTGGTCACATTGATGATATATGTATATCAATATTGAATATATTTCAAACTCATAGTATTCCTACAAAGGAAAAGGCTCTGACTAACAACGAGAAATGTGTATTATCATACACATACTTATTATTGAATACCAAGTTCAAAAATCAGGAGCGTTTAGGAGAAGATATTGTCAGTGGTCATTTAGTAGATATGTGTCCACCTTTATCTCCATATTTATTTGTACAAATTTTATGGAGTCTTGAATATGAAAAGATTTTAATTCAGTCTCTTCTGTATATGCCTGTAGATTTGTTCACAGAAGTATTGGATATAGTTTCAAAGTGCATAGAAGAACTACCTTTTCCAAAATCACTGAATACTGTATACCATATAATATCAATTACATATACCAAAGTTATCAAATTGAAAGAAGTCAGTGTACAATCCCAAAATCTTGAAGAAACTATAGAGAATTTACTTACAGCTTTTCAGGAGTTTCTACTTTTGTTAACCAAACCAAAGTTCATTCCTTCGTCAGATTTGTCAAATTTAAAATGTTGTGAGCGTTATGGTATTATACTGAAACAATTAATTTCTACTATAAGAAATTGCTTGGAGCAAAAGATCCAAGGAGTCACCATGTCTGGAGATGTTGAAAAATTACTTAACATTACGTTTGGTAGAGAACCGTACAAAAAATGCGAAGACACTCTTCTGGAAGATGTCATAGCAACATTAAATGAACATTTAATGGATTTATTGTCACGTAAACTTAAGGAAATCACTTGTCAAATTTACATAAACTGGGCTGAAATAGATGACGAAGACAATAAGATGATTTCTTTACAACGTTCTATTGGAAATGAATCTTATTACTTAATAGAATGTATAAAGAATAATGAACAATTGTCGCAAAACGATCAGTTAATAGAATGTTTACAGCATTTTTCGTCAAAACCAGATCCCAGTCAATCCAGTTTTGTTTTAAGTTTACAAGAACTTTGTTGTGCCATATCTGAAGGTAAAAAAGAGCTTATGAAAGAATTGTTGTGTCGATACAAAGAATGGGATAGATCCATACTTGATTTTGTTTACACAAATAAATCTCTACTAGAAAATAAAGACTGTTTGAATCTGTTAGAATATTTAACTTATGTTCTTGTGCAACCGATTGAAGAAGAATTTAAAGAGCTTAGTTATACTATAGTTACAAAAATATTGTCATCTCAAAATGTAACAGATATTTATGAAATAGTGATGATGTATCTGACGAAACATGATGGAAAAAATCATTTGGAATCTCCGCACACAGAAGAGGCATTTAATAATTTCATTGCACGAAATTCTAATTTACAGATATCAACAAATTTGAAAATTGTTCTGCTGTTCTCATTGAAGAATCTTGCATTAATATTGTCTATACTTTTAAAGATAACTATTGGCTTTCCCCGCTATGAAAATATAATGATCTCTGCTAAAGATATGCTTTTGCTATCTCCACTTATGCAAATCAGAAAAGACAATGATGAAAAATTTTTAACCAGCATCCTGAGAACGATTTGTTTGGAGAATAAAGAATGGAATGGAAAGAAATTCATGAATTTCATTAAGGTTGCATTAGAGAATTCTGTGATCGATGTACATGATCTAATGAACAATGTTTTTATACCATATTTGGAGGAAGATTCATTCAACGTATCAAACATCAATTCTGTTTTAGATCATATTCGTAAATTACAAGCTAGATGTACCAACGACACAAACATCAAGGGTCTGACAATAGCTCTAGCTAAGAGAATGTCTTTCTTAAGAAAGAGTACAACTATTTCGAAATACTTGAGCAATGAAATTTTTAGTCAGATTACAAGAATATTGAAATATTTCTTAGAAATTAAAAGCTACAGGATTTCTGCTTCTGCAAAAAAGGAAATTATCGACGGAATCAAAACTGTAATTGAACCAATAGACAAATTACATTTCGCATCTCTGTGGCAATTGTCTCAGAATAGTGTGAGTGTGGTTAATATAGTAGAAGATTACGAACGACGTTGTTTCATCGTGATAAATAGATTAAAAGAAGACCCTAAAACTCTGGCGAGGCTACGAACCTACTTGTCGGATCTAGGTTTGTTGAGAGAAGATTTTTTGCGCCATTTAATTCTTAGGTCAACCGAAGAAGAATATCGAAGACTAGGTTCTGAACTCACTGTAATATTTTGGTTTGCCTTTGGATGGAATGATGAACTTGAAGCATTTAATCACTTTTTGCGCTTAACAATAGAGGCTTGTTGTTTATCTCTGGAGTATCCATGTATCGGTGGAAGTGATTTATTTGCATTTTTACTGAAGTCCATCACGCGTTTTTGTAAACTATTCGTATTACTCGAAGGTATGAATGATCAGGAAAGGGTGTACGAATCATTAATTGAGAACTTTCATCAACTCGATGGAAGTATAAAGCAGAGTCCTTATGTAAATTGGTATGCCAACTGTCTTGAAAGCTTCGATAGTAATACTCAACATAATTCCGAAAATCATTTAGAAGAGGTTCTGAACAATTTGAATCGCTTCAGTGATCAATGCCTTGAATTTAATTACAGGTACACTGAAGAAACTTCTATGATATCTCATACTCCAAAAATGTCTAATTTCTATTTAATTCATCAAGTAATTTCTGCTTGTATGAACGTACCTGCAACAGAAGCTTACGAATGTATTAAAAGAATGAATGAATTATTCTTTCCGAATTAAGTTATAATTTTAAGAAACACCTAAGTTACTATGAAAATTTGTGATCTTTCTGTTAAGTTTAATCTGTAAGTCTTTTTTTGTAGATTATTGCGACTAATTTTTTTAATAAATATGTGTCCACATTTTAGTGACATTTTTGTTTCAATACATATATTGTTTGTTTACTTTTTATCTTTCTTACTTAAAAATCTAATCACTGACCTAAAAAAGCGTGAAGCAGAGAAATAGTGAATTAATTTTATAAAATTTCAGTTCTGCTGAAATATTATAATAAAAAGTGAGTAGGATGTCTAAAGTAATGTATTTCACTATTTCTATTGAAACAATTTTTGATTTGTTAAGTGTGTGTAATGTAATCTCTAAATTTATGAATGATGTGTACTTACTATTACTGGTACATGATATTGTATAAATACAGAATGAAGCAATAATAATAAAAATATTATATGAATAGGCATACAATATTTTGCTCGTAAAATTAGGCTGAATCTTCGTTTTTGGATCGCTTCATGGTGGAGGATTAATTGATACCACAAATATAAATCGTTTTTATTCTATATTATATTTTTATATTTGTGCGATATTGCCAAAATGCCAGTACAATGGTTAGTAATAAAAAAAATGTGAAAAACTTGCGTACAAAGTAAAAATGTGCACCAGATTTCAGACGGAGTAAAATCATTTGGGTAGTTATCGCTGGATAAGCTCAATGTTTTCATGGAAAAAATGACTTTGCAACACGCTGCAGAAAATATAAATTTCTGTATCGACCTATCATCTTTGAAGTTCAATCACGACTCTTAAATATTCCTAACGGTAATAACAATGTAAATATACAAATATTGAATTTCACTAAATATTTTATTTCCTTCTGTTGAGCTACAAAAAAAGAAACAATTTTCAAGGTATTAAAAATTATAATTACTTGAAACAGGATTTTATTGGACGATAGGATAATACAGCTTTGAAAATGTTCTTTTGAAGCCTTTGGCTTGTATACACTATTTTTCCATGTCATTGAGTTACAAGAATTCTGTGTGTGACTAGATTCTTATGCTGGTAATCGAAGCTAAATGCGCCAATACAATTATGCAACCTAAAATCAAATGCAATATGAAGAAAAACAAACATCGCTACACGCATCATTATTATCACTTCTTCTTCAGCTAAAAGAAAATGCATTTTCTTATTGTTATTCGTTTATTTTCACTCGCATTAAAGAGAGACGATACATACTGGTACATTTTTACTTATTCTCTTCTTTGTATTTTTTTTTTCATTTGTTACTACAGGTAAAAAATAACGCACGCTCCTTTCATGTATTTCCCTTTTCGACGCAAGTCAGAATAAACGAATCGCGTAATTAAAATTACCAGCAAACAAAAATTTCCATTTCTTTTTCGCGGATGGCGTTCTGTGTAAGTGTCCTCGAGTATCCGTTTTCCGTCTACCCAAGTGATCGCGCGAACGGATAGTTGACGAAAAGACGCTAAAAAAAAAGAACTGAAAAACATACTGTGGTTCCGCAAACATCGAATCGATCATAAACGGAAGTGCACATTTTTTTTACTTGTAAGCCATTCTCATTGTTGTCTTTTCTCAAATATCAGATCATTCATCAGTATTCCTTCTCGTTATTATTATTATTATTATTAATATTATATATATAATTCGACGCTATAATATTTACAGATTCTTCACATTGTAAAAAATATAACGTATTTCGTACTCAATATTAATACGCAGGTAGTACTGAAAGGCCGATATACATCTAAATCGTGGTGTTTTTCGAATTAATGTGACCCAGTTGCGTAACAAATCTGCATGTATACATATATATTGTATATATATATATATATATATATTTTTTTATTCATTTATCTATATATCTAATTATAAAATCGTATGCGAATCGTTCCTTTATTTTTTTTCTTTTTTTTTTTTAAATAGGTGGTGAATTCTTGTGCTTTCTCCCCCTAAAAGTACCGTCCTTTAGTCATACTTTTTTTCTTTTTGAAAAATCGGAAGGATTTGCTGGCCGAAACGAGGAAGTTAACGAAACGAACCTGGTCCTTGTGTGACACTGATATGCTGACTCAAAACATAGCTCGACTTTTCACACACGACGGGATAGCTTTCCGAGACAATGGACAAATTTCGTTCCATTTCGTGCAAGAGAGTCCTTAGTTCTCGAAGCGTGTTGTTTATTCTTTAGAAAAATATTCTTGAACACAATTTCGCGTCGGTTAAGCACGCATGTACTAATCTGTGTATATGTGAGGTGTGTATGTGCGTTCAGAAGCGATACAAATATAGAAACTTCTTTTTTGTTTCCTTATTCGTTTCCCGTGCAACAGACGGCACCTACTCGGAAGGCTATCCGCGTGGCCAGTTAATAAGTTCTTTCTCCCCCTCCCCCCCCCACTATCTGTCTCTCACTCTCTCTATTTTTCTTCTCTTCCTTTTTTCGTCCTTTTGCCAATCCATGGTTTTCGCGAAGCACAAAAAACCCAGGAGGGCGGAAAAAACGTAACGATAATAGAGCAAGAGCGATTACACGTTCCACAAAGAGGCCCTTTGATTCGCCGTTGAAAGGCTTTTATACGCGGGTTTATTATCGTCGTCGTTTTTAATAGAAAAACTGCGGTTACATCTACGGGATCACAGCGAGACTATGAATTTTTCCGAGTGATAAAATAGAGGATACGAATAATTATCTGTTGTCCCCGAACCCTTCCCCCCCCCCCACCCCTTTTTCCTGCTTGCATGTGTTTTTCTTTCAGTTTTTTTAGTTGAGTACAGTAACGAAAATGGATGGCCGATTCGCTACGTCGGTATATACGATTCGCCAATTTTAAACTGACGGAAACGTACTTTAGCACCCTTTTGTCGATCGAATATACGCGAGGCTGTCTCTCAGATTCTCTGATCTCCGTCGAATCTTACAATGACAATTATAATAGTTTCCTTTGAAACGTGTTCACGGCTTGAAATGTTTGTATTAATTTTTCTATGTTCCGCGGAGAGTTTCAAAGAACGTCGAGATCAGAAAAGTATCGGAGCCCCGTGTTACTCGTCGTGAAATTGTGACCGTTTCTAGAAGTGCACCGACAATTGGAAAAATAAAAAAAAAAAAATAAAAAA